CACTGCGTAAGTACCTAGTAAGTATACGAAGTCACAGCTGCAGGCGGCAGGCACCTCGTAATCCCCGAACGATAATTACGTCTTGGGCGCAAAGTTTCACGTTCAGCTAGCTCCCAGACAGCAACGGAGAGAAAAAGTGGCAAGGAAAGAGCAGCTAGTGCTGCAGGCGCTTGTATATATATATAATACATAAGCGTAAGAGTAAAACGAGCTGCACGCGAGATTGGAGAAGCACAGGAGAAAGCTAGCTGAATACGAGCTATAGGATGTAATTGATTCGAGCGCAAAAGCAGTTGTATACGGGACGCGCCAACTGACCTTTACGGGGAGAAAAAATTTTTTTGATTCGATAAAATTGTATTTAATATTTGATTTACAGCACGAACGAGTGGAAGTAATAAAATTTTAATTAAAACTATAAGATATTTTTTTGATTCAATAACGGATCGAATATTTTTTCAAATTAATCAAATATTTGATACATTTAATTATTTACCATCTTCGAATGAAATGAAGAAATTTAATAAAACTTTAGATTTATTGTATAATTCAATCAAACAAAATTTAACTGACTCGTGTTAATGTTATAATTAGTGAATTCAAACCAATAAAGTTACAAAAATTGAATGGATTCAATTCCATTACTAATTCTATGAGTTATTTTACACATGGCAAATAAATATTTAATCCGTGTAACGATTAGTTACCGTGAAACTCCGATTATAATCTCAAGGGAACACAAAACTTGTTCGAAGCACTGAAAATTGTATCATGAACCTATATTATATTATATTATATAGTAAATTGTAGCTTTGGTTGCCACTTGCGAGTTTTTACTACGCCATCTAGAGGTATATAAGGACGATTTTTTCATGGAGTTTTCAATTCGAAAATTATGGGCTTACGGAAAAATTCTCACGCATCTTCTTTAAAATTCTTGGAAATTATCAAAGAATATACTAAAACGTTTCACATATTTTTTTGAATCTTTTTTATACTTTATTATTCCATTAACAAAAACATAAATCGGAAGATGGTATCAAAAATTTTTGATACAATTTCAAGAAACGTATGACATCAAAAACAAGTATTTCATGCCAGCGGAAAATTTTTTTTTTCGACAACTCTATCTCACAGAGAATCGTCCATACATAATCCGTATTTAACATCCATTCTCGACGAAACGATTCGAACTAAGCTCTTTTTAGCGCTGCTGCGAAATCTCGCGCATACCTCGGTATACCCTCGGTGCGAATTCGAAATCGATATATCGCAAGGACTTGGCCATAGAGCTATATAGTTCGTCCGCGTATAATAGTTCGCGTATTCTAGCGCGCGCGCAAATTAACGTGTACCTTCATCCTTGTACAGCTTTCGAGTTATATATATACGCGGCGCGCGTGTAAGATACGCGCGAGTAAAAAGCTAATTTAGCTGCGAGCTCGTATACATATATACGTATTGTATGCATACATTTTAGCTCGTGCTCCTGGCGCGCACTTAAAAAACTTTAGCGCGAGAAGCTCGCAAGTTCGCAAGTCGTATTAACGCGGCCCGGTGTCGGCAAAATTACGGTACCCGCGTCCCACCCTCGCGAAGCGATTCTTTTTTTTTAAAGCGCATTCAAAACTGCTTAATAAATTGAAACGATTACACTTTTGTTAGCGCGAGGTTGGTCCGTAACGATTCGTTGTACTTTTACTCGGAGCTTTTTTTAATCCTTCAACAACAAGGATATAACGCGAATTATCGTCGAAAAATAAGAGCCGATTTTCCAGCGTGACTGTGTTCGGTCTTACAAATTATAGTCGGATTATATCCGACTGGATTTTAAAAGGATTCAATTCTACGCGATCGGTCATCAATTATCAAAATTAATCGCATTTTTAATGAAGCTCGTATAGCTCGTTGAACGCGCTTTTCTTTTTACGTAACGGCGATATAATTAATGACGAGTTCCTAAACTTGTCATACACCGGTAAAATTAATATTCATCGAGTGCGCGAAGCGTCAAGTTTCATTAAAAAATTTTCCAACTTTAACGAACGAGGCGCGCGATGGAAGTTTATTTCGAGCAAATAATTGATGAAATATATCGCACAAAAAATCGTGTATATTTTCATCGATTAATCACATCGAGTGGCCTGCGTTTGAAATGAGCTTTATTATTAAGTTTCATAGGGAACTTTTTTTTTTACAAACCAGTGTAAACACAAAGGCATTGATTTTTCGATATATATAGTTGAAAAGCTCTCTCTCTCTCTCTCTTACAGAGGATCCAATGAGCGTGTGTGTTTATAGTCGAGGCTTTGTGTGTGTGTGAGTGTCTGTGTTGAGTCCAGGTCGTAAATAAAGTCGAACGTAAAAGCTGTTGCGAATGCTTACACAAAGTACAACACTCGGTGAAGCCCAACACACACCCACGCACACACATGTATTTGTAACGTACGTAAGAAGCGGGAGCTGCTACCGCTACCCCGCAGCAATTCGCTTTTCTTTGCGGACAAAGTTCGCCTGCCGAGTACACACACACGAGATCTCCGCGTGGCAGCGGCAGGAACATTTCAGTCTTCCCGATAATAATATGAGCCGCACAGAAGACGACGAGCTTTGGCTGCCAGTGCCGCACAGCTCTGCATGCGGCAGATCGAGAGTGCACTAGGCACACACACACACACATATAATATGGGCTATATATACACACACGTGCGGAGCTTTTATATACGCTCTTTTACGCCCCGACGCTTTTGCCAAAGAGAGAAAGAAGCTTCGAGGAGGAGATCGACTTTGAAGAGACGATTTATTCCACGAGGTATATACCCGGCCCCTGCATGCACATAGGCAAGCAATCACTCGGCGCTGTATATATATATAGCTCGCTTGGCAGCCGCCTCTTATAGTTCCTTTGTTCTTAATGCCTCTTTTCTTTTTATAGCTATTTGCTAGGCTTCCTCCCTCTCTCGCTTACTTCCTCTCTTGGCTCGAATCTCGCGCGCGCCTGGACTACGGCACTATATACAACGAAGGTGCGTTTGTACGTGTGCATAATATAGGGAGCTTGCAGAGCGAGCTTGCCAAGTAGATGCATAAGAAAATCGTCGAAACTTCTTGATCGCGCCAACACGCTTGTAGCTGCGAAAACACCTTCTTCTTCTCGATGTGTGTCTCGCGCGCGATCGCGAAGAATATTATGACGATCGGCTTTCGCTCGACCTATTTTTACGCAACCGTATTTATACAGAAAAAATGTACGCGAGGGACTGTATAAATTTCAATCGCAACGCAAGCGACGCGAAACGATACGCAGAAAAGAAGAAGAGAATAAGTAAGGAACTGCAGCGAAGCGAAAAAAGACTCGCGAAGCTGGGCTGGATTATATTGAAATAGCTCTTCTCCTGACGCTGCTGCTGCTGCTGCTTTGCGGGCGCGTAAAAAAAAATTAAATAAAAAGGGGCCGCGCGCGCGCGCGCCGCACAGATCTGTAAATTCCTTTTGAGAGCGAGTGCAAGCTTCGTCGGGCCAGCATTTCAAGTATTATGATGAAAACTAGGCAAAACTATAATACCGATGCGGATCGAGCAAAGTGTACATATACATATATTCCACGCGAGAGAGTGAGAGAGCTGGGTCAAGTTGAAGCAGCAGCACACAGAGAAGCCGCGCGCGCGCGAATGCACTGCAAGCCTCCCGTCTCTCGCTCGCTCGCTCGAAAGCTCGAGCGTACAGCAGCAGCAGCGGTAATCGGATAATCGATGCTCGAGCTAGACGACTGTGTGTGTGCTTTCTCTCTTGAGTGCATGCATATCGCAAACGCAGAAAACGTGAAATACCTCTATAGCTTCGGCTATACAGCTTGGCTCTCTCTCTCTCTCTCGCGCGCGCGTCACGCAGGTATAGCGGAGTATTATACACGTATACGCGTATATCATACGTACGCGCGTCTGCACGAGTTGCCGCTCCAGCCATCCGAGAGCTTTTTTCCGCTCCCAAAAGCTCGACGTACGTACGTATACGTATATACGTGGATCCGCGTGCGCGTTTCATCGCTCGCGCTTACACACGCAAGAAAATAAGAAGTTGGAATTCCCGAGTAGAGAGAGAGAGAGAGAAAAAGGCGAGCGTAATACTTGACCTGCAAAATTGTATATTCCTCTGTCGCGATGCACGTACGATCGCGTACACATACACACAGACACATACGTCAGCCCACTTTCGTCGTATATAATACACACTCGGTTAAAATGTGGCCTGCTGCTGCTGCTGCTGCGTGTATACGGACTATACCTTTTGCCTCGCGAATGCGAAACGTGATCCTTTGACCGCCGCAGCCGCACACGGTACGCTATATAACAAAACTATACACACACACACATTCGTACGTATACGATAGAGCTGACTACGAAGTGAAGTATGTTATGTTATACGCCTTATAAATACTCATTTTGTTAAATTTTTAGAAGAAATTTCAATTAGATTACAGACCCAAAAATTATATTTTGGGCTACTCTCGCGCAAAAAATTATTACTTAAAAAATTGTAAGACCCAAGCGTGAAATTATTATTCTCTTGGACTGGTTCTCGATCCCGACGAATGCACACACGCGCGACATTGTTCCTATCTCTCTCTTTGTGGCTGTTTGCTTATAAGTATATCGACAGGAGCTATCAACACGCAAACATCACCAAGAAGAGCAATATACACATGTACCGGGCTGTATAACGATTCAATCGAAATTCAACGTCATTATCGCGTAGATTATGAGAATCAGCTCTACACGTATCAATTGACGTTGTTAATGGTAGAAAATAAGTAAGCATTTGTATGCGAATAGCGGCAAGATGTTAAACTTTTTTATGATTTTTTGAAAATAAAACTGAACTGAAATTGAAACAAAATAAAAGAATTCAATTTTTTTTAAATTTATTCATTTCTATTCCAACATTTATTGTGAAAAGTAGAGATTGAGAAAAACATATTTATTATTATTCTTATGCTAAAGGTATCAAAGCCTAAGTTTTTATATCAATGATTATTTTAAGATGCAATTATTTTTTACAGTTGAACGTTTTTTAAACTCATAACTCACAGTCAGAAGTTTTTACTTTGATGACAATAAATAGTAATAATATTACTAATGAAATGTGCAGCGACGGCACTTGGATAAAATTTAACAAGAAAAAAAATCAATGGCTGCGGCATGTGCTACAACGACGACGTGAACAGTGAAACAAAAGATATTTTCTCTCAATGATCTCAAAAATATTAGATATGGGCTCGATGACCTTTTACAGTCTGCGTGTCGAGGAAATTTTTATCGTCCCGCATTCGACTGTCATTCTCACGAAGGCCCTGACAACTTTCTTTTTTCAAATCTATTGTTGAATAAAAAATTTGACAATTTTTAAAATCTTTTGGCTCCATGATGCCCACTGTGATAGCTCAGCAGATCTACAAATTTTAATCAACGATGTTAATGTTGATAGTAAAAAATCAATAAGCTGTCATATGAGAACAGCGTCAAGATGTGAAAATTCATTATGATTGTTTTAAGATAAAAATTGAAATAAAATTGAATTACAAAAAAATGCAAACAAGTTAATAAAAATGTATTATTGTTTAATTTATTTATTTTGACAGTAATAATAATTGTTTAACAAAGAGACTTCAGAGAGCTGTTATGGTACATTGCCAACAAAACAAAGTTATTAAATTTCCTACACTAACATATACATAAATGCTCAAGTTTTTTGAACAATCATTTTCTTCAGAGATCGATCTATTTTTCTATATTTCTTTATCCTCAGAAGTTTCTGCAGTTACAAAAATTAAACACGACTTCACAAATTGATGGATGTATGAGCAAAGCAAACAGAATACAAATCTTTGTTCATCAACTTATTAATAATCACTTCACAGCATAGAATAGGCAGCTTATAACGTGTTAGCTTCAACAAAGATTCCAGGGCCCATTCACGGAAAAATCTTCTTGCCATTATCTCGCTCAGATGTACAGCACAAGCCTCTTTGGTCCCTTCAGGTAAATCTGTGAAATCATCGTAGCAAGCGAACGCGAAGTAATCCGAACACGTGAGTCGTTTTTCCACTTCTTCAGGTTTCAACTGAACCACGTCGTATAGTGACAGATTTTTATTTAACATGTTGTTTTTCGCTTTTTCCGCGAATTGCTCGTCATCATACCAACGTTTTTGAATATTCGCTGGCATCTCGAAAAATCCGTTTTCAGCGAACAATTTCATGATGTTCATGGCGTTGCTTCGGTACAATTGGTATCCTCTTTTTTCTAGGCACTCAACGACGGCCAAGGCGCCAGACACTAGTCTAAATTTGATATTCAGCCAATTATCCTTGAATTCAAGATCGAATCCCTCGGGAAATTGAATCTCAGTGGGAAAAACGATGCAAGACATGTCAGCACCACGACTCAAGAGAATTTCCGCAGTAAGTGGTTGAAGATTCGTCACAGCTAATTGCAGCGGTGTCCGGCCCAACTTGTCTGGGGCATTGACCTCCACCATCTGGTGTTTTTCGTCGTTGATCTCGAAAAATATCTTCGCAAAGTATTCACTATCGTCGTCTCTACGGCAAATAAAGTGCAGAGGTGTCCAACCCTTTTCGTTGACCAAATTTGGATTGGCTCCTTTTCTTAGCAGCAATTTGACAGTCTCGTAGAAGCCGCATTCTGTAGCACAGTGAAGTGGCGTGGAACCCAAGTAGTTCTGGGCGTTTATCAACAACGGCTGATGTTTGTCATTGTTGATTTTGAAGAATTTCATCACCATCTGCTCGTTATAACTGAAAGAAATACAGTGCAGGGGAGTTATGCCGTCCTTGGCGGCTAAATTGGGGTCGGCGCCATTTTCCAGCAGCAGTTCGACTACCCTCTCGTTTTCACTGTCCGCAGCTATGAGTAGCGGCGAATCACCTGTTTCTGAGGTGAGGCAATTGGGATCTTGTCCGAGCTCGAGAAATCGCTCGACGACCTCCACACAATGTGGTAGCATGCAGGCCGCATGAAAATGGGTGTATCCAGATTCGTCCGCGTAATTCACGTCAAATCTGTCGTATATGTTGAAAAGGCCAGGGATGACATAACAGTAATTTGTAACCGCGTGATGCAGTGGTGTCTTACGATTCACCAGGGGCTTGCCATCTTTATCCAATTTGGGCTCGTCCTTGTAGCCTGTGTCGATTACAAACTTGATGAATGAAAAATCGTCGTCGATGCGGTCGGGATCGTCTTTGTTCCTCATACTCTCCACGATGATCGATTCAATTTCTTCGGGACTAAAAAAGTCCCGGAGGTTAGGAAGTTCTCCGAACCAATTTTTGACTAAAACATGAAATTTTCGGAAAAACCCACGTCGCTCCTCTTCGATCTCCCAATTAACCTCTTCTCGCAGATTTTTCAACATTTTTAAACAAAATTGCTTTTGTTCATCCATCGTTCACTTCAATATATTCACAAATTCTCGCAAGAATCACATACTGCAGCCGATGCGATCTTTCACTGTTTGCGCTGCGGCGTCGTAACGTGTACTGACAACAAAGAAACAGGGCATGCCGGCATACACTACAGTGTGGTCGAGCAAGTACGACCAAGTGACTACCGGATAAGCGAACGATCAGACTCAATATGCTGAAGAAATTCCAGCCAATCGCAACAGCGGCCTAGCTGATCCACGACTATTGCGCTCTTCTGTTTTCCTCGAATTTAAACGCCTTGTATTATATAGCCCAATGCGACGACTGATGAAGTTTTGTCTTCGATAACGTTTAAATAAAACCTGCTAATAAGTGTGTTGTGGCACGCAAAGAAAAAATCAATGGCTGCAACGACCAAGTAAAACAAGAGGTTTTTCTTTTCAACAATCTCAACAACAGTTGTGGAAAATTTCGTTGCTTGGCATCCAACTCTCGCCCGTACAAAAGCCCGACAAGTTTTTTCTTTCAACTTTGACGCACGTATATTATGTATTATATATATCAAGTACGCTCACGACCGCTTGTTCAACTCTGAACTTTGAATTTCCGCACACACACACGCGCGTATGCCATGTACACACAGCCCAACTTTATCGAATTCTTTCATACACTGTACATTATATAAACTTTGACGTGGTTCAACTTGTTTGTGCGCGGTGGTGCCCGCGTGATTTTTTTTTTTTTGTGCACGAGCTGCGATGGGTTTATAACGCGGGGCAAGACACGCATTACGTGTGTACTGTGTACACATAACTTCCCGCAGTAAGCGTTTGATACGTCGTCGTCGGACAAACAGCTTTTAAAGAATCTTTTTCACTGCGTGGAAACTTATGTGTATCAAATATTATCCAACTTTTTATTTCCTTTTTTTTCTATTATTTTTTTTAGCTCAAACTGAAAGGCTCTTATATCCTTTGTGTAAACACGTGTCGTGTATACGCGTATACACTTCTGTGACGCGCGCGCCGGGTTGTGTATTTTCAGCTGCACACTCGTTTTAATGCGTCGCGTATGTACGCTTCTGTTTTACGTCCACGTACGTCCTACATACGTAGTAACGACTCGTTATTTTCATGCAATTAGTTTCGGCTTGATCCACGATGATGATGCGCACACACGGAGCTATGCGCGAATTAAGCGTGAAATTTCTCGAGTGAGAGAGAGAGAGAGAGAAAGCAAGAGATAGAGTTGACAAAATTATTCCGAGTGCATACGTACTACCTATATAGATGTATCTGTAAACGCGCGTGGGTGTCGAGCTTTTGTCCGATATTACGCTTTCAACAATCGAACGTCCTTCGACGCGTCGCGTTGTCAGCGGCTCTCTCTCTCTACGCAGCCTCTTCGAATTCGCTTGCGTGTATACGCGCGCAATAAACTAATAATGTAAATATTCTCTCTCTTTCTATATTATATTAAACGAATCAGCAGAATTTGCATTTGTCGCACAGACATCGCGGTGAGTACACGCAAAAAACACTCGATACTCTTGAACGAATCTGTATAATGCATGCGAAATCACGGAGAGCTAGAGAGAGACAGACCTGCGTAAATAACCACCGCTGCCGCCGCCGCCGCGAGGCGTTGCATTTTCGATGTCGCGCGCACGACGAGCGTAGGACGTTTTTGCACGTGTGCGTATGACAATGCGGTGAAAAATATTCGACCGACAGACACCGCGAGGACGTCCTCCGTTTTTCGCCTCGCTTAAATCATTTCGCGTACAGCGAGATATCGAAAAATATTATATACAACGATTGACAGGTCGCGCGGGCGGCGGGCGCGCGATTGATTTCTTCTTTATTTACCGCTGTGTGGTGAATATTCGCAATGTGGGTCGCGAGCTGCGGGGTGGCCCACGTGCCTCGCGATCTTCCTGCGTCCGCGTCCGTTGCAAAATAAATCAAGCATCGAAAAAAGTATATAGAGACGTATGCGCATAAATCGAAGGGGCTCTCGAGTAATTAGCTCGTTTTTTCGTATAATTAATGCAAGGTCTGCTGCCAGGAGAGCTTATAACGCGTCGCGCGTAGAAAGTGTGGGTGATGCGGCAGCTATATAGCAGAATATGCGTAAATCGTCGCGCCTCAACTCCTCCTCTGTCTATTCAGCCAAGCACCGCACCCGCAGTCGTTAGAAAAGTAATTACTATTGTCAGGCGGCATTCTTCGCGATCGCGAGACTAGAAAATTAAATGAGGCCGAGATAGAGCGAGAGAGATGAGTTACATATATATTACACTCGTATAAATAACTGATTTTTAAATACTTCCGCGGCCTCAGCGATAAATCAATTGTACGTGCTCGAGCCTTTTTCGCTCATTTAGCCACTACCCCCGCCACGTGGCTTTATTAAGAGGCTATATAAATTAAAGATTAAAGCGAGGAAAAAGTGACATTGGAGGACTCGACCCCCACCTCTAAAACTTCGATATTCTTCGACGAAGCGATCCGTTCTCGCGCTCACACGTGTTTCAATACGTTTTTTTTTTATCGCGAAAATTTTTCATCGAACGGGTTCGTAATTTTTCCCGAAATTTATGGTTTTTACCGTGAGAGCTAAAATGAGGCTTTCTTTCGAGTACTTGATATTCCAGCGATCGCCTCCGCGATTGAATTTATTGCGCATTGTGAAATATTCGTATTACTACCATCGACGACTCTATCGACCTGTTTGAACGGAGCGAATAAATTTTTCTGTCAACAGAGCGTCGCGAAAAAAATTGATTAAAAACTTGCAGCTTCGAGGCGTTCGGTTTATACAATTGAAGACGAAAATTGCTTCGAGAGAGATAAAAAAAATAATTTTAAATGGTCATCGTAATATCAAAATACATCGAAACTTATTAAAATTTGATTTTCGCTTTCTTTCAATAGTAGCAATAAATATAACTTATCTAAATCATATGTTTTTTTAGATTATTAATGCAACTGTCATCGATACTTTATTGCTTTTTTGCACTCCAATAAATAATGTTTCTCCACATAATTCTTAAAAATGTCAGCTAATTGTTCGCCTGAATAAATGAAATTTTTATTACAATTTTTGTGTAGTTTCAATGGCATGCCGAGTGTCTCTACATGTAACGCAGTCCACTACTGTGTACAGAAACATGACGGTGGAAGGGGAAAATATTCCCAAGAAGTTATCACAATCGTGAGATCGCCTCGCTGTGTACGCAAAATACCAATTGTGCGTTCAGTCGCTAGCGAAGAGCTAAGTTCTCCTAAGTGAGCAAGTGTTTACAAATACTATCAGTAAAAGAGTGTAGGTCTCTACTTAAAGTCGAGCTACGGTGTTAGCTACCCGAAACGTTTAACCTCAAATATTTTCTCAGTGCATATCGTGAAAATTCACAGCGAATACATATAATCAAGCGAGAAATGGAAAGCCAAAAGGACAGCGTTAGGTATACATTTTTTTGTGCATGTCATGATATTTATTAAATCGATCGTTTCATAAAATTTGATTATTCTTCTAGAGTAAAGGAAGAGCCGAAAGATACTTGTCTAGATAATGATAATATTTTTAATTCTGAAGACTCTTGCAATGCCAAAAACTTTGATACTTGCACATTTTATAAAATACCGGTAAGTTTAATAATAATAATGATGTTCTCGTTTTTAGTCTTCAAAGACTATAACACAATCTTAATTTTAGGCAAATCACACGAATGAAGCAATGGAGTTACAGGAAAAGTTAGATAAAAAAATATTCATTGATTTAGAGTGCAAAAATGTTAAACCGGAACTGAAGTCTTTACCGACAAACATTTGCAAAACTGAGAATCAAAGTGATCTATCAAATGTGAAAATAGAACACCAATTTCAGGCTAATTATTTATGTAATAAAGATGTAATAATTATCATAAAAAAAGGATTCGATTATGATAATAATTGTCAATTTAAAGTAGATTCCCGATTGAAAATTAGAAGATATAAGGATGTGAATAAATTAAGAAAAATATCTCAAACTAAATTATCTTATGAGTGTAAAATAAACAAAAAAACATATGAAGAAGATGTGAGTCTACTAGGACAAGTAAATACAACACACAACAGCATTAAACAATATGAATCTAATATTTGTCATGCATCATTTAGACAAAAAGGTAACCTCAATTTTGATATAAATGTAGTACATAGCCGAAACAAACCCTTCGACTGTGAAATTTGTCATAAGCCATTTGGGTACCAGAGTAATCTCAAAAAACACATCAATTCAGTACATGATCGCAAAAAATCCTTCGAATGTGAGATTTGTCACAAATCATTTGGACTAAAGGGTAACCTCAAAAGTCACTTAAATGCAGTACATGATCGGAGCAAACCCTTTGAATGTGAGATTTGTCACAAATCATTCGGACTAAAGGGTAACCTCAAAAGTCACTTAAATGCAGTACATGGTCGGAGCAAACCTTTTGAATGTGAGATTTGTCACAAATCGTTCGGACGAAAACAAAGTCTTAAAATTCACACAGGTACAGTGCATGATCGTATCAAACTCTTTGAGTGTAACATTTGTCACAAATTATTTGGACTAAAAGGTCAACTCAATCGTCACATACGTTCAGTACACAATCGAATCAAACCCTTTGAATGTGAGATTTGCCACAAATCATTTGGAAGAAAGGGACACTTTGAAGATCACAAAATGACGGTACATTATCATAGTAAACCCTTCTCGTGCGATATTTGTCAGAAATCATTTGGAAAGAAAGGTCATCTGACTAAACACATTAACATAGTACATAATCATAACAAACCTTTTGAGTGTGAGATCTGTCACATATCATTTGGGTACCAGAGTAAACTCAAAAGGCACGTCAATGCAGTACATTATCGTAGCAAACCTTTCGAGTGTGAAGTTTGTCACAAATCATTTGCATACCAGCATACATTTAAAGGTCACATGAATACAGTACATAATCGTAACAAATCCTTTGAGTGTGAAATTTGTTATATATCGTTTGGACAAAATAGTCACCTTAAATCTCACATAAATACTGTACATGATCGGAAAAGACCGTTTGAATGTGATATTTGTCAAAGATCATTTGGACAAAAAGGTACCCTCAAAATTCACATAAATGAAGTACATGATCGGAAAAGACCGTTTGAATGTGAAATTTGTCACAAATCGTTTGGAAGAAAACATTACGTTAAAACTCACATAAATATAGTACATAATCGTAGCAGATCCTGATCGAGTGTGAGATTTATCAAAAATCATTTGGATGCAAGAGTGACCTCAAGAAATATGTAAATGGAGTTCATGATCACAGCAATCCTTGAGATAGTGAGATTTAATTGGTTACAGTTGGACTCAATCAATGCTTCGGTAATCACACAAAGTACACTATTTAATTTCAGAAAACTTCACATAAATATCTTCCAAATGTGTGACAATTACAATAAAGTGATCGAAACTGTCATTAATTTTGTCGTGATTGTAAAAAACCCTCTACCCCAATTTCTATCTAAACAATATTTCCCACGCACTTACTACCTGTTATTATGCAAGTCGATTATTGATTCCAGTATACACAAAAAATGTAACTTTCGCAATAATCTAACGACTCCGACCAACAACGTAGGTAAGATATACTGATACTAATTTGTACGTGTTATCGACCAATTCCCAATAAAATCTCATTAATATTTTTGGGACCACCCAACACCCTTTTTCAGTGAGCTGAAATAAACTTTTACCGGTATTTATAATGGTTGTCGCTAAAATTAAAAATTCGTTAGCAAAGAGCTTCCTCCTACGATTGTATTTAATCTTATTATTCTGTAAATATTCCAAAAAATAATATCAACCCCGAGAATAAAAAAACGAAAAAAACAAAAACATCCGATTATTTTTATTTTTTCTTGTTTTTTTGTTTATCGTAATATATACTCATTTTTATTTATATTTCACGTATATAATCGTTTAAATCACAGAATCTCGACATTAATTTTGAATAATAATCGTGTTACTATTCCTCATAGTCAATTATATAAAAACGTTAAACACAATTAAAGCGGACAATTCTTCTGATACTCAAACTTTTAGGCCTTTTTGCGTCAACCAAATATTTTTTTCTACGGAAAATGACCACCGAGTGAATCTGAACGATATAGGGAGTGCAACATTGGTTCGATTCGCAGTAATGATTAATTGCTTTCAACCAGTCAATCAGGTCTACTTTTGAATGTGCAATAATTATTCTTTATTCTAATTCTCACACGATAATTAGTCATGAAAAATGAAATGCTCCGTCTGCTAAAGAATTGAATAAATCCCATACAAATATATTTCTAATTTTTCATTGTAACATTTTTTAAAAAAGCGATCGATCAAGATGACTCGGTTACCCTATACATCATACACGTGTGGCAGTCGACGAAAGGCGATTCCGGAAAGTCTGCAGGACGAGGTCCTCTCGAGGGAGCTTGCGGAGAGAATTCGTACACGTAAGACGATCAGAGAACACGCTTATACGTAGCAGCAAAGCCATGATTTAGCAATCGGCAGACAGAGAGAGAGAGAGAGAGAGAGAGAGAAAGCGAGAAAAGACGAACTGCTGCTGAGCACGGTTATCTAGGCCAGGACCTGATTTGCTATTTAAAGCCCCGAAAATACCTCGTCGCGTACTTACTATATATCGCCCTTCGGAAGTTGAAGTTGTGCCCCGTGCGCGCAGCACTCCGTATACTAACTAAATGCACGAGGGTAAGGTCAAGATTGTATAGTGGTAGCTCGTCCGCGAGTGGCTCGTAAATACAGTATGATCGACGTTAATACTCTTGAAACTCGAATGGAGAAGGGTATATAGTCAATACACGGAGATGAAACTATTTCGAGAGCTCAATCGAACGCGTTTAATTATAATATCAATTTACATCGAGCATGCCTTTAAAAATTAAGCAGAGTATAAGAAAAGCAGCTTCAAAAGCGTTTCAATTATCGACTTTCGCAAAATAAACGACTGCAGTGCCGCTGCCGATAAAGTTTCGCAAATTTAATTTATGGGGGTCCAAAGTATACTACACCCTCCTCTCGGTCTCGAGGCCAACGCAGCTCTCGCGCGCGATATTGTATTGCTTTTAAATCCAAGGGTCGTGCACGCGACGATCGCGACGGTCGTAGAGTACCGACGCACGCAGAGCTCCTTTGGGCATCGACTGAGAGAGAGAGAGAGAGAGCTTGAAACGATGAGTAACGGTATTGCGAACTCGAGTTGAGTTGTATGTACAGCTGTATAGTTAGTTATATACGTCGAGCGACGAGCTGAAAAGCTGCGGGTACAGAGAAAAAAAAGGACGGAGTTTATTTGATTTGCAGGCTGAAATTTTTCATCTCTTAATACCTCGGGGGGCCGCGCGGGCGTCTAGTGTTTCTTTTTTCTTTTTTTATCTTATATGATAAAACTTTTCGTTTTTTGGATTGTGACCTAGTTCGCGCGGGTCTCGTTGCTGCAGCTCCGAGGGAGCGGCTCAACCCCGCTCTTGACGTCTCATTACTATTCTGGCAATAAACGCGTACAAATATACGATAAAAGCTCGCGGAGTCGTGAGCAATTAGCTGATTAAACCTGCCCCGCAGTGTGCCGACTTATACTGCTGCTGATGCTGCTGATGCTGCTTGTAAAGCCACGTGTGCGCGGCCGCTACTTATACACTGCTTCCGAGAGTAATTGATTTTTTCGCTTTCTTTTATTTCTCTCTTTGCTTCTCGCTTTTCAATTTCAAGTGCGCGCGCGTGGCAGGCAACTGCGGTTCGGGCGCGCGCGAGTAAATATCGAGTCCTATACGCGTGTGTGGTATAATTATTTGGTATCAAACCGATTGATTTTTGTCGAATATAATATACCTGACTTGGCCTATTTTTTCATAAACTCGATAATCGTCTCAACCTGCCCTTCTGGCGATATAAGCTTAGCACCGACGTTTTGCTGCAGAATTTAGTTCATGATATTAAGGTTCCGCGAGCATACGATCGAGACGAGACACGAATTGAAATTTCTCGAGCATCTTGACGTGTCAAGAATTCGACATTTTTTCAAAATTCATGCTTACTGCAAGTATTTCAAAAATTCGAATAGTCTGACTTGAACAAAAAAGTGCAAGAGAGCTCAAAATTGAATCGAGTTTGATTCGTCGAGTGATCAAGTCGAATAGACATCAAAAAATTCGAGAGTATCGTAAAAGTAGAAAAAACTGCTGCCAAAAGACCTCAAAAATTGAAAACGGCATAATCGACGGTTTTCGTATTCATTAAACTTAAAAGCCAAATTCTCGAAAAAAAAACCAAAGAACATTGTTTAATGTTCTTTAAGTATTCATAAATGTCGCGCCACCTCTTTCCGATTTTTTTTGGGTCCGAAAACTTATAAAATTAAATTAAATACCAATAAGCTAATAAAAATAATGTAGATTTGTATTTTGAACAGTCGTATACAAGTTATATGTGCACGCGAGAAGCGACCTATGTTGCAACATCTTCGTAGCATCGCGCTTATCTCTATCTCTCTCGCAACTACTCCGCGTAAACTCGCGCGTTGGTTGATCTAGTCATACGACACGTTGTACTGTCGGAGTCGTTCAATTTCGATAACTACATAAGAAAGCATAAATCCAGCGAAGTAGGAGCAACGCTTACATATGTCTATAGCCGTGCGCTATTGTTATTATTGCCGCGTATGTTAGACTTACGAAAGGCCCAACTTGTATAGGAAAAATTACTATGGTTTTTAATAAAAATTGCACCTTTGACTTTTGACAAAATTTATTGCCATTGTAATTTTTCTTTTATTTCTCACGGTTATATAGAGTCACCTCTCCAGTGATTGAAAACGCACCAGTGAATGAAACTTTATTTATAAATTAATATAATTTAACTATACTGAACTAATTCATCGGTAGTGAAATTTTATAATATAATTGAGCATTAATACTAAATATTTCAATACTTTTTAACAACTTTCTGAATATATTATCATTAATTATAATGGTTTCATTTACTGGTAAACATATTTCACTCACTGGTACATCGTTTCCCTTATATGTTATTTTATTAATGAAAGTTGAAAGTAAAAATTCTGCAAAAATTCTATTCAGTAGAGAAAGACATTTACTATTATAATCCATCTGAATAATAACCTTTAATTGATTAAAAACGTTGATTTGAGCTAAATTGAAGCAAATTTTTTTGAAACCTTTCATTAATTGGGTAGATGACTCTATTTCGAATCAATTTCGATACATTTTATAGTAAATTTTTTCGTAAGCCCAAGATGTCACACCTACAGAATTAGAAATTTTTTCTACATGGGTTTTTCCCTGTTGTAACTCTCAAAGCTTATCTCTTATCTCTCATGGTTTCACCTGCGTGCTCTTCACTCTTTACATCGTGTTAGATCGTATTTTATGGATCAGTACGCGTTACGACGCCGCAGCGTAAACACATGGAGGTGTCTAGATCGTATCGATTTCGTAGCGAGTGATTTTCGTCAAAAGGAAAAGAAAGCAACGAAAAAACATAAATTACAAGCGATCGCGCGTTGCGTGTGTGTGTCAGTGCGCCAAAATGTCATCCGAGTACGACGACGACGAATCCGAACTGGAAAGTCTGTATTGGTCGGGTGGAAGCGCCGAAACCCTCGCCTTGGTTTCGTTGCACGCGGACGACGATTCCAACCTCACGGAAATAGAACGTTTACAGAGCTTATCGCGCCAAGAGATCGTTTCGATAGAGGACCGATATTGTCTTCTACAAAAACTCTACCTCTTGATCTGCGATTGGCAGGGCCAGCTGCCGAATCTCCGCGAGATCTTTCGCAAGGACCAAATCGACCGTTTTCTCCGCGACGCGATAAATTGCGTTCACCACGGTCGAAAGGATGTGGGAGCCTTGATCGTCGGCTTCGTGGCTTGCAGCGGCTACAAGGACGAGCCCGACCTGGACGTGAACGGCAGGCCGCTGTTGTGGCGCACCACGGCGATACATCGGGCGCTCAGCCGGTGGCATCCTCGATTGCGGGACACCGCCGTGGTGCGCGATCTCTTCGAGATATACGACGCGACGAACTACGTGGACCGCGCGAGCGGAAACACTCACTTTCTGGTGGCCTGCAGCTACGGCCTCGACGACGTGGTCGAGAAATTTCTCGACTTGGGACACTGTCCCAACGAGGAATGGAGGAGATCGAACCCGATCGATCGCGCGCTCCGCTGGGCTCTGAACTACCGACAAATTCGAGTGGCCGTGGTGCTGCTGAGGAGGGGGGCCGATCCGAATTTGCGCGTCAACGGCTGGACACCTCTGCACTATATCGTCAGCGAGTGCCGTCGCGACGACGACGACTCGGTAGAGAGGTTCTTTCAAGCGGTCAAGCGGTCGGTGTTGGTCGACGCCCGGATCCACGGATCGGGTGACACGCCGTTGATCATGGCTCTGCAATCGGGCAAAAAGAAGGCCGTGGAATCGCTGCTGAGGCACGGAGCCGACCCGAACTTGGCCCATCGCGGATCGACTCCCATGCATATGGCTTGCGAGAGAACGAACGCGGACTTGGCGGAGCTATTTTTCAAGGTCTGCCAGGAAGTAGGTCGGCCGCTGCAGCTGCATCTCCGTGACGAGTCGGGCAGTACTCCGCTACACTTGGCTCTGTCGCGCGGCTGCAGCACGAGCTTGTTCGTTGCGCTGCTGAGGGCCGGGGCGGATCCGAATCAAGCCGACTCCGAGGGCTACACTCCGCTGCAGTTCTGCCTCACGAGGGAGGTCGACGAGTTGCTGGGGCTGTTCTTCGAGATCAACGACGAGCTGCGCCAGGCGGTGCGGGTCGACGCGCGTAATCGCTGGGGTCGCACGCCGCTCCAGTGGGCCGTGGCGAATCTCAAGCCCCGCGCGGTCGAGCTGCTGCTGGATCACGGCGCCGATCTCTATCGCTTCGTCTTCCCGGCCGAGGATTATTTCGCGAGAAAAGTGAGACCGGTGCGCCACGAGAGCTCGCTGGACTTCAAGCTGAGACTGGCGTCCGACTGCCTGGCCGTCGTCGACTGCCTGGAGCGAAGAGGATACGAGCTGGAGCGTGGCGACGCCACGACGATCATGAAATTCTTCGCCGAGTACGGATTGATCGAGGAATCGGCGGACTCGGATCGACGCACTCGTTACGTCGATCGCAATTGGTACCGTGACGAGGAGTTCGTGCGCAGAGCGAAGGAGATAGCGATGAATCCGAGCCTGTCGCTCTACGACTTGATCCGGCTGAGACCGGAGAAGGCGAAAAAGTTGATCGCTTATGCGGACTACCGCGAGTTCGCTCGCTCGGGCGACTTGTGCAAGCTCCACTGGAAGTACAGAGAGGCTTGCGCCGTGCGTCTGTGCGAGATAATGTCGAGGGGATTTTTCCGACGCTGGGCGTTGGATCCATTGATGGAGACGACCAACTATCGGCTACCGGTCGTCTGCTGCGACGTCGTCATGGACAAGCTGGCGAACGAGGATTTGTACAATGTTTGCATGGCGGCTGAAGGCCGAGGCTCAAAGTGGAGGGTTTCCAACAGAATGGCAGTATTTTATGGTCTATTGATTGGGTTGTTGATGACTTTTTACATATATGTTGAAATAAATAAATGAATTTAAAAAAAAAAATTGAGTTACGATTTTTTTTATTGATAAGCGCTCGATGAATTTAAGTGATTGCCCTCAAATTGATCTCTCTTGTGTATTAAAAAAAAATGAGCTTAAAATTTTTCGCCATTTTTATTCGAGTGTTGTCTTACAAAAATGCTTTTTTGCCTCTAAACCTTCATATCGTTTGAAAAAAATTAAACGTTACTCGGCCTACTTTTCATACACTTGATCATCGTCTCGACAGAGGCGAATTAAAAAAAGTGTCGCGCCCACGTAATTCGAAAACAATAATGAAAGTTTTTACTAATTTTTGAGAAATTTAATTAGTTTTTTTTATAGAACATATTGTTTTACCGATCTATCTTCTCACAAAACAATTGGTCAGTCAGCAAATTGATCAAAATCTTTCAGTAATGCATGTTTGATAAATACAGAGACGCGATATTATTACGTGAGATGAATCAAGAATCCTCTAGCCGACTAAATGCTCGCCCCATTCATTTTTTCGAACATGACGTAAGATAACCCTCAGCTGATCGTTGCTTGAAGAGCTGCATGAACGATGTCGCCCAAAAATGCACCAAGACTTGCATAAGTAGTAAGCGAAGTTGGATAACGCCAAAACGTCACTGGGCAAAGATGTAATGATACCAGAGGATCAAATAATACACACTTATTTCGGCACAATTTTTATTAGAATTTTCGGAAACGTGTGTTCAAGCTTTTATAAATATTTACAATTGTCAATCATCATTTCTTTTCGCATTTGTCAATACCAAAATCTTTGCGACCTTTGTGTACTGCTTTTTGGTGGTAGAGCAAACTCTTTTTTTGTGCGAATTTCCGCTCGCATTTGTCACATGCGAAATCTTTGCAACCTTCGTGCACTGTCCTTTGGTGCCTCAACAAATCTGATTTGAATCTAAATTTTTTATCGCACTTTTCACATGCGTAATCTTTGCGCCTTTCGTGTACTGTCTTTACATGGCTTAGCAAATTTGATTTTAGTGTAAATTTCTTCTCACAGCTGTCGCATGCGTAATCTTTCCGCCCTTCGTGGACTGTCTTTACATGGCTTCGCAAATTTGATTTTAGTGTAAATTTCTTCTCACAGTTGTCGCATGCGTAATCTTTCCGCCCTTCGTGGACTGATATTTCATGCTGATTCAAACTGCTTTGATCCCTGAATTTATTCTCACATTTGCCGCATGTGTGATCTTTGTTACCATCGTGTATCGTCTTCTGGTGAAAAATGAAATGATCTTTTCGTCCAAATTTCTTTTCGCATCTGTCACATGCAAAATCTTTGCGACCTTCGTGGACTGTTTGTTGGTGTCTGATCAAATGCATTTTTTGTCCAAATACCTTCTCGCAATTGTCGCATGCAAAATTTTTACGACCTTCATGTAATATCATTTTGTGCACAAACAAGCTCGATTTACGGCCAAATTTTTTTCCGCATTTGTCGCATACGTAATCTTTTCGACTTTCGTGTACTGCCATTTTGTGCTCCAACAAGGTCGATTTATAGCTAAATTTCTTCTCGCATTCGTCGCATGAATAATCTTTGCGACTTTCGTGAACTGTTTTTTCATGCGTTTTCAAATTGCTTTGATTCTCAAATTTCTTCTGGCCCCCGTCGCATGCTAAATATTTTCGACCCTCATGGAGTGTTGTCATATGCAAGTGCCAACTTGATTCATTTCCAAATTTCTTCCCGCAATAGTTACATAGGTAATCTTTTTTTCCAAACATCTCCTCGTACTTTTCGCATGGAAAATCTTTGCGACCCTCGTGGACTGTATTTGGGCGTTCCATCAATTTTAACTTTTGTCCAATTTTTTTCTCTCGCTTGTTGTGTACTGTTTTTATGTGCATGAGCAGACTTCGTTTATTTCCGAATCTCTTGGCGCACCTTTCACACAAGTAATCTTTAAAAACTTCGTGGAATATTTTTTTGTGCTTGAGAAAAGTTGACTTATTTTCAAATTTTTTTTCGCATTTGTTGCACGCGAAATCATCGCGATTTTTGTGTACTAATTTTTGGTGCGTAAACAAACTCGATTTTTTCACAAATTTCTTCTCACATCTGTCGCATGGAAAGTCTTTGCGGCTTCTGTGTTCTGATATTAGATGTCTTCTCAAATGACTTCGAAATTCAAATTTCTTCTCGCCCTTGTCACACGAGTAATCTTTTTGTTCTTTGTGAATTATGTCTCGGTGTGCTATCAAGCTGGATTCTAATGCAAATGCTTCCGGACAAATATTACCAACGTATTTTTTCTCGTCTTCAATAACAATGGCAAGTTCACTTGAATTATCATGTGAGATAATTTCCTCTGATTTCTCATCACTTTTATCCATTTTGGGGCTTAAAATAAACGATGGATTTTTTCGTTACGTAAATTGAACGAATAAAATTTATCTTCTGATATTGTAATTTGTTTTTGCGGGATCGACAACATTCAAACTAATTTGTTTTTACTACAAACATGATCTTCAAGGGACAATGTCGAAATCGTTTATGATCATATTGTTTACAATTGGTACTGATTTAACTGTTTATACACTATACTTGCAATATTTAAATAAATTTAAAATTCTAATTTGGCGTCGATTCATTCGAGAAATTTTTTCTGCCTTCTAAAATTAAGTACTTTCAAAAAAACCCCAACAAGCCACATTCATAAATTGTGTTATTCATTCTAAAATATGCCGCCACCGCGTGATTGGCCTGCTTCATAGTTCGGACAGGGCATCTCGATAGACACTACAGTTCAACTGCAATTTCAAACTGACTTTATGCAGACTCTATGCAGACTCTTTGTTCATATTGTTTAACACCTTACACGCTAGAGGGACAGTTGGTAATTTTAAACATTTTCCATACACGTTATAATCCATGAAAAGATTGATAAGTAAGAGTTGTCACGATTGCTGTCAAGAACTTGATTTTCGATCGCTATGTCATAAAATTATACAATAATCACGTAGAATCGTAAAATAGGATAAAACATTAACAATTTCCCGCCTCCAGAGATATGATTGAGAGTCATCAAGTAAGAAAAAGAGTTATTTAAGAGGATTAAGATATATTTATAATTATTTGGTTTATACACGTTTCACTATTGTCTGTTGGAATGGACAGAATTAACGCTCATTCATAAACTCCGCAACAAAAATTTTGATTGAAATTTTGTCGATTTTCAAGGGCTCCTCTCCAGTGGCGGATTAGAAAAAGTGCTGCCCCCGCGCGAACTTTCATTTGCTGCTTGCTCATTTTGAAAACAACTATGCTAAATTTTTTACGAATTTTAAAGAAATTTCGAAAACAATTTTTGGTTTAAATTAAATTAATCAGTTTTTCAGATAGAACACGTTTGTTATTACCAGTCACGTCCCTCGTAGCAGAAATAAGTCTGTCCACGAATTTATCAAAACTTTTCAATGGGACATTTATTATCAATTTCCATCAATCAAGCAGCCCAGAAATGTCACGGAGATTAGCGATAAGCAGTACGTGAAATCCAAAAAATTCACAATGTCAGTGTAAAAAGGTGTAATAATAGTTTTCATTGCACACGAGGTCCAGGTAATACACAATCATTTTAGCACAAGTTTTATTGAAGTTATGGAGAATATATGTATATAAGTATATACGCATATTTACAATCATCATCATTACTTCTCGCAACTTTGCTGTGCTTAATCTTTGCGACCTTCATGGATTGTCTTTTGGTGCAAATGCAAATGCGATTTTTGTCCTAATTTCTTCTCGCACTTGTCACATGCAAAATCTTTGCAAGCCTCATGGATTGTCTTTTGGTGTCTGATCAATTTCGATTTTTCTCCAAACGTCTGCTGGCACTTGTCGCATACGAAATCTTTGCGGCCTTCATGAACTGTTCTTGTGTGCAAAAGTACATAACATTTACTTCCAAATCTCTTCTCGCACTTGTTACATACATAATCCTTACGACCTTAATGGACTTTCTTTTGATGGACAAGCAAATTCGATATTCGTCCAAATTTTTTCTCGCATTTGTTACAGGAGTAATCCTTGCGACCTTCGTGTATTGTCTTTTGGTGTTCTAGCAATGTCGATTTATATCCAAATTTTTGTCCGCACTTATCGCATGCGAAATCTTTGCGACTCTCGTGGACTCTTTTTTGATGTTTTATTAAAGTACCACGTTCCCCAAATTTTTTCTCACATCTATCGCATGCGAAATCTTTCCGACCATCATGGACTGTGTTTTGGTGTATAAGCAAAGTTGATTTAAGTCCAAATTTCTTTTCGCACTTGTCGCATACAAAATCTTTGCGACTTTCGTGGACTGTTTTTTGATGTTTGATTAAAGTGCCTCGTTCCCCAAATTTTTTCTCACATCTATCGCATGCGAAATCTTTTCGACCATCATGGACTGTGTTTTGGTGTTTAAGCAAAGTTGATTTAAGTCCAAATTTCTTTTCGCACTTGTCGCATGCAAAATCTTTGCGACCCTCGTGGACTCCTTTTTGATGTCTGATTAAAGTGCCTCGTTCCCCAAATTTTTTCTCACATCTATCGCATGCGTAACGTTTTTGACCTTCATGAACTATCCTTTGGTGCCTGAACAAATCTGATTTACTTCCAAATTTTTTCTCGCATTTGTCACATGCAAAATCTTTTTGACCTCCGTGGACTGTTTTTTGGTGCTTAAAAAAATTTGATTTTGTAAAATTTTCCTCGATATTGTTACATGCGAAATCTTTGCGCCCCTTATGGGCTGTCTTAATGTGTACAAGCAAACTCTGTTTATTTCCAAATCTCTTTGCGCACCTTTCGCATAAATAATCTTTGAAAACTTCGTGAAATATTTTTTTGTGCTTGAGAAAAGTTGACTTATTTTCAAATTTTTTCTCGCATTTGTTGCACGCGAAATCATCGCGATTTTTGTGTACTAATTTTTGGTGCGTGAGCAAACTCGATTTTTTCACAAATTTCTTTTCGCATTGGTCGCATGCAAAATCTACGCGGCCTTTGTGAACTGATATTTGATGTCTGCTCAAATGACTTCGAAATTCAAATTTCTTGTTGCACTTGTCACACGAGTAATCTTTTTGTTCTTTGTGAATTGTGTCTCTGTGTGTTATTAAGCTAGATTCTAATGCAAATGCCTTCTGACAAATATTACCAACGTATTTTTTCTCGTCTGCAATAACAATAGCAAGTTCACTTGAATTATCATTTGAGATAATTTCCTCGGATTTCTCATCACTTTTATCCATTTTGGGGCTTAAAATAAACGATGGATTTTTTCGTTACGGAAATTGAACGAATAAAATTTATCTTCCGATATTGTAATTTGTTTCGTCGGGATAGACAACATTGAAACTAATTTGTTTTTACTACAAACGTGATTTTCAAGGGACAATGTCAAAATCGTTTATGATCATATTGTTTACAATTTAGGTACTGTCTTATCTGTTTATACACTATTCTTGCAATATTTAAATAAGTTTAAAATTCGAACTTGGCGACGATTTCTTCGAGAAATTTTTCTGCCTTCCAAAATTAAGTACTTTCCAAAAAAACCCCAACAAGCCACATTCATAAATTGTGTTATTCATTCAAAAATATGCAGACTCTTTGTTCATATTGTTTAACACCTTACTCGCTAGAGGGACAGTTGGTAAGTTAAACATTTTCCATACACGTTATAATCCACGAAAAGATTGATTAGTAAGAGTTGTAACGATTGCTGTTAAGAATTTTTGTCGAGTTGATGGTCGCTATTTCATAAAATTATACAATAATCACGTAGAATCGTAAAATAGGATAAAACACTAACTATCGCCGCCTCCAGAGATCCAGCAGACTGTATAAAAGAAATATGATCGAGAGTCATCAAGTAAGAAAAAGAGTTATTTAAGAGTGCCTGCACAGTGGCGCGATTATTCGCTTAGTTAGAAGATGCCCAGGTTTTTCAAATTGTCGGATCGCAAATCGAAATTATCAAATTGACCGCACTCGTCCAATCCACATAAACTTTCCGAGCGATGCATGTTCTCCTAATGCAGGAGTTGCGATTTGCGATTATTATGATCGTGGTTGTACCGTGGTCTTAATCGCGATTATCCCGAAATTATACTCTGGTTCAAATCGCGATTACGTCGAGATTATACCGTGGTTTAAATCGCGATTATATCGAAGCTATATCGTGGTTATCCCGGGTTTCTAATCGAGATTATAATGCGGCTATAATCGCAATTCTAATTATCGCGATTCTAATAATCGTGATTATAATGCGACCTATAATCGCGATTCTTATAATCGTGATTATGATGCGCCTTACAATCGCGATTCTAATAATCGCGATTATGACGCGGCTCATAATCGCGATTCTAATAATCGCGACTATGACGCGGCTCATAATCGCGATTCTAATAATCGCGATTTTAAAACCGTGATTATAATAATCGCGATTTTAAAACCGTGATTCTAATAATCGCGATTTCAATATCGTGATTTTAATAATCGTGATTAAAATATCGCGAATATTAGAATCGTGATAATACCACAATTCGAGAATCACTTGTAAAGTTCGTATCGTCTTGACAACGATGCGTTCCTTTATCACTCTCGTTCTGGCTTGATTCGTTACGTTAGAGTGTTCTATCTAGCTACTCCATTTGAATCGGTCACAACGGAGTATCTCGCATTGTGACTGGTCAGCGCTGTAAAACAGCCGAGAACCGTTGCGACAGCAGTACGTTAGAGCATACGACGCTGCTTGTCAACGATCGAAATTTTCATCTCTACTATACAGCGTCGTGTATCTCTGTCTCTCGCATTCTGGTTCGATTTATTACGTTAGAGCATACGCGATTAAACAAGAAGAACTAACTCTTTTGCTAATTCATTAACTTAAAATTCAACCATAAAATTTTGAAATTTTGAAATGAGTTGTCTGAAGCAAATTCAAATTAAAAATTTCAAGCATGCTATATCAAGTTATAAGAATCTGTAATTATGAGAAGATTTATTGCACTCACAAACAAAACTATAATTAAAGAAAGCAAATGACCAGATTAAAAAGAATATAATATACATGTGAATTTTTTATGTGTATAAATATTGAGTATCATCAACGAGCAGAAAAAAAATATAAGCAAGATAATTTATTTTAAAAACTATTTATTTTCTTTATTCATTAAAATGTTTCAATTTAACACAGGCGAAGACATCATACACGAAAACTCTTTTTGTCTTGTTAACATAATAATTTAATTCACTTATTTTCTTTAGTATTCTTCATCTGTTCCAGCGGTTCAGAATCATTCACATACTTAACCAAGAGTTGCATGATTTCGATTCTGAATTGTAAGCGATCAGCCAGTTTTAATTTGCACAACGTGGGGTATATGAATTTTAAAAATGTTAAATTGCCTCTCGAAAAATCCAGTTCAGTAATTTTTCTTTCAATTTCATCCATTTCAACTGAAACAAAATGAGTTACCAATTTTTTTAATTTAAAATATTCTGATGGAATTTTGTGTATTCTAAATATACTTTTTTTGTTATTTACCTGTTTCAATTTTTCAAATCAGTAATTTTCGTAACACGTACAAAATACAGACGCACAACACTAGAGACGGAGCCGAGAACCCTCGCTTTACCAGTACGTGAGAGAATATGTCATCGCTGTGCAACGTTTAAAACTTTCGGTCGTCTGTCGTCGTGAATCCCTACTTCTCCCCCTTCTCGCTTGATTCGTTACAGAGTGTTGTTCTGTAGCTGCACCGTTTGAATCGGCCACAGCCGAGTCTCTCGCATTGTGACTGGTCAGCGTTGTAAAAAGCCGAGAACCGTCGCTTCAGCAGTACGTTAGAGCATACGACGCTGCTTCTCAACGATCGAAATTTTCATCTTTTGTTTTGTTGACGATACGAGTGTTCGTTCGAGTTTATCCGTTTAAATCGATTAGTTACTGGTCAGAAGCTACGACGCTGGCAAAGTTTGATTTTATGAGTGTCGACTCGGAATTTTTTCGTTACATCTTACTTTAATTTTAAAAGTGGAACGTTTTAGACTACATCGGATCGTACGAGTATTGACGAACTATTTTTCGATCAAGAAGCTGTAAAAAGTAAGTGCTTTTCATTATATTATTTTGCTCAATGATTGCAAGTGACATTATTCATAATGCAATGTATGTTATAACTCGACATAACCTCCTTCTTACATTGTTTTGTTACTTTGCATGTCAAACGATTATAGTAGTTCGAGCTAGCTGCTACTATACTTTCTTTTTTTCCTTAATTTTGATTGATTTTCTCATGATTTTTGGATTTCATTACACTTTTAATATTATTGTCAGTACATTTTATTAACAATAAATGGATGATTATTTTTGTAGTGACTTTCACTTGGACTGATCCTAAAGTTGTTGCACTGATTGAGGAAGTTGAAAAATATCCTACAATATGGAACTTAAAACATCCAGACCACAAAAAACAAAAGGTGTTGTCTTCAATTTGGAGCAAAATTGCAACAACCGTTGGCGTTGGAAGTAAGCTATGATTATAAATGTTTATGGGTTATATCACAAAAATTTGCTAGTTTAAAAAATGAAATTGAAACAAAGTATGTACTCTTGAAGAGTACATTGAAAGATGAAAATCCTGAAAATTTCATTTTTTGAACTAGCAACTCTTTTGTGATATGACCTTTATATATCATGTATCAACCATATTATTATATAAAACTCTAATTGAATAATAATTTTTACAGAGCTTCAAGCGAGGAACAAATGGAGAACATTGGCAACAACTTTTAAAAGTGAACATGCCAAATACAAAATTAATTTACCATCTGGGTCTGCAGCTACTTTTGAACCTGAGGACAGGTGGAATTTCTACGATGACATGAGTTTTATGATTCCCTGTATAGAAATGGAAATGAGTGGAAATATCAATCTGAGTTTTCATGAAATTTATGCTAACCAACCTACGAGTCATGGTATTGTGTCATCATCAGTGNCTCTAACGTACTGCTGTCGCAACGGTTCTCGGCTGTTTTACAGCGCTGACCAGTCACAATGCGAGATACTCCGTTGTGACCGATTCAAATGGAGTAGCTAGATAGAACACTCTAACGTAACGAATCAAGCCAGAACGAGAGTGATAAAGGAACGCATCGTTGTCAAGACGATACGAACTTTACAAGTGATTCTCGAATTGTGGTATTATCACGATTCTAATATTCGCGATATTTTAATCACGATTATTAAAATCACGATATTGAAATCGCGATTATTAGAATCACGGTTTTAAAATCGCGATTATTATAATCACGGTTTTAAAATCGCGATTATTAGAATCGCGATTATGAGCCGCGTCATAGTCGCGATTATTAGAATCGCGATTATGAGCCGCGTCATAATCGCGATTATTAGAATCGCGATTGTAAGGCGCATCATAATCACGATTATAAGAATCGCGATTATAGGTCGCATTATAATCACGATTATTAGAATCGCGATAATTAGAATTGCGATTATAGCCGCATTATAATCTCGATTAGAAACCCGGGATAACCACGATATAGCTTCGATATAATCGCGATTTAAACCACGGTATAATCTCGACGTAATCGCGATTTGAACCAGAGTATAATTTCGGGATAATCGCGATTAAGACCACGGTACAACCACGATCATAATAATCGCAAATCGCAACTCCTGCATTAGGAGAACATGCATCGCTCGGAAAGTTTATGTGGATTGGACGAGTGCGGTCAATTTGATAATTTCGATTTGCGATCCGACAATTTGAAAAACCTGGGCATCTTCTAACTAAGCGAATAATCGCGCCACTGTGCAGGCACTCTAAGAGGATTAAGATATATTTATAATTATTTGGTTTAATAAAAAAAAAATTCGAATGTGATTCTATTTTGGATCACAAATCACCGGGGCTTGGCCAGCCAAACCAATCCTATACGCTTCAAGAACACAACCAGATTTTTTTCGAAGCTCTTGGACTTTTACTCACGATCGGCTACCGCGGCGAGGCGGGGATCGGAAGCGAAAAATACACACGAGGCTCGCGCGCCTGAAGGATGTGTGTGTGTGCAAAAACAAATTCGAGGCCGCGTGTGGCCCCGCTCGCTCGAATCGACTATATAATGTGGAAATTTATTCGTCAACTGCTCGATATATATCATATACGTCCTCCTATGTATCAGAGGCGCGCGAACGATTAATAAAAGAGGAGCCGAGGAAAGGCATAGTTGAATAATTCATGCACCTCCCTCGCTCGTCGGGGAGTGTTGCGGAAGGGGGGCACGAGTGAAAGAGAGCGGAGATAATGCAACGTTATGAAAAATTCAGCCTCTATCTTTCAGCCGGGGGGCAGCAACTGCGCGCGCGGGGGTTGGTGTATAACTACGCGCCACAAATACATTAGCGTCTGCTTAATAATATCACTCCCGCTATATATACTCGCTTTATCATCCTATCCACTCGTGCTTCGAATCGACGAATTATGGACAATTAATAATGTATAATAAAACGCACCGATGCTGCGGAGTTGATTCGATTTCTGGCTGGCTTTTACACGCGCATCCTATCTCAATAGACATCAACTTCTATTTACGTATTCATTGTTAACGATTTCAAGTAGTCCGCGATATGCGATGCGATGCGACGTCGAGTTCGAACTTTGAGTGTTTCTAGCGCACACACACACACACACACACACACACACACACACACACACACACACACATGACGTATACACTCGCAGCACGAGACACGTGCACCACCCGTACCTATATAGAGAAGCTGCCTTTTGAAAAGTTTCTCGCTGCATATGTCAGCGGCAGTGTATGCAGCAGCTCTACTCGACGCGACGCGACAGTTGAAGCTAGCTTTATAACAGCCGCATCTACGCGAACGTATAGGTACGGCTCTGTCTCTCTCTCTGGCCTATTTTACGCTACTGCTACTATTTTTTTCCATTTTTTTTTGCTTTTGCTTTTTGTCAAACCGCCTGTCTCTCTTGTCTTTTGTAACCGACTGTCGAGTGTATGAGCTTTCGTATTTTATACGGCAGTAGTATAGTACAAGCATAAAGTGCGTCAACGTCGAGAGAGCTCCGTCAACTTTATATCATAACGTTGGAAAAGTCGGAGTCGTTTAATTATTCGCGATCATTGTCGCGACGAGGCGACCTCGCATGGCCACACGATTATACATAACGCTCCAATATTCGTTCTCGAAAATTGCCCTGCCTGTACAATGGTTGCAGCAAACTTGCTTCGTTTATCATCCCTGCCACTGCGGGCGCAATGCTGTGATACCAATATAACGGCAATCGGGTAAACTCGCCGATCGCGCGCCAAAACAATTCGCCTATGCAGTTACTATACCAATACCACTGCTTTACTACTTGAACCAACTATTTTCACGTATTATGTATGTATAGCGATAAGCAATGCGCGACCTCGACAAAGGATGTGCGCGCATATATATGTAGTTTAAGGTATTAAATGTGTAGTACCACAGGATATAGGATTATGTACTTACCAGCGCCGATCCTCTCGATGCTTTTAAGCACACACACATACACTCACATACATTCACTTTGTGCAGCACTCGGAACACACACATACTACCGTGTGTGTATACTAACTTTCGCGAGAAAACTTTACAGGTATCGATGCGCACGTGCATATTAATACCGTACCGACACACGTAACACACACATCCTGCCTCGAACTTTGAACTAGTTTTGTGTGCAGTTATACCTACATATAGCTTTTTCGTTGTTTGAATTGAAAGAATATTCGCTGGCTTCGAACGCGGGCATGCGCGTCGCGCGACGGTTATTAGCGCAGCGCGCGCGACCTCAACTGTCATTCGGCGAATTGGCGCGAGCCAGCAACACGAGTTTACGATTATTATGATGATGATGATGATAAAATTTAAAAGTCCCCCAATCCCCGTCAGCAGTTACTATACCGGCAGCATCTGTGCGGCGGCGGCATTTCGCGCGTCGATTCTAACCTTTCTTATGTTGTATGTAGTCAATCACGCCGCCGGCTGACGACGACTCGAATGTATCCTTCGCGGTGTTGACTCGTGCTGTGCTATACTACTCAGTGTGTTGTTGTTGTTGTCGTTGGACAAGTGTTGTTTTATATCAGCTTCTCGGCTTTTTACTCGTATCTGTGACTTTTATGTGAGAAACATCTCGCGATAGAACGCCAAACATTTTTCGAGTAAATTTTACGCATATATGACTGCCGAAGCATGGACCGATCGAGCATTGGCAATTTTATGAACAAAAGCGTGAATTCGCCCAGCAGACGCCGACTGTCGCTGGTACAATCGTTGAAAAAAGGCGCATCGTAAGTATTTTAGATAGAATGACATTTCCCTCCTCGCAATTACTGCGCTATTGACATTTCAATCGACTCATCGACGAATTCGTCTCGCGGCCTTACAGCGGAATCAGCGTCTCCGGCAGATCCAACCAGTCGGTGCAGATAATATGCAAGACGGCGAACCACCTGGTCGAGCACTTCGGCTCGACGCTGCCGGTCCTCGTGACGGAGGCACTGACCTTCGTCGAGCGCAACGTGGCCGTCAGCGTCAGCGTGTCGCACGACGGCTGGGCCTGGCTCGTTTGCGGCCGACGACTCCTCGTCTGGCAGTGCAAGACCACCATACACGATCCCAAGCAGAGGCGCACCTTCAAGACCCAGTGTAGAGAGCTGCTGCTGCCGCAGAGCGATCTGGCCCACAAGGCCGAGTGCATCGCCGTCTGGATGAGTCCGGGCCAACAGGTGCCTAGTTGCATGGCCGTCTCGCCGGAGGGCATCGTTCGCTACTGGGCCAGCATCGCCACCGAGGAGATGTCCGTGGAGACAAGCGCCGAACTGGCCGGACAAGAGGTCGACTGTCTGACGCACATACCCGGTCACGGCTGCATACTGGCAACGACAACTTGTACAGTAGCTTTGTTGCAGCCGCACCATTCGGGTGGCAAGGGAACCATTAATTGCAGGGTTCTCAGAACGAGCAAAGGATGGTTGGGAGGTATTGGAAGAAGAATGTCGTCGCTCTTCTTTGGAGCAATTCCTCAGTCACCAGTCCAAGAAACCGTAAGATAATATAAATAGTTTTCACTTATATTTAAAGATTATAAGCATTACAAGCAAACTTATACTTGCAATGTATTTCACAGAAACTTATTAAAGTGGTGTGTTCTGGAACAAATGAAAGAGGCTCAAGAATATTAATTCTTGCTGGTAATTCTCTGCAGTATTGGTCTTTTCCACACGGTGAACAAGAGAAAATGGAATTTGATGAAGATATTAGTCATACACTGACGCAATCTTTCCAAAGACGCTCTTGGGTAAAAATTCATTAAATATTTTTCTAATGATATCATTATTATTTTGTACCTACTCTATTTAAACTAATGAACGATTTAATAACAGCAAGAATCAGGTGCCTGTAATCCTCAAAATTTGATGACTTGGATAATTGATATGCAACCTATTGAAGAAGGGCTTGTTGTTTTGGTAGCCGCCTGCTGTGCTGATATTTCTCCACAAGTACATTTTGCACTTGGTTTATTACCTTTAAACGGTACCACTCTGACAAATTCTTTCAAATGGTTTGTCCCTGTAAAAGTAGGTTCAATATACTATGGCGATGATATTGAATCTACAATTCATTCCTATCGATTCATCATTTCTGGTTGGGAAATTATTGTGTACAATAAACACAATGTTCATGTTGTAAGCAGTAAGTATGAAACTTGATTTAAAGATATACTATTAATAAATTTTGTTACATAATTGATACAATTTTACAGATTTATCAGAATATGAACAAGAAAAAATTGATCTTATTAGAGGTGATGATAGTGTTCTTGGTGGAGCTCTTTGCTCCGGTACACCTGTACTTTTTACCAAAAATCATGGACTCATAACAATTAGTCCAACAGATTTTTCAAATCAAGATTTCAATCAGTAAGTTTTGACTTTTTCTCTATATTTCACGTGATACGTAAAACATGATTAACTAAATAAAATTGCATGATGTTGTAGGAGTTACGCAGATGTAAATGCCAGTGTAGACTTGAATGGTACTAGTAACATGTCAATACTGCCTGAACAATTTGTCACTCTTATTAGCAATGAAGAAATCAATGAAATGCTGTATTGTACAGATGGTGGAAAACAGCTACAAGCAGCGTTTCTGTTGAGCGTCCGTAACAACAAGGTATGTAATAAAATTCAAAATTACATTAATTTGCAACACATTGTACCATATTAACTTTTTTAATTTCACAGGAGCAGTGTGACGATATTTTATCAGAACTTTTCCCCATGCAAGAGGAGCCTGTAATGGATATTGATGCACCTCTTGATACCTTAGTTTTAAAAGTAGCCAAAAATTTAATTGACGATTATCCTGCTAATGATCCCAGATGGGAGAATCATAGAGATTTGAGTAAGTACTTTTTACTTTTGATGTGAAATGACCTAAGCATTCGATTCTCAGATTTTAAAATCATTAATTGCGTTTTAGATTTTACATTGAATGCAGTTTTAGCTATGCAAATTCCTCATCAACTTGAAGGAAAACAAAAGTCGATTGAGCTTTTCATCATGTTCTTAAAAGAGCATAATTTATGGAGCAGAGTAAGACATTTTTTATTAATAAAGAGTACTACAAAATAAACGTATTTAACATTCTTCTTTAAATTTTAGTTTTGTGCTGTATCTTATAGAGGTGTGATTATGTCTACGTCACACGTTCTTAGTGAATTTGCCGAAAAAGTCATAGCCATGCTCTCGATTTACGGTTTTCAACAACGGTACGCATTACTTAAATATAACAGCACTTTTACGCTTACATAAAATTAATTTTTTTATTTAAAATTAAATTTTTCATAGCTATACCGAGATAATAGATGCAGCTATTGAGAAGACGTTGCCACCTGAATCATTTGTGTCTGAAGATCTTAGCCCCAATGACATTTTTTACAGAGAAGTCAGCGAAGTTTCATTATTTTTACCTAATCTTGTTCAATTGGCTGTCGATCAAGCCCACTCAGAAAGGCCTACTCAACAATTATCACAATATATTCTTCAAGTCAATTCAATTTTATTGGTACGTTCTATATGTTTAAAAATACTTGAAACTTTTATTTAACAAAATAAATTAATCACTTTGATTTTTTCATAGGGAGTTTTACACGAGGTTGTTAAATACCGACAATATAACGCAGAAAAATACGTACCACCAAAAACTTCTTCAATTACGGAATATCTTCCTTGGACTGCATCCACTGGAAAATACGGCTTGAAAAATTGCCTTAATACTATGGTAAACTTTTTCATTCAATAAAATAAAATAATATAAAATCTAAAGTAAAATAGACATATTTATTAAATGACTACTTTAATTTTCAGCAAAGCTTGACAATTCAACACGGTGTAACTAATACAACTGACCCAAGTGCTAGAAATGAATTGTTTGAACAGCTAGTTGGCTTGATCGATCTCATTTTAGACGGAAAAAAATGTCATTTAGAAAGTATCAGAGGCACTGAAAAGTTCGATATTCTTTTGAAACAATATGAGTCTGAAAGATCAAGTTTAATCCAACCCCTCAGTAAGTCAAGTCTAAATATTACACATACATATTAAAACTGTAAATTAACTAGGCAACACTTTTTAACAGTCAAAGAAGGACAATATGAAAATGCAGCAATGTTGGCTGAAAAATATTGCGACTTTGGCTCCTTGATTCAGATATGTGAATTGACAAACAACAAGCATCGATTGGACAGCTATATGGAACGTTTCGCGGCACAAGATTTTGCAGGATTCCTCTTTTCATGGTAAAAATCAAAAACTGTTGTATTTCATATTAAAATATTTATTTTATTATATCTTCGTAAATCTCTAGGTATGTGAAAGATGGAAGACAGGGTCAGTTAGTTGAAAGGTGTCGTCGCGGCGGTGCTCAAGAACTACAAGAAAAACTACTGCAACATCCAATCTTATCTTGGGTACAATCGGCTCTATCTGACGATTACCAATCAGCGGCCAAGACTTTGCAAAAGTTAGCCGATGAAGAAACTGAACTTGTCACTCGTAAAAAGGTAAGCTAAACATTAATTTTCTAATCCAGATGTACAATTTTTCAATGAAATAATCTTCTTTGTAGACAATGCTATCGCTCGCAAAATTGGCAGCCTTGGCTTCCGATGATCCAGAAGCTAAAATCCAAATGAACGTGAATACAATGAATTACGAGTTAAATCTCATAGCGCACCAAGAGGACGTGCCCATTAGCGTTCTGGAGATTTACGGCTACGACGTGGAAAAGCTGCGAGTGCTCTCGCCTTCGGAATTGATCAATGTATGCGCTATTAATATACTTGAATTAAATAGCCTCGCGCCCGCTTAACACCTGATTTATTAACTCTGCATCGATGTATGATAATTTACAGCTGTACACGTGCGCCGAGAGTCACATATCCAACGAGTACGACTTCAAGAAGGCACTTGACTTATTGGACTACATCGATCAGGAGGACGAAAAGATGGCCTTGAAAACGAGGATATGGGCTCGGGCTGCCAGATGCGATAAATGGGACACGGTCAGCAAAAATCCCGAACAGCAGATCCAGGAGACGACGTTTTTCAAAGTTATGGATCTCGTGCATTTGATGGGTCAGTACAAACATGGAAAAAAATTATAAAATAAATCGTCATATTTAATTTAACTATTTCTCTACTTTGATAATTCTTATCTTTAGTTTTTATTACATTTACACGAAGAATAATTTGTTTTCATATTATTTTCTAGGTAACAAAATTGAAGAAATGTTACCGTCAGTCGACTTGATATTGGCGGAGCAAGAGCTCGGCAATCTTGCCGCATCGAGCAACTTCCAGTACCTCATCAAATTGGTCTACGAGTACGCATTCAATAATTACTAGTTGGATGTCTTGGATTCGATTTATTTTGTATAATTGTTTATCTATCTAAGATTGTTATAAAAAAATATTTTGTACACTATAAGTATTTCGATAAGTAATAAATTTTAGGCTATTTTTCGATCCCTATACAATCGAGAGTCCACGCTCATTGAATCAGAGAAACCAACAGTAGCAGAATCAGCGTTAACTTTAATACTGACGCGTTGCGAGCGCCGGACGAGCACTCGTCCGTCTCGACGCGCACGCGGTATCGCACTTGATCCGGATACCGGCACTGTTTTTCGACGCACTTCACCGTGGAAGAAACGTTCGTCACTTGCACGTAGGTGATCGGGCACTTTTTGTCCTCGTTCTCGTCGCACAAGTTCGCCTCGTCGGCGGTGAGGGTCAAGTCGGTGTAGAGCGACAGATCGTCGCAGCGGTGGCTCATCCTCGGGCTCGAGCTGGTCCACTGGTTCCACCAGCAGACTTTCATCAAGCCGTAGCCGACACCCTGCACCGACAGAGTGAGCCGCTTCGTCCGGTATCGCCAATGCGGATGAAGCCTGTAGGTATTGGTTTCGTCGGGATCGATGTAGTCCTCGAAGTAAGATTTTTCGCTCGGTGCTTCGCTGCTACAGCTCGTTGGCCTCAGGGTTTTCGGCACTGAAAAGAGTTTACATTATCAGTAAGATTTTCCTTTTATCGGGATTCAACTAAAATTAAAAAATAAAATACCCGAGCTCAAATGTCTCGATATATCACTGGCGACCAATGACTTTACAACGTGATCCTCATCTGTAAGTAGAAAACGTCGAAACTGGTCGTACTTGGACTCGCAGGTGTAATACAAAAATTGCGTATCTGCAATGTAAAATAAAAATACTTCAGCACCATTTTACTCGATGATTGAAAATACACGATTAAAGAATAATCGCGTTCATACCTGGATGCTTCGATTTGAGCCTTTTAACGCTCTCGAGCGCTTGGGCTAACTGTCGCTCGTTCAAATGAACTTGAGGAACCAGCAGCACCACGGCCGTGGCGACGCTGCCCGCCGCGTGACTCGCGCCCGATTTGTCCTGCCAGTTCTTGTCGAGGTAAGCCTCGATACTGCCGAGCACGGCGGGAAAATCGACCGTGTCGGGCCCTGATTAATTGAAGAAAAAAAACAAAAAATCAAGTACTTGGTTGACGCAAGATTGAAAAAAGTGCGGGGTATGTAATGTACTCACAATTGATTCTGGAGAGTCTGTTGAGGGCTTGGTGAGCGTCGGACGTGCTCGCGGTGACGTTCGTCAGCCATCGGCCTGTTTCGCCGTCGAGCAGGCCCATTCGAGATCCGTAGGCCGAAACGTCAAAGTCGTCGATCAAAGACCTGATAAATAATCAAAAACAAATAATCTATTGAGCACAGGTGTCGGGTGTATAAATTGCGTAACCACATGAATGTCGTTAACGCGCGTTGTAACTCACGCGAGAAACTCCGCCGTGTACTCGGGCGTGAAGGCGCCGTCGAAAGCCACGAGGAGTTCGAGTCGAGGTCGATCCCTTCGCTGACCCAGACAGGGCTGCGCGCCGAGCAGTCCCTGATTGGCGTAACGGTCGAAGGTGGCCACTGCCCGAGTGCTCAGACGTTGCAGAGCCTCCTCGGAGACGGGCGTGGCGCCCGCGCCCAGGTAGCCGATGACCTGGGCCGCGGCGTAGGTCTGCTCCTCGATCAGGGAGTTGGGCGCGGCCCAGGGAAAGTCCCGGCTGCGTCGGCAGGCGCTGGCCACCCTCGACGACGACGACGAGGCGCTGTTGTCGAGGCCACCACCAGCGGCAGCGACAACTCCCTTCTCCGAGTAGTACATGTCGAGCAGCTGGCTCAGACGCAGTCCATCGGCGACGTGGGCCGGCCACTGCTCCATGTGCCTGGCCAGGATCAGGCCGTCGACGTCGCCGAGCAGCTCGGCCCTCGTCGCGTCCCAGCTGTCGTAGCGATGACGCACGTAGAAGGCCCGCGGCCTTATGGTGCTGTTCCAGAAGCCGCTCGCCCCGAGATACATCTGCTCCCTCGCCGCGGGTCCCTGATTCACCACCATCTCGGCCAGATCGCCGGCCAGGGTGGCCAGCCAGACGTTGTCGACGCGGCTCTGCGACGACTTGCCGCCGTCCCTCTGCCAGGCCCGTTGACGATCGCTCGGGGCGGCGAGCCCGGGCAGATCTTGAAGCAGCCTCGCGCGCACCTGCTGCGGCTGGAGGGCTGCCGCCACGGCGGCGATCACCGAGCCCAGGGCGACGGTGCCGTAGTGGGTGAGCACGACGCCGGACTCCTTCGGGCACGTTGAAGAGTAGTCGGCTCCGCCGTGCAGCGATCTCACTGAAAATCGTTGAATAATCGAGCGTTCGTTAAACGTGAAATAAGTAGGTGATGAAGGGAGTAATATACAAATAAAATACAATAAGAAGCATACAAAAGTAAGTTAATGAATTCAATTTTTATTAATTCATTGGATCTTTCATTGTTGAACATAGAAGTAACGTAAAACTTATTACATTATATTTATTAAACTGATAGTAACAGTAATAACTCATTACGTTAAACTTATTAAACGTATAGTAACTAACATTCTTCGAACAAACAAAACTTTAAAGTTTTTAAATTTTATGAATTAATTTTTCTGAAATAAACGGCTAAGATGAAACCGCCAAACAAATGGAATGCAAATCTTTGTTCACCAACTCGTCGACGATCATCTCGCAGCAGTCGATCGTCAGCCGACAGCGCGTCAGCTCCATCAGCGATTCCAGTCCCCAACGGCGGAAAAATCCTCTGGCCATCGTCTCGCTCAGACGCTTGGCGCTGAGCTCTCTGATCGGCTCGGGCAGCACGCGATAATCGTCGAAGCAGGCCAGCTTGAAGTAGAGCATATACGTGAACGTGTTGGTGGCCTCCTCGGGCCTCGAACGAATCAGGTCGTGCAGCGACAGGTTCTCCTTGTCCTCGGTCAGGCTGAGATTCTTCGCCCATCTGGCGAATCGGTCGTCGTCGTCGTACCAGCGCTCCTCGAGTCGCGCCGGCGTCTCGAACAGGTCGTGCTCGGCGAACGTACGCATGATGTTCGCGGCGACGCCACGGTCGAACTCGTAGCCGCGTTTCTCGAGGCAATCGACGCAGGCCAGAGCGCCGGCGACCAGTCGAAATCTGACGTTCAGCCAGTTCTCCTTGTAGCGCGGCGCGAATCCTTCGGGAAACTTGATCTCGGCGGGAAAAACGACGCGAGTCAGATTGGCCCAGCGACGCAGAAACGTGTCGACCAGAATCGGCTGGAGATTCGTCACGGCCAGCTGCAGCGGCGTACGGCCCAGCTTGTCCTCGGCGTCGACCTTCACCGGCCGATACTTCTCGTCGTTCAGCTTGAAGAACGTCTTGGCGCTGAGGTAGCCGTCGTCGTCCCGCTGGCAGATGACGTGCAGCGGAGTCGAGCCCTCCTCGTCGGCCAAATTCGGATTGGCCCCTCGGCTCAGCAGCACCTGGACGATCTTCTTCTCGGAGTCGGCCCGCAGTGCGTAATGCAGCGGCGCCCGACCGTACCTGTCCCGGGCGTCGACTTCCACCGGTTTGCGCTTCAGGTCGGTGATCTTGAAGAACATCTCCGCCGAGTCCTCGTGCTCGCTCTGGCTGATGACGTGCAGAGGCGTCTTGCCCTCCTTGTTGGCCGAGTTCGGATCGGCGCCGTTTCGCAGCAGCAGTTCGGCCGTCTTCTTGTGACCGCCGAGCAGAGCCAGGTGCAGCGGCGAGTCGCCCGTTTTCGGCACGAGGTAATTGGGACACTGTCGGTGCTCGAGAAATTTCTTGACGATGTCCTTCAAGCCGGACCGGCAGGCCGCGTGGTAGTGCGTGAATCCGTCTTCGTCGACGTAGTTCACGTCGAATTTATCGAATATTTGGAAAAGATAGGGGATCATGGCGTGAATGTCGTCCTGTCTAGCTGCGTGATGAATCGGTGTGGTGCGACGCACCAGTGGCTTGCCGTACGCGTCGAATTTTGGCTCGTCCTTGTAGCCGGTGGCGATCACGAAATTGAGGAACTGATGTCTCTGAAGCACGTCTCCGTACCGGCCGATAGCGGTCTCCGTAAGAAGCCAGTCCATTTCTTCCTTTTTAAAGACGTTCTTCGCTGCTCGGAGATCAGTCACCTTGCCCATCCAGTCGCCGGTCAACTCGTACAGATCGTGGATGAACTTGACTCGCTCCTCTTCAATTTCCCAATTAACCTCTTGGCGTATGCTCTTCAATTTTCCCAAGTTGACCTTGCTCATTTGGTCCATTATGTGCTCGAACATGGCCTCGATGCCCTTGTCGCCCGCGGCATCTCGAATTCTGTCGAACATCTCGGCGGATTCGTCGTCGGACATGTCGATTTCTTTCGGCACGCTCACGCACGCACAACACAAAGCGGCTTACAAGATCAAATGTACTTTTTACTTTACGAGAATGAGAATCAACTGAATCACTCGCTGCAGTCGTGGAATCGACACGATGTTGTTGTTGTTGTTTACGACGCAGCGTCTTAGCGAGTACTGTTTGACGGTTAGACCGAACGTTGTACGACTCGCACGGACGGGCACGAGAGCGCGAAAGAGACAGAGATGCGCGTCGCTAAAAAGACGTTACAAAGGCACTAACTGAGCAGTATAAGTAGCGACACCCGCAGAAGTGAACAAACACAGATTCATGATACGCGCGGCACTCAAAAACGCTGATCGTAATCGCAGCGTGCGAAAGACGGCATAACAAGTCCGGACTGGAAGAGTCTACGATCTTGCATGGTTCATGGCATGGCGCTGCTGCTGGCACCCAACTCATAGGCCGATCGACTGCATTATGCGCTCAGCGCTATCATAATTAAGCGTATGATATCAAAGTACACAGCCATGGCTATGAATTAATTACGAGCACGTGCGAATGGATGGAAAATAGTCTTCGGGGTGAATTTTTATGACTTTTACTCGAAATTACATTTTTTTCAGTATAGTTTTATAATAGCAAAATTAAGTGAACATTTTAAATTTGATATTTAACATAATTTAATTCGTTCGCTCGTTTATTGCATTCAATTTTTGTTGGCTAGTCGTTAACTCGTTTTTTATCATAATATGCAAGTAACGAAATTGCAACACGTTTATACTTACATTCGGAAGAGAGAAAATAAATTGAATAAATGATCGCAGGCCGTGTAGTGGGTTTTTACGCGACTCGATTGTCCACTTTGCTAGTCAAAACAATATCGTTCACCTGAATACTTTATCCTCGAGTAAACCGTTGTTTTACGCGTGTCAATAAAAAATGTCCATTTTGAAATAATTCAAGATTTCAAGAAAAAAGATCGTCTGAGTAGACGATACGCAGATTTTGAACCGATGATAGGAGGACAACGGACATCGTATCTTTCCTTTCACTTATATTCCCTGCAATTAACAGTGAACGATTTTTTTTCGCTTTGATTACCGTACCGTTCAATTGTTTTTTTTTTTAAATTTTCAAATTGCTGTCTCTTTCAAGAATCACCGCCTGCTATTTCATATAAAAGTTTGCAAGTACGAATGTAACACGGTGCAACATGGTAATTAAGAACTTGAAAGGTGTTTCACTAGAAATCACGTTTTTTTGTCAATACCCATCATAATTAAAAATCCACTTGACGGTGGTGGTCGGTCTGAAATTTCAACTGCTTATTGTTTACATGAATAATGAGATTTTGACATCTTATATGTTAGATATTTTTTGAGCAAAAAATTACCAACAAAAAATTTTCTATTACTATTTTTTTTAAGATTAAAATATTTTGCCCAAAAAATAGGCACCATTAAAAATCTCGTTTTTACGAAGATCCGGTGTAAATGTATATTGATTAAAAGACGTTTATACTTCAAAAGTTACTTCATTGAATCCCAAAAAATTGGTCATAAATATCATCTACCCTTCATAATAAATTCACAAAAGTGGGGAAAAACGTGTCGACTATCGTGTATGTTAATTGTTCCGTTCATGAATCACTTTTATTTTATTTTACAATTAAATAGCCGCTAAATTTTCTTGCGCATATAAAATCAAGTCGAAAAAGAAGTAAGAGTTCAGTGCCGTTTTGGCTAGCAACGAGTTAAGAGCAGCATAAAATATATCAATAACGATGTCGACGCTCGCGACGTTTTGCCAAATTTTCGCGGCTCTAAACGGCATAGTCTTGCTTGGTTCGGTCTCATCTGCGAGTACCCATCGAAATTTCACGTTCGAACCCAACGTCGGTAAAAATTATGCAGAGTTCCGTCTAGATTCCATCGAAAATACCACCATCTATTACAGCGCATGCGAAGTGGGCTTCGACGTCCAGAAGGAATGCACTCTTTATCGAGTCCAGGCAGATTTGTCGGGAGGCAGCCCGAAACAGGACGAGTGCAAAGTCACGCTGCGCTCCGAGTCCGGCGGCGCCATCCCCGAGGATCTTGTTGATATCCAATCTCTAGACAAGCATCGAGCGATCTTGCGTTGGGCCGAGATTAGGGTTGATAGCGAGAGTTACTTGCAATTCAGCATTGTCGATTTTTCCAATTGTAAAGTCAAACCGACCAACATTTCATTTCATGATCCGAATTGGTTGATAATACGACGGGAGCTGACATATGACAAAGGAGAAGGTAATCTCGTACTTATTTCGCCTACCAAAACGCGCGTGGATAAAACATCAATCGATGCTGAAGGAGTTGCTTCGAAGCTCGATACGTGGCTCACTTATCCAACTGTCTTGCGCCACCCAGCAACTATCGTACCATTGTCGAAGGACAAGGGCTATTTGGTTATCGAAGTTGAAGGGATCAAATTGAAGCGAAGACCAATGATGACTGTAGCTTTAGTTCAGCCAAACGGTAATTGACATTGAAAATAGTTCAATTTTCGGGGTTTAAATTATAACACTTAAGAAATTTTTCACGCTTTCAGGTCAAAGACAAAATTTAACTCATATCGAAAGTGATTTCCTCCCTGAGGTCTCCTTGGCCAATGGATTGATCGGAATATGCGGATATACCAACGCTACAGTCATGAAATGCACCCAGTTCAAGCTCGGCGACAAAGAGATCAACTGGTTTTCAGTCAGTACCGTTAAAAAGATAGATCCAAGAGCAGCTATCTACAATTTGCCGAGAGGCGAAGGATTTTTGACTAGCATCGCAAAAAAGTACGACCTGGTGCAATTCGATGGCGACAAGTACCTGTTGAAAATAGGTTTGGACGGAAAAGCCAAGCAGTTTCTGGATCCTAATATGAAATGCGAGGATTGGGAGTTTAATTTCGATAAAATCTTCCAAGACGACCGAGGCAATTACTGTCTGAGCACAGTTTGCTATGGTCCAAAATTGCAAACGAAGTGCTTCAAACCGGAAGAATTTAAAAATATTACAAATTACGAGATAAAACCAGATGACTACATTAATGATATACAAAGGCTAATAATCGAATAATGAATATTGAACACTTTTGCGTATATTACGCCTTTGTGTGTGAATAAGTTGTTATTAACTACTCTATTATTTAATTTAAAATAAAATGTGTAATTTTTTTTCTACTGTTTACTAAACTTATTCGATTATCTCCTGAAATAAGTACCAAAAAAATACACAATCGAATAAACTAACGTTAAACTAGACATTTTTTTCAACTCAATGCAGTACTTAATTAAGTATAACCTCGATAACCTTTTTATATTGTCTATGTAAAGAAGAAACTTCGTCGCTTCACGTCCGATTCTTCATTTAACTTTGACGAGTGTATATTATATGATGAATTCTCAAAAATTATTTAAAAACAGTTCAAAAAATCTCAAAATCGTTTTAATTTTTTTATACACGCCCACTCTTAATTGTCCCAGCAGCTCTGCCAATTTCTGCGGACAATGTTAATAATAAAAAATGGATGTGCAAGGCTGAACGAGGGTAGCTGCAGACGCGAGAAAGACGTGAAACTTCTACATTACGATTTTTTAAAAATGAAATAGAAATAAAATTAAAATCCAAATAAATTCAATTCATCGCTTGGATTACAATTTTTTATTTATTTTGTTTTATTTGTCTTGATTATAACAATCGTTGTTTAGCAATGAAACTTCAGAAAAAAATTAGTACTTTGAAAACAAAACATTATTATAATTTCTATAGTAGTATACGTAACAAAGCTAACGTTCTTGTATTCATTATTTATTTCAAGATGCAGCTATTTCGTAAGGTTTAATATTATTTCGTTTTCTGAAAAGACACGATTACACAAATTAAAAAGTTATCAAGAATTTTGGGATGTAGCCGCAAAGCAAATAGAACTTAAATCTTTGTTCATCAACTTATTAATAATAATTTCACAGCACAGAATAGGCAGTTGATAACTTGTCAGCTTCAACAAAGGTTCCAGGGCCCATTCACGGAAAAATCTTCTGGCCATTATCGCGCTCAGATGTACAGCACAAGCCTCTTTAGTCCCTTCCGGTAAATCTGTGTAAACACAGATGCACGCAAATTCAAAATAGTCCGAACACGTGAGTCGTTTTTCCACTTCTTCGGGTTTCAACTGAACCACGTCGTAGAGTGACAGATTTTTATTTAACATGTTGTTTTTCGCTTCTTCCGAGAATTTGTCGTCATCGTACCAACGTTTTTGAAGATTCGCTGGCATCTCGAACAATCCGTTTTCAGCGAACAATTTCATGATGTTCATGGCGTTGCTTCGGTTCAATTCGTACCCTCTTTTCTCTAGGCACTCGACAACGGCCAAGGCGCCAGATACCAGTCGCAATTTGATATTCAGCCAATTATCCTTGAATCTAAGATCGAATTCATCGGGGAATTTAATCTCAGTGGGAAAAACGATGCAAGACATGTCAGCACCACGACTCAAGAGAACTTCCGCGGCAAGTGGCTGAAGATTCGTCACAGCCAATTGCAGTGGAGTCTGACCTGACTTGTCTCGAGCATTGATATTCACCATCTGATGTAATTCGTCGTTGGTCTCGATAAACGTCATCGCAAAGTGTACCCCATCTTCGTCTCTACAGAAAATAGTGTGCAAAGGTGTCTGTCCCTTTTCGTTCACCAAATTTGGATCAGCCCCTCTTCTCAGCAGCAATTCGACAGTCATACCGGAGCCGTTTTCCATAGCAAAGTGAAGCGGAGTTTCACCCAAGTCGGTCTGGGCGTTTATCAACAACGGCTGATGCCTTTCATCGATGATTTTGAAGAATCGCTCCACCATTTCCTCGAAACTTTCACCAATCAAATGCAAGGGAATTAAGCCGTTCTTGGCGGCTAAATTGGGGTCGGCGCCATTTTCCAGCAGCAGTTCGACTACTCTCTCGTTTCGATTCTCTACAGCCATAAGTAGCGGCGATTCACCTGTATCTGAGGTGAGGCAATTGGGATCTTGTCCGAGCTCGAGGAATCGCTCGACCGCGTAGTCGTCACCAGCGAAGCAGGCCGCATGAAAGTGCGTGAATCCATCAGATTCGTCCGTGTAATTCGCGTCAAATCTGTCGTAAATGTTGAAAAGAGCAGGGATTACGTAAAAGTAATTCGTAGCCGCGTGAAGCAGTGCTGTCTTACGATGCACCAGTGGCTTGCCATCTTTATCCAATTTGGGCTCGTCCTTGTAGCCTGTGTCGATTACAAACTGGATGAATGAAAAATCGTCGTCGATGCGGTCGGGATCGTCTTTGTTCCTCATACTCTCCACGAGGATCGATTCGATTTCTTCGGGACTAAAAACGTCCCGGAGGTTAGGAAGTTCTCCGTACCAATTTCTGACTAAAGAAAGAAATTTTCGGAAAAACCCACGTCGCTCCTCTTCCATCTCCCAGTTAACCTGTTCTCGCAGATTTTTCAACATTTTTAAACAAAATTGCTTTTGTTCGCCCATCGCTCCGTAATAAACTCACAAATTCAACACACTGTCGCTTTTTAAAATAAAATAAGTATTTTTCACTTAATTCTCGCAAGAATCAGGTACTGCAGCCGATGCGATCTTTCGCTGTTTACGCTGCGGCGTCGTAACGTGTACTGAACTGCGACGGCACAAGGAGGCACGGAGGCGCCTGCTATTGTTCGAGCGAAAAAAAAGTGGCGCGAAAGAGGCAGTGATACACGACCCTATAATTTACACAGACGTCGTAAAATCATATTAGAGCTAAGCAGCAATCGCGCGGGCCACTCACAACAGCACTGAAGTAAAAAAAGTTGGCAAATCACAGCTTACAAAATTACAAGTATTTTATCTCTTAGGATTCCATATAGATCATTTCGGGCTAACATTTCATGTTCATTTCTCTTCAAATAACAAAAACCATAATAATAATGTCACTTACCGGCCAGGCGTCCTCTTGGCGGGGCGGGCTCGCAGAATCGCTCTTCGCCGGGTCCGCGACTGCTCCACAGACTGTTGGACAGGGCCTGGTGCAGCAGGCAGCGCTCGGGCCGCGTCAGCAGCTGCTCGGCCTGGGGCAGAGCCTCGCGCGGCAGCAGCTCCTGCAGCACGCGATTACGCAGTCGCTGGGGTCCGCGTGCCTGGTAGCGATCAGCGGCGGCGACGCCGGTCACCTGGTGACTCCGGACGTGTTCGATGCCGTCTAACTTGAACCTGCCCAAGATGCCGTTGGACATGTCCCGTAGCGAGGTGCTCGAGGACGAGGATGCCTCGAGCTTCCTGACGATGTCGAGGATGACGGGTAGATTGAGGGGCAGCGAGGGCGCCAGTACGCCGTCGTGCCTCGTGTAGCATTCCCGCAGATGAGCCGGCAGAGCTGCTCGATACGACGATGACTCAGCCAGTCCACCGCGGCTTCCTGCGTAAGCGCGCGAATCAATGACTTTTTATCCCTTTACGATAGGCCGTATAATATAAACACGTAAGTTAAAGATACTGTAATAAATATACAGCGACTCGTCATCGCAGCCTCTTTTGCGGTCGATTCGGAGTATCGCGTTCGTTTCTGCATTGCGCCGGTATACACATTGGGCGCGCACGAGAGAGCCGTGTGTGATTCATCCGCGTTCGTATACATGTTATACGCGGGCCGTTGCTCGCGATCGAGTCGCATCGCGCGCCAAGCCGCTATATAGGTATAATTAATGCGAACGGAGGTCAAGAGCAGCAGCAGCAGCTCGATCGCGGGGGATCGTTGGCCGCTGAGAGCCGAGCCGCTCACGAGACACATACGAAAGATATGCTCTTTGTCTCGCTCGCGTCTCGCGCGCGCCGCGCACAGCATTGTAATAACGTATATAGGTATAGTTATATAGCGTCGTGGATCGTCGAACGCGGATGCAGAGAATCAAGTGGTTTTCTGCGGAATAATAATGACGCGCCGCGTGTGCGCGGGACAAAAGCATCGTTATGCAATTTCGAGATGATCGGAGAGCCCCGCGGTATACGCCATCGACTCTGCTTTTTTTTTCTCTTTTCTCGAGAGAGAGAGATAACGAGAATTCGGTTTTAATTTTGAGAGATACGTACGATTTTGTGTGTACTCTTTGTCGTGCGATTAGCGCGAAAATTTGCACTCGCTTGCTTTTTTTTCTATATAAACGCCAGCTGACTTTTTTCTTTTTCTCTCGATACTTAGTACGGGCGATTCGTATTATTAAGTAGCCGCAGGAAACAAAGATGAGTATTTGGCGGATGCTATTGTGTACCGAAATGAGATTCCTGTGAAGTTCGAATAACGAGGCATATACTTAACAAACGTTTATACCAAAGGACTCTATGGCAAATCGATTTTATAAAGTAAGCACGACAAACGTCACCTGTTCCGACCGAGCATTTGTTTTTTTTTCTCTCTCTCTCATCAAATATTCAACGCTAATTGCATCTATTCACCTTGACTTCCATGGTTTACAATTTTAAAAATTGTTGAACGTCGACCGTACCGTACAAACGTTTGAAAAAATAAAAAATAAAACGGTCGAGAAATTTCTATGTGCTTAAAAAATTTCAATATCGCATCGATCTGTTATTTCAATTATGCTCGATTAACCGAGCAGCAGGTATTTCAATCGCGAGATGGTAATAACGAGCAATTTTTTTTCTTTCGTAAAGAATTTGCGGAAAGAAAAAATATCAAATATTTGTACGTATACGGTTAATTGTAATTACGCAACGAACATAATATTCGATGACACTTCGCAAAGACAAGCGTCTCGGTTATTATGTCGCATGCGAGTCGTATTACCTTCATTTTTTTATCATCTCGCGAAGATACGTTTATATACGTAAAGAAAGACAAGAGAGCAAAAATAATAAATAAATAAATAAAAAGTACATGTCAATGTTTAGTTTGATTGACCTACATTCGCATCGTGCGAGAGAGAGAGAGAGAGAGAGAAAAAAAAAGAGTGCACAGAAAAAATACATAAAAAAGAATCGGGTCTGAAAAGAGGCAATCGGGGTTATAATGTATATAACGAAGCGTAAATATATACGCGATGCGCAAATAACACTCGAGCGGCAGTGCCGGAATATTCACTTATACACACGCGTTTACGATTACTGTATAATAACGAGCGATACAATTGATGGCGCGATGCACAGCTCAATGAGACACGCGGACGCATCAACTGCCGTCGCGATAAGAACAAAAATCCGTATATTCGTGGATCCTTTGCGTACATAGCCTGGCACGCGCTGACGTTATATACAATATAATATATCTCGATGTAACAGATCGATACCGTTCAAATATTTACCTATAAAAAATACATACAAAGTAAAGGCGATCGGAGCAATCTGTGCTTTTAGATAATTTCCTCGATGCGTGTATGCATCGAGTCTACTCAATGAGCTCTGCAGCTGTATTACACGACGTGTGCCTCGGTTTCTATATCTTTGTGTGCGTGTAAAAGAGTCGAGCAATCGCTATCGCTGACAAATGTTCGTCTTTTGACAAGCTGTCGTTACATTTAATACATGTCACGCGAGTTGGCTTACGAAGAGGAGAAAAAAAAATAAACAAAACGAAAGATCCTAGAAAGTCTCGATGCTCCGTTCTTTGTATATACAGACTTTTTTGCTTTTAAGAAACAAACGAGAGTAGAGAGATGGACCGGATGTAGCACGCGCGGATATCGGTAAGTAACGATACACATTCGTACATTTACAACAAAGACTCACCGAGAAAAGAAAGCGACAGAAGCACAATCGCAGCAGCTTGAAACGAGTGGACGATGGGGTTGTAACTGTAGCAACTCGCGAGTACCGGCGAACAACGATCCATCGCGACAACGATCAGCACCCGCACAATCGGTCATGATCGGCCACTTCGGGCGGACTTCGGCAGCGAGACTGACTGACTCCGACTGTCGAGTCGAAAAAACGGGTAGCGAACCAACTACTTGCTGCTGCTACTACTACACACACTCGAAAGAGTGTAGTACATCGAAACACATGTGTGTGCACTGCGTCATTGTCGTCGTCGTCGTCGGCAGCGGTGGCAGTTGTGGCGCTTGTCGTTGTTGCGCCCGACCCCCTTCGTCTGCAGCGGTTCTGTCGTACCTCCTCCTCCTCCTCCTCCTCCGTCGATGCTTCTCTGCGGCTTCTTGGTATATATATAATATCGGCGCGGCGCAGCATGATTCGCGCGCGAGCGTCGAACGAAAGTGAAAATTACCGCGAGTGACTCAGGCGGCTGGTATATATACTATATGTATGTATGCGTTGATATGCAATGCACGTTACGGTTCGCGTACAACACACACATACATACACATATATTGGATCGTGACGGTGCTCTTGGCGCACATATAGTAGTCGGCCGATGCGCTCGATAAGATAAGCCACACGCTCTCTTTCTCTCTCTCTCTCTCTCTCTCTAATTCCTTTTGAATCGTCCTGCCGCGCGGTATAGGTACGTTAAGGTAAAATACATTGTATACAGGTATATATAAGCCAAAAAGTGAAAAGGCTCGCGCGCACGTGTTTCGTGCCTGCCGAGGTATTCACCTGTACGGGCGGTAATACATATTATGCCCGCGATGACCCAGATTCCCCTCGGACAACTTATATCGTTTATAATTCCTATACATGCACGTGTTTGCTATATATATACGACGAGTATACAACGAGAGAGACCTTCGTCATGGCACGCGCACGCAACCATGATGCGGAGCTGCCGCCACTCAAAAATCGATAAATCGATCTCGCGCTCGCGGGTCACGCTTTATACACACAAAAATATATAATACGTGTGTGTGCCTGGAATCGTCGCGTGTCGCGCGACCGTTACGACGATCGCCAGAATTATCCTGCCTATAGGGTACGTGTGTGGAACCGGAACTGGATCCTTGGAGCCGCGCGCATAGATGGCCCATAGACGTTTGTACACACACACACACGCGCTTCTTCCGCTGCCGCACCCGCAATAACGTAATATGCTCGATTCGCGCGAGGCCCTCCGTCCGTCGCCTCGAGATGAGCGACTCGTCGGCACTTTTCCGAGAAGGCGAGCGCAAACATATATATGTAATTTTCAACGAGACAAGAGCTCTACTGGGGCCGTACGCGAGAGAGATGATAACGGCGCGGCGACGCGCAAAGATGTCGTCGTGCGCATGCGATGAGATTTTTACGAGTACTCGCGCTGGACGCGCGGAGTTTCCGCTTTACTTCCGAATGAGTCATTCTCACGATTTCGACCGATCGTTTCGATCGTTCGCGGGGATACTTACACTTGCTCTGGTGCGGTGACAAGTGGGTTACGTGCGTTTGACGCGTCGTTAGGTATATACGTAAATCGGACACAATGATGCATGATTTTTATCGAGATTGCACTAACGAAACGAGACAAGGTTTCATTTTAAAGCAATCGGGCAGAAAAGATCTCGTGTCCGTTTTATTACATAGACTCACTTAGCCAGTAATTGCAAGCTTAGGTATTCAATTAAAATCAAATAATAATATTAAAATAATTGATGAACGATAAAATTATATAATGTTTTCTTTAATAATATTATCGATTAATTCAATATTATTATTTGATTTTAATCGAATACCTATGCTTTCATTTACTATGTGTGGTGACTTGAAAACTCAAGACCTCTTTGCCTCTGAGTTTAAAGTAGATACCTTTCGGCTCTATAGGGTAACGTCTCTTTTACGTGTGTCAGGTATATATTTCGATGAGATGCAAAGCTTTTATAAATGTCAAGCGTTTGAACGTATGGCATTCCAAAATTTGACTGCCTATAAACGCAGGTGTCAAAAAATCATACACCCATATAAAGTACGGTCCTCCGTAACATTACGATTCATCATCGTGGCAGCAGAAAGTGAGAGATGCGGGCTCGAGATAAGGCATAGTATTATTTCACGGAGGTGCTCTCATCTGTATACGTTATACATATATTGGTAGGGATAGAGAGAAGAAGAGAGGCTATATCTTATCTCTCGGGCGCGAGTAAGAGTGCGTGCCGCGAGCGACAGATAAGAGAGAGCCGTGTGTGTGTGTCTGTGTATAGCGTCCTAAAAGCTAAGGTGTGCGTCGCCACCGCCACCGCCGTACCAGTTCCCCGCGGTTATACCTTCTTTATTGTACATCTAGTGTAGTAGTATAGTACTTTACCGGGCACCGATTGTCCCCCCGCGTCAGTCCGACGCGCGACTCCATTACAATTGGATTCTCTCTCTCGAGGATCTCTGCTGACCCGAAACTGAGTGCAGAGATTTATAATTTAGGCTGCGAAACTCTGTTCCATTATTTATCGCGAGTGATTATTATAATTTGTGTGATTTTACCTCCGTATAAAATGCGGACGTTCTTCGCCGGCGTCGAGTCGTCGGGCGCTTTCCGCGCGCTGCTCCTGTTCCTGCTGCTGATCGGTAAGTCCTACTTTTTCTTGGCATCGATTTTCGGCCTTCCGGAGCGAGCCGTTTTTCTTCTCTAGCTTTTCGGTGTCACCGGGGCGGCGGCGGCAACAATTTGCAATTCATTATTCGAGGCATCGATCGCGAATTTTTTTTTCCTTGCTTTTCGATATCATTATTATACGAAGTAATTTCGCGAGCTGGTTCGCGAGAGTTCTTATACTCTCGAGTGCGTTATACATATACATATCGCATATATGTATGTATATTATTCAAGTGACTCTTTTTACAAGAATTTCATGAAACGAGTGTAACGGCGCACGGTATACGACGCGCGTGAGAGTGTGGAAATCTCGCAGATAAGCCGAAGCGGCGACCGATTCTCGGCTTCGATAGCGTCATATTTTATAATGTACGCGGCAATGTATAATAATACCTGCTAACGCGTAAAGAGGTATCTGTATCGGCCACAGCCTTACACTCACACACAGACGTATACATCTCTATACGTCGAGTACAATAATGTCTACAATAGATACAGATAGAAAAATATGTGCTATATCGTATTGTATAGATGGGTGCGAGTCGAGCTTTATAATCTCTGCGCCTTTGAGTGTGTACACAATGTGTCATATTGGCCCGCGAGTACTCTCGCACACACGAACATCCATACGATACTCGCACACGTGTAAAAGAGCTGCGTGTAGAGATTATCTGGCAGCGCGAGGACGAAATTTTTTTTAAAAGCTTCCGGTTACATGCCTCATTTTTTTGCTTCGATGATTTTACAGTTTCGTCGAGCCGAGCCCAGGAGAATGCCAAGAAGATCCTGTCGCCGAATCTCGTCGACTGCTACGAGAATCCGGATCTGGCCAAGTGGAATCTGCTGCCGCACGACCTCAACCATCTCGTCTCCATCATTCGCAAGATCGAGAACGCGCCGGGATTCGGCCTGAGCGTGCGCGACTTTGCCGGAGCTCTGCTGCATCGGTGAGGCAATCTTGTGTTGAAAAAAAAAAAAAAAAAAACGAAACAGCAATGGTATACCGATCACGATATTTTAATACTGACTCGAGCACGGGATCGGTAAACTATAGCGAGAGTAAAAATCAAAGAGTTAAGGTGGCTCATCAGTAAAACGGCTCAACAACAGATGATTATAGAACTTGGCAGAAATGTCATTTAAAGTGCCCTTGATGTGTTATCAAAATTTCAGCATGGGTTGCCGTACTAATTTTTGAGAATGAAGCCGTTGAAAATAGCAAATTTAACATGGGCTCTTATAGGAGGCCATCCTAATTTCATACATTTTACGCTATAACTATTTTATTCAACGACAGATATTAACCAAAAACGAATATGTTATGTTTCAAGTCACTACGTTTCGATTGGTATGTTAAAAATTACCCCTTATCGAACTAACTAATGAGTAATTAAAGAAAATGTGCGTAAAATCATTGATTTCGAATAGTGCGAGCGGTTGCCTGTCTAATGCGAGAGAGAGAGACAGACAAACGCCTCGCTGTATACTATTGTTATGATTGCTGACGAGCCACCTTAAGGTATTAAAATCGATTATTCATTGACAATTGCCCTGCGCAAATAACATCCGACAATCGGATATTACACATACACTCTCGGTACTCACGATACCTTGCATGACTAATTTCCCATTTTCGACTTACTTCGCGCTGACTAAATCCATTTCCGCTGGCTTAAAACCTCCTTATCAGCAGCCTCAGTGACGATGATATACACATTATAATAATAACACATCAAAGTCGGGAGCGTAATCGCGCGCAATTATAATCCCGACGTAATGCATTGTAAATGCTCAACCCGATAATCTCGGTCGCGATGATCCATCGCGCGATTATTACATTATTAACAATAGCGCCTAATTATAAATCTGACCAATACAATATGACCGATCTGAACGATGATTTTGTGTTACAATAAAAAAAAAAATAGATTCCGCCAGGACGGCATCGTGAAGAGCCCGACGATCCACTCGCAGTCGGGCGTGCTGCCGTACGCCCCCATGGGCATGCACTTCCGGCGCCACGCCAAGACGCTGCAGGTCATCCCGGGCACGGCGGCCCCCCAGCTCGATCTCAACAGCATCACTCCCCTCGAGCGGGTGAGTAATATATAATACAACGAAAAATGTGTGCCAAATATTATGCTACATGACCGGTTTTGATTTTATTTAGTGCTCGTTGCACGCCATGATCTCGAGCAGCATCGACAAGTACGTGCGCCAAGACGAGTCGCGCGACTGCCAACGACCAAGCAATAGCTATCAGTCGTCCTACCAGTCGTCGTACCAGTCGAGGCCCTACAACTCGCGCCGCTACAGACGCGGCCTGTCCAAGAGCAGCGACGTCGAGACCCTCAGCGCCGACCAGATGTGAGTACAATGACGAACTTGATAATATAGTGATACGAATAGAGGTCGGCTTACATATAATAAAAAAGGCAAAACATGCAAGTAAATGTGCATGAAAATTTGTTGAAAATGTGCAAAAATAATTCAAATATGCCATTATGTAATAAATGTAATTTTTGTCGCGGATTAAATTGAAAAACTTGTAAGGAAAAGTTTCCTCGATCAACTACACGGAGAAAAAACATTCATTGATTCAATGAAATCTAATTTAATATTTTATTTACTATTAATTTAATCAAATGATTGATTGAATGAATGATTGATTGAAGCTATGAAACTTTGGTAAAAACAATTAAATATTTTGTTAGATGGTATTTAATTAAATAATTTTGTTGAATCAATGAGATTTTTTTCTCAGTGTAGAAACTAATAACAATAATTCTTATGATTCAAGTTATTGTTTTATTTACATAAGTACAGCCAATTTGAAAATTGCGCAACTGCCCCTGTTTGTAAAAATGTTGTTAAAATTGGTAAAAATATGCAAAATATGCAATTTCGTATGCAATCCGTGCATTTGCATATAATCCGGGCTCCAGTAATAAGTCAGCTCCCCAAGCCGTTAATCTTATGTCGAACGTAATTATGCGCTATTACAGAAGAGCCCTCAAGGCTAAGAACGAGAGCGTCGACCCGGACTCGCAGTACCCGGAGCTGCCGCCCAACCATCCGCTCACGAGGAACGGCCGCTACGCCCAGAACGAGCCGCCGCTGAGCAACTGCCCGATCGAGAACGGCGTCGTCAAAACACCGTAAGTATTTTATTATATCCTCCATAACGATCTACATAGTCTCCAATCGTTGCTTAACGATCTCTTACCGATTCGGCGCCGCTAGATGGGGATCGGTAGCCGGTGGACCTCTGCTGGCCGGCATAGCCGCTGGTCTGCAGCCCCAGACCGTGGCCGTGTCCACGCTGCTGCGCGCCCGCGTGGGCGGCGGCTTCGACGACTCCTCCAACTCCAACCCGATGATCACGAGCTACTCGACCGAGTCGCCCATCGAGAATCGCTACCTGGCCACCCTTGCGGGCGACCTCGCGGAGGTCGCCCTCATGCAGGGACCACGTCTGCCCAGCATGCCCCAGGGCTATCGCATCGGCACCGAGGGCCACTGGAACTCCACCGACTCGCCGCGCTTCTACTTCCTCGAGGCCAACGAGGACCTGCAGATGACCGCCGCTGAGATACGCGGCGACCTCGACGGCCTCGCCATCGCCGAGACGGTGCTCCAGCAGCACAATCGCTACCCGGGCCTGAGGCTGTCGCAGATCCTCGAGATGTACTACAGCGATCGGGGCTTCTTCGAGGAGAAGGTGCGCGCCTGCAATCGCAACCAGCTGGCCCAGCAACTCGTAATGGCCAACACGGACAAGCTCGTGCAGCAGGCCTACAGCGCGGCCGTCGTGCTGAGCCCCGAGCTCGCCACCGCCTTCATCACCGACGAGAAGATACAGGAGCTCGTCCGCCAGGCCGTCAAGGATCTGCAGACTTTTATACGTGAGTACACCATTTTTTTGAGCGCTGCGGTAGAGTGATTGGGTTTCGATGATAATGATGTCAATTTCGCAGCGAAAATGTCGCCGAACGCGTGCGAGAACAGCGGACAAAATACTGGCCGATCGTCGAACCTCGAGACGGCCGTCGACGTGACCGTCGTCGTCGACTCGTCCTGGCCCTACGATCAACTGTACTCGATCTTGTCGTAAGTACTATTTTCGATCTTTTTTCGTGCGATATGCGTGAGCAACAACAAAAAAATCCTTGAAATACGATGCTCTAATTGCGATTGAATTTTGTGTCACTTTGTCCGTGAATTTGGCTACTAGTTTCGTATTTGAGAATACCTACAATCGTTTGAAAGTTTTTTGTGACTCTCGAATACTCGCAGAAAAATCCACTAGAATTCGAATGATGACATTTAAATGGTATAATCAATTGTAATAAATGATAAATCACACCGAGAAAAACATCTAAGGTTAAAAATTGAAGTAATTCAACTCTGATGAACGTACGGCACGTCGTAAAAAAATTGTCCCATTTTTCACTCCCAATAGAGACCCTTGATCTACCAGTTCCTGATTTTTGGCAGCGGAAGGGAATTATTCGTGTTCAGAAGCGCTGTTATGAAGCTTCTTTCGGATGGGAATTTTTTATTTTTCGCGGCCAAAAGCAGTAATGACATTATTTTACCACTATTATTACCAACTCCGAAACCAAGGTCTTTACGGCATCATACTTGATTTACCTCTCTCTCTCTTCCTTTTTCTCGTGTGCGCGCGCGCGCAACATACACGTGTTCGTGCGAGCGCCTCACCGTCTAACGCCTACACACCTACGACATAGTTTTAAAACTTAAATCCAGCGAAGTAGGGACTTTGCCTATGCCTGTAGACATGTGCTACTATTATTGTCGCATACGTTATACATACGGCTGGCCCCTACTTGACGGTACGTTGGGTATCTCTCATAGCTCCGTCCACGTATTTATTGCTTTCTCTCTCTTTTTTATCTACTGAGCTCCGTACACGCGTATTCATTTCTCTCTGTACGTTAAACGTAGTGTACGAATAGTCAGTACACTTTAACTCGCAGCAGCGAAAAGAACGGAAAAAGAAAGAACGAAAATATTTTTGATTATAAGAAATTCTGTGTTGTGAGTGTGAGTGCGCAAAACCATGATTGGCATTCAAGTCCGTCCCTTCAAAGAAAGCCGTAAGGCAGAAAAAGCGGAGAACTTACGTAAAAAGATCGATTGGAAAGTCGAGCAAAAACGAGTCAAATCTCTCGGCCGAATGTTGAAGAGACTGCGATTGATGGTCAATTGGAAGATTAAAAAAGAAAGATACGAGCTCCTTGATCAACTTTGTCACTTGATAAAAAATTGGAAGGGCCAATTTCCGAATCTCCGAGACATTTTTCAAAATGAAGAAATCGAGCGTCTTATCTCGGATTGCTTGAACTACGAGGGTAGACGTTTTTATCGTTTCATTGAATTCCTGGCGTGCATGGCTCTGACCAACTGCAAGGACAAGCCTAAAATTAATAAAAACAACAAGCCGCTGCTGCGTCGTATCGGATCTGTGCATCGTGCGGCTAGATGCGATCACAAGACTGCCCGTAAGGTTACTTCGAGCAACAACATGATCCGAGCAATTTTTAAAATGTACAGTAGATTTAACGAGAATTACAGTGACGAAACATTAATAAAAAACCAAACCAATGAAATCGCACAACTCAAAGAAGAATTAGAAGAACATAAAAAGTCTAGCACGAAAGAGATCAATGAGCTGACAGCAAAGAACAATGACTTATCAGACTTGGTGATGGACTTGGACAAAGATCGAAGAGCTTTGCATAATGCTATTCAAGAATTAAAAGGAAACATTCGAGTATTCTGCAGAATCAGACCAAAGATTCCCAAGGAAGTTTCTAAAAATTTGTGCACCATCAATTATTTAGAAGAATGCACGCGAGATGGATCGCGGTGCTCAAATTTTTACGCGGCCTGCAAGAATGGCCTCGCTGACGTCGTCGAGAAATTCCTCGAGCTCGGTCAAGATCCCAACTGTCTCGAGCCAGAATCAGGTATTACGCCACTGAACTTGGCTCTGCTCGTCGGTCACAAGGAGGTGGTCGAAATGCTGCTAAGAGGAGGCGCGGATCCCAATACAGTCAGCAAAGACGGATTTACACCTCTGCATATTATTTGCAAAAGAGACGACGATGACGACTTGGTGAAGAGGTTCTTTGAGATTTGCTGCGATAACCAGCTGACGGTGCAGGTCAACGTGAAGGACAAGAAGGGTCGGACACCTTTGCAGTGGGCCGTGGTGAGTTTTTTGCTTCGTACGATCGATGTACTCTTGGATCATGGGGCTGACCTGTCTAGCTTCGTTTTTCCAACTACAAGTCACTTCTGCGAAGGATTTAAAAAGTACCAAAGCAAATTGGATCGATGCACATTAAGAGTAATATCTGCTGCTCTGGCCGTCGTCGAATGCCTGGAAAAAGGAGGATACAAACTGCAACTAGGCGACGCTATAGAGATCGCACACCTGTTCCATGAGCATAAATTGTTCAAGAGGCCAGAGGGTCTTTCTAGGGGGTTTGAAAAATCTTTAACAAACAACGAGAAGTTCGTCAGCAAAGCGAAAGGATTGATGGTAAATTCGAGCCTGTCGCTCTACGAACTGAGCCTGCTAAACGAGTTTCGACTCGATGATGCGGCGAAACTACCCACGCACGAGGAATTTTACGAATTTGCGCGCTCGGAAAAATTGAGCGAGCTGCCCGAAGACTGCAGACGGGGTTGTGCTTTTCTTTTGTGCGAAATAATGTCGAGAGGATTTTTACGGAGATGGGAACTGGTTTCTTCCATGGAGACGACGCGCCACTGGCTACCAATTGAAAGGTTCATCTACTTGGATTCGAACCGATATTTGTTCATTTGTAGTCTACCTAAATTTCTGTATTATTATTATTATTTTTTTTTTATTATTTTATTATTATTTTTAGTATTATTTTTATCATATTATTATTATTTATTCAATTATTGAATTCGTTTTGATTTTTTGTTGGTTGATTTTCCAATTAGTGTATGTTGTTCAAGTCTTGAGAAATTATCATTTTTGATTTGACTTTCCTAGTGCATTTATGTAATTCTTTTTTTTTTCGACAAATTCACAATGAAAAATTAAATTTTTCAAATACATCGCCAATAATTTTTCGTCTGACTTCACCCGCACGGGTTCTTTTTTAATTACTTTTGATTTTCATATCTATCGTTATCTATTATATACCTTGTCGTTAATCTTCATAGTTACCAATAAATTAATGTTGGGCTTGAAATTCACTTCTATGATTTACCTCACTCTTACGGAGGGTACGACTCCGTGGAAAAATTTAGCTCGAGTTATACCTAATTACAATAAGAATCAAATGATTTAATTATCGACGCTCACTGAATTTTTTCAATGGAATTGTAAGAGATGGAAGTTTTCAATATCGGACATCTGATCATCAATCATTTTACGATGATTTCCAGCGAGTGAAGCATAATTAGGCTCTTATTTCAATTTATCTCTGTCTCTCTTACTTTCTCTCTCGTGCTGCCATGTGCGTGTTCCTCGACGTCTAACGTCACGCAGTTGGAGTCGCATTAGATTTGGTAAAGCGCCGCCAAAGAAATAGGCAGCTGTGCGCTATGACGTCACGATCGGCCCCCCCACTACGACGAATTCACGATTTTCCTTCGATTACTCCATATAGTATAGATCGATGCAGCGTCACTCGAATCTCTAAAATTGTACGATGTGTCCACGCGTTCGTACGACTTTCTAATTTCAATCGTATGTACTATCAGTGTAAGTTCGGTCGCCGACTCGTGAACAGCCTGCACCTAAAGTATATAGCGTCGACCACGTGTTCAAAAGTGAAAAAAAAAAATACATAAGTTTGTTGAATCGTAAGCGATTGTGTTTTGTGTGATTATAAACAATGGCTGCTGCAAACGATCTTTGGGGAGATCACCATTACGACAACTTCGTGAACGATCTGAAGTGCTTGCGCGAGGAGGTCAGGTGGAACGTTGAAAAAAAGCGATTGGCGTTTCTCGATCAACTCTGCGAGTCGATCCAGAACTGGCCGGGCCCACGACGCGTCGATCTCCGGGACATCTTCGTCAAGGAGGACATCGGCTGTCTGCTCTGGGACTGCATCAAACAATCGAGAAAACGATTCGTCTACCTGTCGGCACGCAGCGGCTTCAGCGAGAGCGAGATCAATGCCCTCTTGACTAGTACCAAGCCACCGCCGGACGCGACCATCCACCGCAGGGCCGTCGTCGTGCAAAGTAAGACCAGGATCGTCGATAGAGGCAACAGATCTAATCGCAGCGGACCCACAGATTTTCACGTGGCCTCTGGTAATGGCAGAAGACAGGAAAATACTCGGGGCCGGTGCCCGCTGCAGTGGGCCGTGTCGAATCTGCTGCCGGACAGAATGGATATACTTATGATGTGCGGCACCGATCTCGCTAGCTTCGTTTTCCCGACCGAGAGCGAATTCGTCGAGAGTCTGCGATCTTACGACAGCCACGAGGCAGCGACCAAATTGATACTGGCGTCCGGTCTGATGGTAGTCGTCGAACGTCTCGAAAGCAAAGGATACGCGATGCGGCGAGACGACGCCTCGACGATCATGAAGCTGTTCGAGAGGTACGAATTGTTCGAGCGAAAGGAGCGAGCGACTCCTCTTCAAGCGTTGGACGCAACGTTCGTCGAAAAGGCCAAAGAGATGAAGATACGCGAGGACCTGTCGCTCGACGATCTGATCCGGCTACGACCCGAGCAGGCGGACGAACGAGGAGTCACCTATTCCGACTACTTCGCGTTCGCCAAGTCGAAGAAGTTACAGCAGCTGCCCGGGAACAGCCAACGGGACTGCGCCCTGCTTCTGTGTGAGACGATGGCGAGAGGATTCTTCCGACGCTGGGCCCTCGATGCCTACCGGGAGTGGACGTACAATTTGCTGCCGATCGACCTTGGCAAGACGTACATGAGGGACTTTCGAAACGAAAATTTGTACCACTATGCTCGCCTCGAGAGCGTGTTCGATGATCCAACTATTTTTTTTTCTTGTCTTTTGTTTGTTTTACTTTTATTAGCTGCTTGGCTCAAGTGGGGTCTTCTATGATCCAATTATTTATCCTTGTCTTTAGTTTGTTTTACTTTTAGCATCAATTCGGTTTATTCGTACATCTATTCTGTATATATATTCTGTAATAATTAAGGACATCTATTCTGTAATATTTGATTAAGTGAATAAATTGATTAAAAAAACCATCATCGATTTTTCTTTTGATAACCATACGATCGTTCGAAGTAAAAGATTTTAGATAATCTATAGCATTAATAATTTAAGATTCACCTAAAATGATGCAATTGAAATGTCATTTTACGAATAATAATGGATTTTACTGTGGGCATTGATGTCCAAAAAGAGAGTCGTAGTACAGTTTTGTATTATTTCGTCAATATCAAACAAGTATCATTTACAAAAATCTATGATAATTCGTCCTCAGAAACACAAAAATACTCCTATAAAAAAAACTTATCAAATCGATGTTATTGGTACTTGAATATAGTATATACTGCCCTAGGCCGCGAAAAACAGAAAAGTCCCAAAATACGTGTAATTAGTAAATAAACACGAGCTCTGGGGCTTTCTTTTTTCGCGGCTTAGGCCTGTATACTATTTTTCATACTCCGTGGCCCGAAAATAGCAATATCCCGTTTTGCGCAGCGGCCGGGAAGTAGTCACTTTCGGGCCGCTGGTATAAAAAATAAATTATCAACGTGCATTTAGTAGTAAAAAACTCAATCGTAACTTCAGCTTCGAATTTCAAGGATTTTTTGTACAAAATCGCGAATACTCCATACAAGATATCGTAACACGTTTTTTTCCCGAACGCCACAAAAATAGGCAACTGCTCGGTAAGCTCGACATCAGCCCGTTCAGCGGCAACTTCAGCATCGTCAACGGCGCCGACGGCAAAATCCTCGTCCAGACCAGCAACGTCATCACCGACCTGCAGAACTTCAACAGGACCGTCTACGATCAAAGTAAATATACATATAAGAAACCAAACGCGACCTCGTTTAACGTCGCGATCACAAAACTCATCGAAATTATTATTATTATTTTTCTCTGACGCAGTGACGAACCGCGGCTTCGACGTGTCGACGGCCCTGCGCAGTCTGCGCAGCATCCAGAACGACAAGCTGAACGAGGAGAGGCGGGTGGGTCGCGCGGGCGGCCAGTCCGACATTGCCCTGTTCCTGACCTACGAGACGCGCCCCTCGCAGCAGGACAAGGACTACCAGATGAAGGTGCTGAAGGAGATGCACGAGCGTGCCCCGGACGCCGTGGCGCTGTTCCTCACCGCCGGCGCCAAGAGCCGCTGGGAAGACTACGTGCTCGACAAGGGCGACGACCTCTTCCAGGTGCCCTCGTTCTCCAGCTCCAACGAGCAGTACCAGCTTGACGGCCTGGTGGCTCGGATCAAGCGGGTGCCCCGTCGACTGATCAACACCCGCTGCGGCGCCGACTACGACGAGACGGCCAGCAACGGCCAGTCGAAGGAGCTCAAGGCCCACGTGGGTCCCAACGGCCAGCACGTCTATCGCATGCACCCGAACTACTTCAAGTCGGACGACGCCAACAATCCGCCGGCCATCATCGTGAAGAACGGCGACGCCTCGGTGCCGCTGGAGATCTGCTCGGCGCGCAGCCTCGAGGTCCTCAATCAGACCCAGGCCAGCAGCAGCGGCGGCGACAGGCCCGACTGCGCGACCAACACCCACGTGGTCAAGATGAGCTGCGACGGCGCCTACTATCTGCACGAGTGCCGGCCCTACTACGTGTCGGTCAGGCCCAAGCTGGCCGGCGGCTCGGCCAACAGGAACGCCCTCTGCACGAGACGTGAGTTTTTCGCTGATAATTATATTTGACGAGTCGCGTCGTACGTAATTTTTAATGATTTATTTTTATTAATTTGTTGTTTCGCCTCTTGCAGCGGATCAGTGCCGATACCCCGACGACTTGGCCTACACCGTGCAATTCGAGTACCTCGTCTGCAAGAGCTCGGCCGGCAAGGCTCTGCTGCTCAGTCCACTGCTGCTCCTGCTTCTGCTGGCTCGGATATTCTGATGAGGGAGGAAAATTAAGTTCATTGACACGATTCAGCCCACTGCCAACGACTCGAGTTGCCCGTCCACGATGCCGATCGTGCACCGACGGCTCGAAACTCGACAGTATATGTAATTGTAATAATCCTGCAGTCGATCAGTCATTACGTTTATTATACCGTTTTTTCCCTTCTTTTTTTATGTATTTATATTACGTAGTTGTGTCGAAGCGCTTTTTATTTTATACGATAAGAAATTAATTTACCGTTATCGATAATTGTAACTCGATACAAATAATTGTATATGGAGAAGCAGAAAATTGCTGAAAAAAAAAACTAAAAAAAATTACTCTGTACTAGGCGTTGCATTGTTTATTAATTTTACGATTGAGAATTAAATTTAGCTCTCTATCGACAATGTGGAGAGTTAAAATTTAACTTTCAATTGAATAATTTCAATTGATTGGAGTGAATTTTTAGTTAATTAAATGCATCTCTACTCCTTACCATAATTAAGACACACGTTGTACAAATCTTACACTTTTGAAACAATGACATTTTTTGTTAATACATTAATTAAAATTCACAATGTAGACTCTACTCGATTATTTTCAACTATTACACTTTAAGTAGCAATTAAATACAAATAAAAAAAATATGTATTTTTTATGTAAATTAATCATTTTAATAAAACCTGAACAAAGATATAACATTTTTTTTACCCAAAGGGTTGACATATTCATACTGAATGAACCATTTCACAAAATACTTTTTTCCGTTTTGCAAAAAACTATACTTTTTCACATGCTTTTGTTGAATATGAAATGATCATGAAATATTTTAAAAATTCTTTTCATCTAAATATATTCCACAAATTTTTGTAAAAACTCTAAAACGATTGAATAAGCTAGTTCGCTTTGGCACATCTAATCACAAGAAGAAAAATCTACTAGGGTCAAATTCAAGTGAATCTTGAATTACTCCGAGAAAGATACTTTGGAAAAAATTACAATACACTTCACAACGAATTTGTTTCAAAGTTTTTAGTTTTAGAAGACCAAATAAATTCCGTGAAGAAATCGTCGCAAATTTGTAATTTTAAACTAATTTAAATATTTCAAGGACAATAAACGGATAGATAAGTCGGTAACTTCATTGTAAACAATATAATTATAATCAATTTTCAGATTGTCCTTCGAACACTGATCATGTTAGAGTAAAAGCATATTACTTTGAAGTTGTCTTTCTCAACGAAACAAGCTATAATACCAGAACATAAATTTTACTCTTTCAATCTCCGTAACCATAAATAGAAAAATCCATCGTTTATTTTAAGCCCCAAAATGAATAAAAGTGATGAGAAATCCGAGGAAATTGTCTTAAATGATAATTCAAGTGAACTTGCCAATGTTATTTCAAACGAAAAAAAATACGTTGGTAATATTTGTCAGGAGGTATTTACACTGGAATCAAGTATGATAACACGCCGAGACACAATTCACAAAGAACAAAAAGATTACTCGTGTGACAAGTGCGACAAGAAATTTGAGTACCGAAGTCATTTGAGCAGACACCAAATATCAGAACATAAAAGCCGCAACGATTTTCCATGCGACCAATGTGAGAAGAAATTTGTGAAAAAATCGAGTTTATTTACGCACCAAAAATTAGTACACAAAGATCGCGTAGATTTTACATGTGACAAGTGTGAGAGGAAATTTGAAAATAAATCAACTTTTCTCAAGCACAAAAAAATATTTCATGAAATTTTCAAAGATTATTTATGCGAAAGGTGCGCAAAGAGATTTGGAAATAAACGGAGTTTGCTTGTGCACATTAAAACAGCCCATGAGGGGCCCAAAGATTTTGCATGTAACAATATCGAGGAAAATTTTACTAAATCAAATTTGTTTAAGCGTCAAAAAACAGTTCACGTAAGTCACAAAGATTACGCTTGCGAAAAATGCGAGAAAAATTGTGGACATGAAGCGATTTTACGCCAACACCAAAAAACATTCCATGACGATCGTAAAGATTTCGAATGCGATAAGTGCCAGAAGAAATTTGAAAATAAATCAGATTTGTTGAAGCACCAAAAAACAGTACATGAAGGACGAAAAGATTACTTATGTGGCAAATGCGAAAAGAAATTTGGACGAAAAGCTGATTTGTTCGTGCACCAAAAAACAATCCATGAAGGTCGCAAAGATTTCGCATGCGACAAGTGCCAGAAGAAATTTGGAACTAAATCAGATTTGTTGAAGCACCAAAGGATAGTTCATGAAGGTCAAAAACGTTACACGTGCGACAAATGCGAGAAGAAATTTGGACGAAAAGCTGATTTGTTCGTGCACCAAAAAACAATCCATGAAGGTCGCAAAGATTTCGCATGCGACAAGTGCCAGAAGAAATTTGGAACTAAATCAGATTTGTTGAAGCACCAAAGGATAGTTCATGAAGGTCAAAAACGTTACACGTGCGACAAATGCGAGAAGAAATTCGGACAAAAAGCTGATTTGTTGGTGCACCAAAAAACAGTCCACGAAGGTCAAAAAGATTTTGCATGTGACAATTGCGAAAAGAAATTTGGATATAAATCGATATTGCTAGAACACCAAAAGACAGTACACGAAGGTCGCAAGGATTACTCCTGTAACAAATGCGAGAAAAAATTTGGACGATTATCGAATTTGCTTGGCCATCAAAAGAAAGTCCACGAAGGTCGTAAGGATCATGTATGTAACAAGTGCGAGAAGAGATTTGGAAGTAAATGGTATTTACTTTTGCACACAAGAACAGTTCATGAAGGCCGCAAAGATTTCGCATGCGACAGGTGTGAGAAGAAATTTGGACAAAAATCGCATTTGGATTTCCACCAAAAGACAATCCATGAAGGTCGCAAAGATTAAGCACAGCAAAGTTGCGAGAAGGAATGATGATAGTGATTGTAAATATGCTTATATACTTATACATATATTCTCCATAACTTCAATAAAACTTGTGCTAAAATGATTGTGTATTACCTGGACCTCGTGTGCAATAGAAACTATTATTACACTGATATTGTGAATTTTTTGGATTTCACGTACTGCTTATCGCTAATCTCCGTGACATTTCTGGGCTGCTTGATTGATGGAAATTGATAATAAATGTCCCATTGACAAGTTTTGATAAATTTGTGGACAGACTTATTTCTGCTATGAGGGACGTGACCGGTAATAACAAGTCGCTCCGCGACTTGACCCGACTACGACCCGACGACGGGGCGGCGAAACGACTCGCATACTCGAACTATTTGAAGTTTGCGCGCTCGAAAAAGTTGAGAGAGCTGCCCAGATATTGCGGACGGTTGTGCCGAGCACCTGTGCGACATTATGTCGAGAGAATTCTTGGAGCGCTGGACAGTCATGGAATCTTTATTGGGGCGAACGCTCCACTGGCTGCCGTTGGGCCTCGGTAAAAGATACACCGTGGCGTTACCGAACAAACAATTGTGCCGCGAAAAGATGAATGTCGTATTACTTTCTTCATTTATAGTGCTACATGTACCCATATTCTTTTTTACCTACCTGTTCCTTTTATGTTTGTATTTAACTTATTTAAATTAAATAAATAGCAACGACAGACACGACTATCTTAAGTAATGGATCTTAAATAGTCTGGCCTCCGTGAGATGATATGGTAATGAGTATAAATTTATTTATACACATATTCCAAATATAAATATTAAAGAAAAATTATTCTAAAGAGCGAATGAAACAGTTCAAATAGGCGAAAAAAAATCGCTTGTAATTAATCATTCTGTGATGATTTGAAGACTCTGTAATGATTTGAATTACTCTGTACTCGGCGTTGCATTATTTTTAACTTTACTATTGAGAATTAAATTTAGCTTTCGATCGATATCGTTGAGAGTTGCAATTTAACTTTCAATTGAATAAGTTCCATTGATTTGAATGAATTTTTAGTTAATTAAATACAACTCTGCTACTTACAGTAATTATAAGACACATGTTGTACAAATTTTACACTTTTGAATCATATTATTTCTGTTGATGAATCAATTAAAATTATATTTAATATAAATAAAAACAAACGTATTTTTCATATAAATTAATCATTTTAATAAAACCTTAACAGAGATAAAACATTTTTTTCTATGCAAATGGTTGACATATTGATACTGTATGGTCCACTCCACAAGATATTTTTTTCACCGCAGCTCCGATGCCAACCTATTTTTCAAAAAATAACAGTTCATAATGAAGTTATACACAAAATTGCCCGTTTATGAAACAAATGACTCACTTTGAAAGGAAAATATTGGTCGTCCCTGTGACCAAGCCCCAAGGCACCGTATCTGTTGCGGCCCCACATGAACAGATGTCCTTGATTTGTAATAGCCCCCAGATGACTAATGCCACAAAATATTTTCTCAACTTTGATATCTGGTTCATAGGCGTTAATTCCAAATAATGGTTTTGGTATCATGGTAGGCTTGAGTACTCTGTTGGCCTTGGGTCCAAGACCCAAGAGACCAAATCCCCAAACATATACTTCTCCTTCATCTGAAAATATTATTTTCATCTATAGAAATTGACACAAATCTTTATTTATTCTTGAATTATTCAAAAATGTCTGTACCGTTTAACACCATGCAAAAACTACCACCAGAAGCTATATCTTTTATCGAGCCAAGCTCTTCACAGAATTTTAATTCTGTAGCTATATTAATTTGTTGATTGTCTCCACAAGGCAACTGAGAATATTCTGCATTACCCCATCCAAACACTTTTCCCTTATCTAAAAATAATGTAATAAAAATTGTGTAAAAATTGCAGAAGTCATAAATTTAGAGGCTTGTGCATGGTTTTCAAATACCAGATAGTGCAAGTACGCAGTCAGCTGCAGAAGTAACTTTAATTATTTTTTCTCCGGATAAATCTCCTTTTACCAATGATGGTCTATATTCATTACGATAATGTGCCAGTCCAGTTTGTCCATCTGCTCCCCAACCAAAAGTATACACTTCTCCATTGTCTGTCAATAGCATGCTATAATCAAGAAATATAAATTAATATCAATGGTCAAGATCATCATCACATGAATTAAATTAAGAAATACCTGTGATCTTGTCCAGCAGATACAGATTTGATGCTACATCCTTTAATATTTGGTATATAATTTACAGCTTTACTTTTTAAATATTCTTCATCTTCTATAATAGGCCTGCCACACTGTCCATAACCATTGTGTCCTAAAGCATAAACACCTTCGTCTGTCAATACAAGTAAATGTGCTCTTCCTGCAGCCAAGCCTAAGACTTTAGCAGTTTTTCCCTTAAGTGGAAGGAATATTGGTCTAGGTTTGACAACAATGGGTATTTTTAACTTTTCATCTGTAGGATGATACCCTAAAATTTGAAACAAATGTTATTGAAGTGTCAAATTAGAACTTTATGTAGAATATGCAAAGTGTAATTTACCCAGTTGAGAGTCTGTATTGATACCGCTTCCATAAAGAATTCTGTTATCATTGGATTTTACAGCAAATGCTGTAAATCCATAACCACACACTACGTCTGTTACCTTGCAGTATTCTCCAAAAGTTAATCTGTGTGGTTTGCTGCAGTAACTTATGTTATTTTCAGCATAAGTTAGTCTTTTGACAGTGCCTAGAGCTCCATGCTCATGTAAACCCCAAGCATAGACTCTGTGATCACTTTTCTTAGTTTTTGCAAAGTCATAGACTAGAAAATTTTAATAGATTTAAATTTCTCACATAATGACTTGACATGAAAATAAAGGTAATATTCTATAAACATAAAAGAAACATTTCAGGATCCTGTGATATTTGTACATACCAGGTAAATCTTTTAATTTAAATTTTTTTGGTATTTTTTTTCGGGGTCTTTTATTTTTCTTCGTGGACTTATCTTTGGTCTTACTAAATTTTGGTACCACTCGTTTTGCAAAAATGCGAGTTGCAAAACTTCTACACAGATTAAAAAACATTTCTGACAAAATAATTTATCGGTTATAGTTCATCGTCTACCGGCTAGTTTATGTGACGAGAAATGTCGTCTGCCTGCAGCGCACATGTGTTTACAGATTTTCATCAGCTGTTCTTTGTCATAACTCACGACCACGTGAGAGACTTATTAAGTTGGCGAAAATAATTATACTATTTCAATTTTTTAAATCCGCAAATGTCTCAAACATTTACCTTTTACTTGCGGAAATTGTCCCTTTCATTATTTTTACTTGCGGAGGCTTTGTTCATTAATTATCTTTAATTGAAAAATTCCAAATTTTTTGCTTCGCTAAATTCTTTTTCGACTTTTTCTCAGCTCGTACATTAGTTAGAGTAATGATTTATATGTCATTAATTTACCTTTTATTTGCGGATTCTGACCAAGTTAGAAAATGACAAAGTGGTGCAAAAATAGAGAAACGCAAGTAAAAACAAATTAAAACCATAAAAATGTGCAAGTCGAGTATTAAACAGACTTGCTAAGTTAGCGAAAATAATTATATTCTTTTACAAGTCCGCAAATGGCTCAAAAGATTACCTTTTACTTGCGAAAATCGTCTCTACCATCATTTTTACTTGCAGAGGCCGCGTTCATTAATTATTTGCACCCTCGGGATTGAGTCCCACTTACGGATTTTTTAAATAAATTGACATTTCACAGTTATTAGGAAGTAATATTTTTATTCAAAAATGTATCAATAAATTTTTATAATCACCGGTTTTATATGAATACTGACAAATAGTACATCTATTTAATTCTTACTTTATAATATATTATATTGTACAAAATAAAAGCTGAATATAAAACAATTTTTTTTACATACATTGGTTGATTAGGATATGATTGCAAAATTTTTCGATCAACTCTTATCATCCAAATAAATATACACGTAATTTTGTAAAAACTTTACAATAACTTAATGAGCTAGTTATACGTTTAAAAAATTATTTGATTTATATACAAAATATATAACTACTTATTTTATACACAATAATTTTAATATACATTTTTAATGTAGTAATAGGAAACGCAGTTAAATTATTTAAAATCACAGAAATTTTGACCCCTTCAAGTTGTAAAAATTTTAGAACCTTCTGGTAGAATGGCATCCTCGTCAACTTCAGTCAAAGTTACAGAAAGTGGCAGTAGCAAAGGCATAAGTACTTCCTGAGAAACCAAGTGTTGTTGACTCATAGTACCATCAGGTTTAGTTATTGTTATAATATTCTGCGGTTTAATTATTTGAAGTCTTTGCTCTTGATCATGTTCAATTATTATCTGCTGAGTCTGCTCCTCCAAAGCTGTACCAATGATAATGTGCTGTTGCTCTGACTGCTGTAAATGCTGCAGCTGATCGAGATGCTGTTCTTGTTCCTGAACTGGATGCTGTTCAGATTGTTGCTGCGATTGAATCATGAGCCTGCTCGATGACGCTTGCAACAGGTTCTGCTTGCATCTTTTGCTATGAGCGTACCTGCTCCCATTATTGTTGAACGTTCGGTCGCAAGTGGGACACGCATAGGGTCTTTGACCAGTATGAATAAATATGTGCTCCTTCAATGACTTCAATCTTCTAAAGTGTTTTGGACACTCATTGCAATGGTATTTAGCTTCTCCAGTATGAGAAGTCAAGTGATTCGCCAGCGTATCAGCCCTGGCAAAGGCTCGAGAACAATATTGACAAATGTAGGGTCGCTCTTGCGTGTGGGTGCGCATATGCATTTTGAGATACGCATTCGTAGTGAAGGGTCTCGTACACACTTGACAAACGTAGGGTTTGATGCCATTGTGCGCTCGCAAATGGGCGACAAGAGTAGTGTATTGAGTAAAACTTTTCGAACAAACTTCGCAGAGATATCTCTTGGGATAACCTGCATCTTTTGGTTTTTTGGCGGGCCGATCGTGTCTGGTTATATGATTGTTCAACTGCTCTTCTTTAATAAAGCGCTTGGGACAGCGTGGACACTTGTACGGCTTGATCATATTGTGTTTAGCTACGTGTAGTTTCAAGTCCTCACGACGAGAGAATTTTTGAGGACACATGTCACAAAGATACTTTTTACCCTCATGGACCTAGATATAAAAAATTAGTTTAATTTTAGGAATTCAAGATGTATTTTCAAACAGAATTAAATTGAGATATGCGTAAAAAATTACCTGCAAATGACGTAATAAACCTTTGCGGGAAGTATATTCTTTATTACATAAATGACACTTTAATCCAATAATATCTGTTCTTCTTTTTCTTGGCATTTTTTCAATTTTTTTATCTTCAGTTCGGTTTTCAATATCTCTCAAATCTTCTTCGGTCAATATACCCTCAACAACGTGTTTTACTCTATGTTTTTTTAAAGCTTCGTTACTTTCAAAAGTATCTCCACAAAGATTGCATTTTCTCACTTGATCTGGATTCTTTTCTGAACATTTGTCATAGTGAGCTTTGAGTTTGTCCTTTCTAAAGAACTTGACATTACAAATGTCGCATTCAAAGTTTGGCTCGTCGTGCAGTAATTGATGTCGCAGTAATGACTTTTTAGTACTGTAGCGCTTTTTACATGTTGGACATTCGTGTAAGTCGACCGGCCAATCACCGCCAGTGAAGTTATCGTCGTCGTCGTCATCATCTAGATTTTCTCTGCTTTTCGGCACATTGTTAATTTCTTGTTGCTCCAAATGTTCTTGCTCTGCAGAAGCTTGCGTTTCGATTTCTTTATCATTCTTAGAATGAAAACTGGCGTGTTTGGCGAGACTCTGTTTTGATGGAAATTTATCATTGCATACATCACATGTATAAACTTTCGAAGTCAGATGAATTTTTTTAGGAGGCTGAAAATTTTTTTTTATTATTTTCAAATTTTTATGACAATAAAATCGATTAATAATTATTAGACAAATCTTACCGATCCCTCTATTTTAATGGAATTTTGCATGGGCTTTTCTTCCTGTTCTTCTTCTTCTTCTTCATCTCCTTCTTCATCACCTTTTTGGTTTAAATCGTCAGTCAGTTTATTGATAATTTTCTGAGCGGCTTTGGCTGCAACCCGCGTTAATCTTTTATTCGGATCGTACTCCTTACCGTGTACAGTAGTTTTATGATTAGTGGCTATCAAATGATTTCGCAGAGCTAATTCATTACCAAATATCTTGCCACATTCGTTACAACTATTGGGTTGAGAGAAAAAAATTACAATTTAAAAAAAAATTACATTTTTCAAGTCTTTTCATAATTAATTTTAACTTACCCAAAACCTTTCATGTTGTGCTGTTCTTGCAGATGTTTGTTCAAAGTATCTTTTCTGGAGAAGGTTTGAGAACATATTTTACAGCTGTACCGATGAGACTCCAAATGCTTAGTCAGTAATTTCTGTTGTGTGAAGAATTGAGGACAATGGGGACATTTTATATTACAATTTTCTGAAGCAGAGAAATCTTTTTCTGTCAAATACTTTTGATCATCAGAATTTTCTGGAAATGTAAAGGTTTTGCATTATTATAATTCCTATTAGAATTATATTGATTAATTTTCATAACTAGTTTTCATTATAAAATGATAAACTTACCAGGCAGTATGTACTCAATACCGTTGTTAGTTTCTTCTTTTGGAATTAATCCTTCCAAAACATGTTTGGATTTGTGCTCATTTAAGCTTTCAATTGAATCTTGCTCATCTCCACAAATCTCACATTCTATTTTGCCATGTGTTTTTGTCAAAGTCTGATCATTATCATTAGTATCGCTATCAAAATCTGTATTGATACTTTGATGATACTCGGAAAAATTCAAGATACCATCATCCTCTTCAAATGAAGCTCCTGAAAATTTTCCTTCCTCTTCGTGTTGCTTCAAATGTTTTTTAAAAGATATTATGTACAAATATTCTTTTCCACAATGTGGACATTTATTTTGACATTTGCCATTTGAAGGAGGTTTGTTTTGATCATTGATTTCTTGAACTTTACTTGCTACATCAAATGTTTTTCTTAATTCTTCATGAGAACTCATATGTTCTTTAAGTAACTCTTTTGATTTGAAATGTTTATCGCACACATAACACATGAAAAATATGTTATCAGATATTTTCACTTGCAACTTTTTTAATCGTAAACTGAGGTTCAAGTCTTCATAATAATCTTCTTCATTGGATTGCAAGCAACCTTCTTTTCCTTCAGATTGAATAAGTCTGTCATTTTGACACATTTGATCTGATACAGTTTCTGTCATTTTTGCATCAATCCCCATTTGATTATCAGTTGTCTCGTTCAACAATTCATTTTGTTCCAACTTGATCTCAACCTGAAATAAAAATATTTTGTAAAAAATGCCTAATTTTGAATAAAATCAATAATCAATAAGCCTACCTGTGAGTTAAAGTCTGAATCCTTGTGTTGAAAATCACAAACTTGTGACTCCATAACATAATCATGTTCGTGTATAGCCAGTCTTGTTTGCTCGTTCATTTCACTGAACATAAAATCCTGTAACTCTTGTGTCTCAAAAGAGTGATTATCGTTAGAAACCGCAATTTGCATAATTTTATGATCCTGCTGCTGATGCTGAATGTCGATATTCTTGCTTTGAATGTGCTGCTGATCATCTTGATAAGCTACACTCGTATGTTTATGCAATACGCTGCTTTTGCCATTGCAATCGTTGTGGATAATGTGGTTGTCCATGTGGTCGGTCTCTTGGTTCATGAACATATTTGCAGGGGTCATTACGTGATCAGCAGTTGCATGTGTCATGTTGACGTTCTCAAAGAAAAGGTCGGCCTTTAAAAATCGTTCCCTCAAAACGGCGTCGGCTTGCTGCACTTGAATCTTGAACTTGTAAGCCATATCGAGCTTGTTGCTGCAGTCCATGCAGATCTGAGCGGGCAGGCCATCGCCGGGTAGCATCTACATTTAATAACAAAGAATCGTAAGAAATGAATCTCTCGGAACGAGAGTGACGCAAAGTAAATTAAAAAAAAGAAAAAAAAAGCCTAACCTTGACGTTGGCTAAGCTCATAGCTTTGTCGGCCAACGACTGGTTCTCGTAAGCCAGGGCGTGAAAGATCTGGTGAACGGCCGGTTGCTCGACGAGGTCGGCCAAGCAGACGCGACAAACTCCGTCCGTGGAGTTCGCGACCGCAGCCAGCTGAGCGTCCAACGACGACGACGACGAGGACGTCGTCTCCCCGGGCGCGGACGTTCTGCAGACCACCGTCGTCGTCATCGTTGAAGAAGATGACGACGACGACGACATTCCCACGACGACGCCGTCCATGTTTACATTTACACTGCACTTTTACACCGCGCACACAGTTGCAAAGTATACGCGATCGGTTCAGTGCACCCGCGAACTGCACTGCAAGGAAAGAGGCTTCTCTCTCTTTTCCCCTGGCAAGTCCGACAGCGACTGCCCGTAGTCACCATAGGCACTGCATATAGCTTATCAGTGTTGGGTATATGATAATCATCACAATAATAATAAGCTGCTGCTGCGCGAACTACGCCTGCGATGCTCTCTGCACTTGCAATAATTGACATCGCGCGTAGTTTCCGCTTCGCGACGACAGGTGGCGTCGAGTAGCTCGGTCGTTTGTCAAATTGTATTTTGAAATGGATCGTGTGCGTGTATACGTCGCGAGATGACAGTTGTGGAATTCGTCGATCGTGACAGATGCATCATCATCGTTTACAATCGTTATTGCTCCATCGATTCGAGACGCGGCGGCGGCGTTGACAATGAGACATCGCCGCGACCACGGCATTGATCGTCGCGCACGTGCCAAGAAAAGAAGAAGAGAAAAAAGAGGAAAAAAAATAACCGACACTTAGAGCTCTCTGGGTGCGTGTTTATATTTACGCCCGCTGCTGCACAGTTCGATGATCATAGCTCGCGAGCGGATATCGTTCCTCCGCAACGTTTCTCAGTTAATTTCGTTCGATCGTCGTCGTCGCGTGGATCGGCCGTTTTTTTTCAGAAACGAAACGCGCGAATATTGCGAGTGCAAAAGTGTCTGTGTGAATATAAAAACGTATAAGGACGATGTCGAAGCCGACGGTGGGCAGAAGCAGAAGCACCGACAGCGAGGACGACGACGACAAGAGCATCATGAGCGACGGCGGCGACTGCCCGACCATCGCAGCCGACAACAAGCCGCATGACGATCGACCTTTCGAGTATTTGGAGCGACCCAAGAAGGCTCTGTGCGATAGAAAACATTATAGGTGCGTATCGCAGCTCCAAAATCGACTGCATATAATATGCAATGCATTACTTTTGTGATATGGTTTGTTTCGCGTAGAGCCATCAAATTGAAAAATGGCCTGACGGCGCTGCTCGTATCGACCTTGAACTCGGACGAGGACGACGAGGGGGAGGATCGTCATCGGGTGGACGCTCGAGTCGACTCTGCTACGGTGAAGAAATTGTCATGCTCATCATCCCTCGTTTTGTTGTTGTTATAATTTTTCACTGTATCACTTGCCTTGCTCGAAATGCGTGTCGTTGTTCTAACGTAACAATTACAATTCCATGCAGTTGGCCGAAAATTATCGTGATCGTGCGCCGACGGACGAAATCAACTGTCCCGGTGACGAGCGGGTGAGCCGAAAAATAATTATATATCTTTTAATAAAAATACGAAGGATAGTTTTTATAATATAAATAAATATAACGATATAGGCAGCTTGCGCGCTGTGCATCAACGTGGGCAACTTCAGCGATCCCCGGGAGGTTCAAGGACTGGCGCACTTCCTCGAGCACGTCATAAGCATGGGCTCGGCCAAGTATCCCGAGGTGAGCATCGTAAATAAAATAAGTACATATACACATACACTAGTACGTTAACGATCGATAATTAATATTCTAAATAAACTTATCCAGGAAAACGAATGGGACCGGTTCATCCGCGGCAGATGCGGCTCCGCGCACGCCGACACGTCGCGCGAGCGCACCAAGTTCCACTTTCAGATACACTCGGCGCATCTGCAACCGGCCCTCGATAGGCTGGCGAATTTTTTCATCGAGCCGCGATTGACGAAAGACGCGCTGATGCGCGAGCGCGAGTCCGTCGACAATGGTAAGTTGCGATCGCGTGCGCTTGTACGATGATTGATTTTAATTGTCTATATCTACATGTATACTACAGAATTCCACATGGACCTGATGAGCGACGGTAATCGGCTCAATCAGCTGGTCCGCAGCGCCGCAGCGACGACTTCCGCCGACCGGGACACGACGACGACGACGACGATGAATCCCGCGGCCAAGTTCTCTTGCGGCAACGCGGCCACCTTGCGCGACAGCCTCGATGAAAATAGCCTGTGCTCGTGGCTCAGGTCGTTTCAACAGCGACACTACTCGGCCCAGCGCATGACTTTGGCTCTTCAAGTATGTATTTATTTATTATTATTATCATCGATCCGATCGATTTGATTTATAACATTTGAATCGATGTATGATGATATTATATTTTAGGCTCCCCTGACGCTCGATCAGCTTCAAGAGTACGTCGTGGACAGCTTCGCGGACGTGCCGAACAACGGCCTGGAACCCGACGACTTCTCGAGCTTTCGAGGTATGCGCGCCTTCGATGCCAGCAAGCTCGGCAAGCTCTACGAGATCGAGTCCGTCGACGGCTCCTCGAGGCTAGAGATCAAGTGGATCATGCCTCCTCAGACGGCGGAGCAATGCGACGGTCTGCGTTACGTCGCGAGGCTTTTGAGCCAGGAGGGCCCGGGCTCGTTGAGTCATCATCTGCGCCAGCGCAAGCTCTGCCACGAGTACGAGGTGAGCCACGAGCAGAACTCGGTCTACTCGCTGCTGGGCCTGAGTCTCGGTCTGCGCGACGACGACAACGACGACGATAAAGACGACGACGTGGTCGGACGAATCCTCGAGGCGACGTTCGCCTACGCTGCCCTGCTGCGCAGGCTCGGCCCCCAGCGGAGGATCCACGACGAGATGCGAGCCATCGCTGAGTACAAGTTCGAGTACGGCGACGAGCGCGAGGCATTGGCCCACGTGCAGAAACTCTCGCTCAACATGCAGCTTCACCCGGGGCGGCCGAGGGACTACGTGCGAGGCGACGAGCTCTGCGGCCCCTACGAGCCCGATCGGCTGCGAGACTTTCTCGAGCAGCTCAGCAGGCCCGAGGCGTGCCTGATCGTTCGGCTGAGGAGCGGCCCGTTGGAGGAGGAACATCGGCTCGAGGAGCTCCGGCTCGAGCCCTGGTACGGCTTCGGCTACGCCGTGTCCCAAGTGCCCGAGACGGTGCTGCGCGGCTGGCGCGATCCGCCCGAGTCGCTGGTGCGCGAGTTCGCCCTGCCCCAGACCAATCCCTACCTCGTCACGGATTTTCGACTGATCGGCGGGGCGATCTCGAGCGCCGAGGATCGACCCCCGCGACGAGTCAGAAACTCTCACGGCCTGGATCTGTGGTACAAGCCGGACGCGACGCATCGACGGCCAACCTGCTCGGTCTACCTTCATCTCGGCATTTCCACGCCGCTACGATCGCTTCGCTCGTACGTGTTCCAAGTATTTTACGTTTTTAAAGTCAATGCGAGAGAGGAAAAAATTGTTGCTTCCTTTTCGTACAAGACTCTTTATTTTTATGAGAAATTATTAAATTTTAAGTGCTTTGGATTATAAATCAATGTAAAACTCTTTAAATTCGATCACATTAGTTTTAGCTCCTTTTCGTGAAAGTAATTCATACAGAATAATTCTCATGTGTGTTTGAAATGCAAAATATCAACTCAATGCAATTTGTAAATTTGAATTTCATAAGTGTAATAAGGATTGACTGTGCTAGCATGGAAAAACAATTTATCGTCAAAACTCTAATTTTGACGAAAAAGTGCCCTTACTTATACAATTATCTTCACTTTGTCACTTGCAGATTTACAAAAAAAAGATACTCGCCATCTAGCGGCGGTTGCTGGTTTTAATTGTGATTGACTTTTCATAATATATAGAACTAAATCTTTTTTGTTCATCCTCCGCCTTAAAAATAACGTATTCTATTACATTTTCAGGCACTTTTTGTGCAGTTGATACAAAAAAATAAATCAGTACAGGGATGTCTGATTTCATATTAAAGGTGCGCATGAAATCGAAGGTTTTATCCTCGGATATTTTTTGCAGACACGTAATGCTGCGCCTGTACGAGATATCCATCCACGAGATGATGCTGGGCGAGCTGTGCGACGCGAAGCGCGCCGGCATCTCGTGCGGCATTTTAGCCAGCGAGTGCGGCATCGTCATCAAAGTCTACGGCTTCAGTCAAAAAGTACCGGTGAGTATAAACAATTATATTATATTAAATAAAAGAAGCAATTTCGAGCTCGGAACATAATCGAAAATTATCTCTTTGCTCTATATCGCAGCTGCTGCTGGACGTTCTCGTGAGGAACGTCGCCGATTTCGCCAAGACCATCAACGAGGACGTGTTCGACGCCGCGAAAATCGAGCTGGCCAAGTACTACTCCAGCTGTCTCTACGATCCCGGTGCTTATGCTTGGTAAGAGCTGCGCGCGTATATAATATTTCACCGCGACTTACATCGCAATTATTTCACAGCGAGATTCACTCGAGCCTGTCAGGCCAGTCGCTCTGGCTGTCGTCGGAGAAGCGCTCGGCCCTGGAGCGCACGCGTTTCGAGCACCTGGTCGACTTCGCCAAGCAGCTGTCGCGCCAGGTCTACGTGGAGGCTCTTGTCCAGGGCAACGTGACCCCTCACGACGCCCTGGCCACGGTGCTGCGCTCGTGCGGCCATCTGGCCAGTCGCGTGTTCTACCGGACGCCAGCCTCGACCGATCTGTACCAGCCACTGCGCCGCCGACTGCCCAGCAACGATCGGCTGTTCAAGACCAACAACAGAAATCCCCTGGACGTCAATTCCGTGGTGATGAATTACTACGCGACGAGCGCCATTCCGCCCAAGCTGTCGCTCTCGCTGGTGGGCGAATTTCTGGAGATGCTGCTGCAGGAGCCGCTGTTCAATCGCATCAGGCGACAGGAGCAGCTGGGCTACATCGTCATCTGCACGGCCAATCCGGCGGGCGTCATCGTCACGGTCTACACGCCCGCCTACAAGTACTCCACCGAATACGTCGATCGGCGCATCGATCGTTTCTTTCGTCGCTTCTCCAGGCGGATGCGCGACCTGACTCGCGCCGAGTTCGACGTGCTGCGCGACTGCTATCGCAGAACGCGACAGATCGAGCCGCTGAATCTCGAGGCGGACGCCGACAAGTCCTGGTACATGATCAAGAATCGCGTGCAGCAGCTGCAGCAGCAGGGAGGCGACGACGACGCGCTGAGGCGATTCGATTTCGCCGCGTTCCGCGACTGGATGGTGGATTACACGAGCTGCATCAGGAAGTACAAGAGGCTGAGCGTGCAGGTCGAGGGCAACTTCGACGAGTCCTGCTCCGAGGACTGCGACACGCTCAGGATAACGTGAGCAACGAGTTGTGCGCGGTTTTTTATTGTATAATGCGTGTGATCGATCGAGTGTGAATGTATTTTTTTATTCATTGTATGATTTTGTGAGCGCGTGGGTTGAATGTTGCGATGCTGTATTACATATTTCTTGATTCATTTCTAAAGAGGATGAGGTATAATTAAAGTACATTTACTTTTACAAATTTACAATGGAATTGAATTTATTATTCTGTATTTATAAGTACATTTGAATTTTAGCCAAATTATCAGATACATTTGAAAAATCACAGAATCTCTCTGAAGAATTAAATAATAAGCTTTGTTCCTTTAATATTGTTTTTTTTTACAACAAATGACTACAAATTATCATTCTTCTGCCTTGAATAAAGACATTTTTTTTAGAAAAAAAGTAATTATTATGAATTTATAAAAATTATAACAAAATTTAATAAGATTATATATTTTACTATGTTTGTATACTTGAACTCGTAACTTAAAGTAAAATAAAAATTATTTACACATGTTTCCCTATTATCTTCTATCATAAGGAGCCATTGTTGAAGCAGCTTTAATGTTTGTTTTTATTGCGCTTACTGCCTTATTCATTTGCCCAACCATTTGTCCTGGTACAGATCCAGACGGCTGACCAGCGGGCGACCTACCCATTCCCATTAAATTATTGTTGGCTTGATTTAAAACAGGTTGAACCATTGGCACATTTTCTGATTTCAATCCTTTTCCACTTCCGATAGCGTATACAAGTACATGCGTATCTACTGTACTGCTGGTTGCAGGTTGTGATGTTCTTGAGCTGGTTTCACTTTCCCACTCTTGTTTCGCCTTATCAGCTATTTCATGGATGTGATTGATTATTTTACCAAACTGAGCGACTTGCTTCTGTTGTGTGTCATATGTAAGATTTCCAGTTTTGGGTTCATAAGAAGCAATCTTCTGCTCCACCAATGGATCTGGTTTTGTTCTTAAGTAATCAGGTACTAAATCATGTGCAAAAGTACTTATTCTACCTTCAGTCATTTGCACGAGTAGTTCATCTCTTACTGGAGTTATCAGTAGTGGAAGTACACTGAAATTTCTTAACAGTGGCACCTTTTCGGCAGAGAGAGATTTTGAAACACTAGTCAAGTGACCTGATAACAGAGCAAAGTTATCGAGTAATCCTGGCCAATTCAATGAATCGCCATCGTGTTCAATTTTAAAAATCATCGAAGAAATTGCTTCTTTCAATTCATTGATTCTGAGCTGCACGGAGCCTAGAGTAGTGTCTAAATTTTTCTCATCTCTGGCGTGCATTTTGATGATTCGATTATTTTATCTTTTTTCAAGCTCGAGATATTCCTTTTTGTTCAGACAGGCAATAATTGAAGCTAACCTGCTTACCACTGGCACGCTATATAAGTACTAATCTTAAACTAGAACTGAAGCCTAAAATCTTCACATCACCACTAAGAGCACAATTATTTAGTTATTGATTCAACGAACAAGTAAACTTGATTTATCGTTCGAAAATATACTGTACTTTATATTGTTTACACGCGTTATTTGACACTTCTGCTGGCTTCCAGCGGATTACTGTACATAAAACTAATCATGTAGTGTCGGCACTGTGCGGACATGTGAGTAGTTTTACAATGGGCGCTCGATACGATTGAAGCGCGCGCACCTTGCACACAACGACAGATAAACAGTCGACGCATGACGTGTTTTGGAGTCGTCGTGTCAAAGACCGTGGTTGCGGCTCGCTGACGTACAGTATCAAACGATTTTGAGCAGCAAGTAGGTATCATCAAGCTTATCGTCTGTCCATTTCTGCGGGATAGACATTTTTACACAGTTGATCGTCGTCGTTGATTAACCCGCATTTTTTTATTTTATTTTAACAGAACAAAGCCGTAAACATGGCCAAGTACCTGCACGACTTGGCATCGTTCGCCTTCACAGAGCAATGCATGAAAGAGTACTTCCACGACTTGAACTTCGCCCATGGTAACTTTTTACAAAATTTTTTTCTATCAATTTTTTTCTATCAATTTTATATCTATCGTATGTCATCTCAATGACTTTTACTTTTTTAGTCGGCTGCTTCAAGGCAACATTGAGCAAATTTTTAGGATTGGGAATCATTGCAGGCTCGATACTAGGTTAATTGAATTTAAGTACTTTGTTTAAACAATTTTGAATTAAAATTTTCATGAACGTATGTTATGTTTTCTCAGTCAAAGTACCGCAGTTGTTGAAGATTTTCCATGGAAAGAGTGCTAAAGGAATCAATGTGGCTAGCGTTTTGCTGGATCTGTTCGCTATCACAGCAATGGGTTCTTACAGTTATGTCAGTGGCTTCCCTTTCAGGTAATTCAATAGACATATGTTTCATTTAAGGTCATGAATTGAATAAAGCTTACTCCATTACTTTCAGTGCTTGGGGCGATGCTGTATTTTTAGGTCTGCAAACTGTAGCAATAGTCTATCTGGTTATGATGTATAATATTGGTGCATCAATCGCTACAGCATTTTTGGCTGCGTATGCATCTGTGATAGCAGCAGTTGCAATGAATATAGCTCCTGCTGAGCTTCTTTGGTATGGACAAGCTATGAATATTCCTGTTGTTTTAGCTAGCAAGGTAAAATTAAACCATTATAAACAATTATGCGTTGGGTCGTATGATATTAAAATGATTTGTGATTTTCTAGCTGATGCAAGCTTACACAAACTATTCCAATGGCAGTACTGGCCAATTGTCTGCTGCTACTGGCTTCATGCTATTCTTTGGATCACTTGCCAGAATATTTACTTCTGTACAAGAAACTGGAGATTCCACAATGATCCTTTTGTACATCTGTTCGACTGCAGCGAATGGAGTTATCGTTTCGCAACTCTTGTACTACTGGAACGTTCAAGAGCAAGCAGCCGTCAAGTCAAAGAAAAAGAAGTAATCTGCATTTTAAAACGAGCACTGACTAATTTGTACCATTCCACGTCATTGTTTCATCGACAATGGGTACAAATTTTCCTATTGTCAATTTAATGCCCATTTCAAGATTAGCAATGATAATAGACATGCAATTATACGTTTGTAAATATCTGTGAATAATTTTAATTGTCACGTTTGTTTATTAAAAAAAAAATATATTACGCTATTCATCTCCATTGCGGGATGGTTCAGACAATAAAAAATGTTTTAACAATGACTCAGAGAACAATATTTTATTAATTCGCGATTACACGACGTCGTTGGAAGAATCGAAATTATTTATCGACGCTCGCCAGAGGGCATGCTCGATGCAATATAAAACCGATCCGCGATCGAGCGGCCCGACTTCTCTCTCGACTTTGCATACTCTGAGCTCGATCGTGCAGTGCACTATTCGTTGGGTCATAAAATATCTATATATTGCATGCCACCACACCACACGATCTACGTTGCACATATCCTCGTGCGCGCTGCGCTGCGTATTATGTGTATATGTACGATATGCAGTCGTGTAGTCTCTAATATATAGAGCTAGAATCAGTCGGGAGTCTCGATTATAACGAAATCGTTTCTTATAACGCGCGCGCGCCTCCTCTTTTACCGCGACCTACTTGCGCCGTGCGTGCAGCAGAGCGACCATTTGGAACGCATTCATAAATCGGCTTTTTACGATAACGATTATTTGGCCCGCGCGTAAATGAATGGTCGCGATTGTATACTACCAATATTTATCTTTACCTCGAGAACCGGTTAATCGGACGAATCGACGATGAAATGTTGCGTCAAGGGCTGCAAAAATTTGGTTAGGTTTCAATTTCCTCGCGATCAAGAGTACCAGCGGCGATGGCTCGAAGCCATCAGGCGACCCAATTACGTGCCGAGGAGAAAGAACGGACTGTGCCTCGATCACTTCGAGCCCGAGTTCATCGTTACCGAGAGTCACTACAAAGGTACCTATAATATTCAAATCATCTATCCAATATCCAGAAACAAACTTCTATTCAAAATTGATTATCGACAGGCATTAAATTGGAGAGACTTCGGCTGAAAAAAGATGCAGTCCCGACGCTCTTCGATTGGGATCCTCAGCAGAGCGACAAGATCGTTAATTCACGTTGTAACTGTAGCAGCGGCGGTGCAGGCAAGGTCAACAAACAGCCGAACGGCAAGAGTCAGAAGATCACCAAAAACACGCCCGTCATTCTCTGTCACTCATTTTTTCAGAAAGTAGGAAGCGATCGTTGCGAGGCGCGAGTTCTATCTTTGGACGAGCGAGTTATCCTTGAGAATTTGGACGTCGGAGCGAGTTCCGATTTGCCGATATTGGCTGTACAAACGAACGATTGTTCGTCGGCAAAAGTCGAATACATTTTTGGACAGGAGATCGATAATTACGACGATGCATACGCGCAACAAGTGGAACTTTACGAGGAGATCGTATCGAATGGTAAAAAAAGTGACAATGATTCTCTCGTCATGCGTGATAAGATGAAAATTCTTGACCATCAGGATCACAATTATTGCGCGAAACCAAAAATATTAGACCAAAGTACGCAAACTTCCTCCTGGGGAAGGTACAGAATTGAAGATATGTTGAAAGATCCAAGAGGATTGTTCCAATTTACAGGATTAGAAAATCCTCTCAAATTTACAAATGTTTTTAGTAGTTTAAGTTCAAAAACCCATGATCTGCAGAGCAGAGTTCAAGACGTGGGAGATCTGTCATTAAAGGACCAATTATTTTTAACTTTGTGGAAGTTAAGAAGATATCCCTCAGATTGTGAACTTAGCAGGCATTTCGGTGTTTCGGAGAAGGCTGTTGATAATATTTTTCAGACTTGGATACCTTTAATGGCCAGTCAATGGTCTAAGACTGATATCTGGCCTAGTGAACAGTTGTCTCAAATAATGAAAAAAGACACAAAAGTTACCAACTCAAATATCAAATTGCAGCAGTTAATAAATAAAATGAAATATTACAGAATTTTATCAAAAAAAGTCAAGAGACACATTTCTCAAATAAAAGAAATCACTGGTATATGTGCAACACTGTGTGTTTTTAATAATCATAAGTTGTTCAGTTAATAAAAATATATTTTATTTGTGGTAATTCAGTTTATTTACATATTTAACAATAATTTACTCTTCGTAGTTCATTATTGTTGCGATTCAAAATGTAGTTTTGCTTGTTGTTGAACAAATTCCAAATGTTTGTGTTAAAAAGTTTTTTTTTTTTAATAATTTCATCTTTGCAAAATGCAGAGATACAACTTTTGTAAGAAGAGAGGCAAATTTTTCAACCATAACGTGTTAAAGAAGTGAAAAATGCCATTCTCACTTGTTATAATTATATTTTGCTACAAATTGTACTAAATTTTTACAAGCAATATAACAATTACTTGCTTCAAACTTCTCTTTGAAAACTATCACTTTGCATATACGAGTTTTATTCATTATGGTTACTAGTGTAAGAGAAAACTTATGTAAGTTAAAAGCATTTTGAATAATGTTGGTGTCGATATCTAGAATAATAGTAAAGATAAAAACCGACACTATGACGATGCTATATTGCACAGTTAAAAATGAATTCACAAACACTAGCATTTGGTAAAATGGTATAAAAATTGTTCAACTCAAGTTTAATACTTTATTGTAGGAAACTTTAATTATAACAATACTTGAATAATTCCAGTAAAGCAGCTCTGGAAGAGAGCTTTGGATCAAGTAAATAAGTCTAATTCAGAAATTTCATTGTACAGACAAATTGATATCAAATAATTTCGCAGCTATAAAAAGTATGACAAAATAATGCATTACTTGATAGTTGTTCAATGATAGTATACAAAAAAAAATCCATTTGCGAATAATCAGTTTCTGCATTTAACATGAAAGATAAATAAAGAATAAATCTTGAAGTTAGTGCTACTCGATCGGACAGCTCGAAAAGAGCCAGTCGTTAAGCGATCGTTTCAAAAAGAAAAAGGCAAGAAACTATAGTCTGTAGAATGTGCGAGTCGAACGTAAAAGCCGTCGACGCGCGCATATATAGAGATGAATCTCACAAAAACTGATCTTCGCAAAACACTCCAGCACCTTGGTCGTAGGCTTTGAGAACAGCGTCTAGATTATGGGGTATCGCGTCGAGAAGTCGAATCGTATATGAAAAAGATGATCATCGCATCGCGTCGTCGAAACGATGAGCGCATAGAAGAAAATGGGGGGCGAGGATCGACTCTAACATCGAGCTCTTCTATTTACATGGACGTGGGTGTCCAGAAGTTCATCTCTCTCAATTCGGATGGATTGACCTTGAGTATGCTCAACGACGCGTTATTCTTCTCGGCGCCGTCCTCCTTGCCCAGGTAAGTCAGATTCTGGGACGAGATGGACTTTTTGCGACTGAACGCGTGCGCCGGCACCTGGTCCAGCTGCGACTCCTCCTCCTCGTCGATCTTTTTCGGCGCGATGAATTCGCGCGACTGGCCGAGGATGCTGCTCAGCAGCCAGCCCTTGCGCTCGCCGTCGGCGGCCACGTAGGCGCCCCCGTTGAAGTAGCGATGGCGACGGCGCGTCTTGGGCGAGCCCTCGGGCGTGCCCGCGGGCGACGTGAGCGGCGTAGCCGGCAACGACTTGCTGACCTTCTGCTGCTGCTGCTGAGTGGAACTATTGGCCGCGGAGTCGTTGGATGATGGCTTGGAGCTGCCGGAAGCGGCCGCGGAGTCGGCCGAGTTGGCTTTGCCGAACTTGGACGACACCAGCTGGCTCGCCACGCTGACGATGGATCGGCCGCGGTCCTGGGTCGTGCTGTTGTTGTTGTTGCACGACGACTCGTCGTCGCTGCTCTTGTTAGACTTGTTGGCGAGGACGATTTTCGGCTCGCACACTGCAAATGGAAAGAAATGAAGTTAGTTAATAAACGGCCGGTACATAAAACGATGAAACAAATTGCAGTACAATTACCTCGATCCGACATGAAGGGTATGAAGGATTGAAAGGCGAGCGGGCCCCGGCTGAAGCTCGTCGTCGGTGTCTGTGTCATCTGCGCCGCCGGCTGGGTAACGCCAGCGGCCGCCGCGGCCTGGCCCTCGTTGAACTGTCTGAAGCCCTCCTGGGCGTTGTTGGCCGAGGCCTTGAGCTGCTCTTGGTGCTTGGCGTAGCGTATGACGAAGAAGTCGTCGTCGGCCGGCGGACTGAAGGCCGTCTCGCCGTAATCGTACCTGCGTCAAAAAAAAAAGAAGATAGAAACAGTCAGTCGGTTGTAAATTGTATATGTAATAAGCTGAGTGCATTTCGCGTACGTATTGCATTATGTATAAACGACAAGAGCGATAAGCGCCGACGCGCACACACAAGATGGCAATAGCGTATAATATAGCGCTTGGGAAGTTTTGTATAAGTAATGATGATATATAAAATAAAATATGTGAGTAACGAGACGCTCCACACACACACACACACACGCATCATTTGGCGCGCGCTTGACAATTAGATATCATTACGCAACGTGCACAGAGTCTGTGCCGTCTGCGCTGCGCGATTTTCGTATTCGTAATATCAGCCAAGCGGCGCGGAAAATACGATACGCGGCCCATCCGTGCCTGCGCTGAAAAGTGCAGTTCTTTGTTTCGCGGCGCGCGGCGGCCTCTCACGTGCAGCAGCGCGAGATAAAGAAAACGAAAAGTTCAAGTATAATATAATGTGTCTCACGCGCCGACATGTGCATTCAACCTGAAGCGTCCGAGAGAGCTTTTGCGAGCTTTTTTTGCTCTTGTAATATATTAATATACCTAAGTACACCCGCGCGCACGCACACATATACACGTCTTTGACGAAAATTCCGCTGCTTTGGCCAATTTACGTAATTGGGACGTTGAGCGTGAATCGGCGACTATATACCAACGCGTTATATATCTATACAGATGAAGCTCGTTTAATTACAAGCTAGATTTTCTTTTTAGATTCGGTCACGAGCGGAGAGCGCACATTTCGGGTTTTGGTACGTGTGCAATAACTTTTTGGCCGGAGTATGTATCGCGTGGATGATATAGATGTATAGAGTCGCTAGAGGCGCTTCTTTAGTGTATTTACTAATGATGAAGAATTGTTTCTACGCATGTATGATTTAACTAAACAACACTTGGAATTTTCTTTTCTCGAACGATTGGAAAATTCTGTGCTGCATCGGGTTTCGAGGAACGTCACGTTTCAATAAAGTCGAATCATTTCGTGCGACGATTGTAAAATATTTTTCAAGACGAAATCACGAGAAAATAATGTCATTCAGATTTTTTTTCCGCAACTATACGTGCTTGAATTCGGCGTTTGAATTCGACTCGCCGATTAGAACTTATCGTTTATTTATTTTCGGGACGTATATATAAACACACACGCGCTTGTATACAAGCAAACATTTTCGACACATGTTTTCATTCGAGCAAGCGGTGGCGGCACACGGCGTTTATATACAATCTATAAACACTATCGCGATTACGCGCCGATTACATACCGTGTAAATACCGATGTGCAAAAGATTTTTCGAGAAAAAAAAGCGTAACAACAACGATAACAATAAAAAAAAATTGTAAATTTTTCTCTCTCTCTCTCTCTTACCTCGTATCCACCTTTCCTTTCATCCACTGCGGCAAGAAGGTAGCCTCGCCGATGGATCTGTCAACCGGACGCGATGAACCCATTTTATTGTTCGATTTATAACTTTTTGTTTAAATCGAAAGACACACGCTCTCTGGAATCCAGCAAGTGTCTAATTGAAAAATCTGCTTTCTGCTGCGTTCAGAAGTGCGTCTATGCTGCTGCTGCTGCTGCTGCGTTCACTCGCGACGATATACTGATCTCTCCGCCGAATACGACGACAAGAGAGTCAATTGACCAAAGGATGCCTCGCCTGGAGTTGGTGCGAACGATGCGTGGTGCACTCTACTGACCAAGTTGGTGCTGGTTGTTGTTGTTGGTGGTGGTAGGGGTTGGAAAAGACTGGGCTTTTCTTAAGAGTTCGAAGGTATGAGCATTCTCGAGATCTGTAATGACAGCAGACATAATAGAGATTAATGATTGATCGGGGCTGTGTGTAGGTCAGGTTCAATCCGGATCAAGTTACATCTAGATATGTACGATAGAATCCAAGAATCGTAAAAACGACGTAATTTCCGGACGCGCTCGCTAGACTAATTAAGTCCGACGCACACACACACACACATGAAGCAATTATCATCGCGGACGCATTTTATTCTAAAACTCTGCTTATAAAACATTTTCACTCGATACGGCTTCGTTCGCGATGATGTGTTGGTGTACCTTAATATATAATAATAATAAAATACGAAGAGAGCAGCACAAGCGTCAGAGAGTCGCGCATGTAACGGGATTTAAAAGGCAAAATTGCGTCAGCCAGTAGCAGCCAGTGTGTGCTTGTATGTACGTGTGTGTGCAGGTGTATATGTAACAAAGAGGTAGGGGAGACATTAGACAGCTATTTGACACCGAGCCACTGATTCTAATGTCTGTTTAGTATTACATATATACAACGGACGCGTCTCTTTTGGCCAGATGTCGGTCGTTTTTCTTTTGTACACGATAATGCGCGCGGAGCAGCGGCACGTTGCAACGAAACGTGAAAAGTGAAAGTATAATAGGTGTACTATAGATGAAAGTATAATCGAGAATCAATTAGTCTTATCTCCGAACGCTTCGAGGCGGGTATTTCCCTAAAAAGATCAAATGCTTTTTTATTGACCCCGAAATTGTACGACAACAAGAGTTTAACTCGTTGATGACCAAAACACATGTATCATAGCCAATCTCGTCGCATTAATCGCTGCTGCTGCTGCTGCTGCTGCTGCTACTGCGCGAATAATATCGAATGGAAAGTAAATAAAGTTTTTCCAGTAAAAAAGTGGAAAATATCCACAATCGACAAAACAAGAAGAAGCACCCGTATAAACTCTCTCGAGAAGTATAGCGGCGACAAAGACGGTGGAGTGTGACGCACACGTTGTTAAACAACTAAACGTGTGCCGCTGCTTCTATCATCGTCGTCCGTATACATAGACAAACACATTATACGATGCGCGTGACTCTCGATCGAGCTCGCGACACGAGTAAGTTTCCGATAGAAAATAAGACAAGTAGAAGAGTTTACAAGTATTATGGTAGAGGGAGAGCAGCAGCAGCAGCAGCTCCTCTATGCTTTGCATATTATGTGTGCCTTCGTATATATACACGAGAGAGATGCCAGCTGGCAATTGCATCATGCTGCAAGAGAGCTCGAATCTTTTTCTTCTCATCTTTTTTTTCGAGGTATTGTTCCCACCCACTTGTACCCAGACGCACGCGAGAAACTGACCAGCGATGCATACTACGTACAAGAGTATAATGATAATATGAGGAAAGAGGAAAGAGCTCTCTCTCTCTTTGTTGGATGCGCTTGCGCGCGTGCTGCAAGTTGCTCAGCTGCACACCGACACACGCGAGCATGTGTATATAATATATATGTGTGTGTATGTGTGCATAAAAAGGCTTATCAGCTCGCGGCGCGCGGACACGCTCGCGCCTCTCTTTTTGTATATACAAATGGATGATAGTTTTTCGGAGCGACGACGAGGCATGAGCCTATATGTCATGTATACAAACAACGTCGCTCCGATCGCTCGCGAGCTGCCATTGCTCGTCGTCGTCGCTGCTGCTTTTATTATTGTGTTATGCGTATGTATGTATGTACATACATATACGCACGAGAGACGACGACAGCTCTTATATACTACATTACTATATACTCTGACGCGCGTTAAAGAGAGCGAGAGAGATCGAGCTCGAGAGTCGAGCCTCCATTGTGGAGATTTCGTATTACTCACGTTCTTTCTCGCTTTCTCTCTCTTGCACGCACCGTCCATGCGCGCTATGTATAGTATGCGACGATACGTATGATTCTTTATGTACAGCTATACATAGGCATCACAGAGACGGCAATGGGAATTGTTCAATCATTTTTTCGCAAATATTCTGCAATTGATAAAAAAAAGCAAGCTTCTGTGTGTATCTCGACTCACCCGACTTTTTCTACAAACGATCGATTCGACGATATGACCACCCATAGTGTTGTAAATGTCTAACAGTCAACCAAGTGCAACGACAAAAAAGTAACTGACGGGGCCCCGAACTCTGACTGATCCACACACGCACTCACTGTATTAGCAGCTACGCCACAAACTGTCTCTGTATATATATACACACATATATATGTATATAAACGAGAGACGACTACCACTACTCTCTATGTATAATAAAGCGAGGAGGAGAACGCGCGCGCGCGACGGCTTGTGCGACTGCGAAGCGAACTAATGTTCCTGGCCAGCCAAGCTCGCGAGCTCCGAAACGCGTATATACTTCGTTGTGGAAGTTCTTCGTTATATGCACGGCTCATGCGCGCGAATTCCCCTCTACTTGCGAATATATGAGTCGATCCGCGACCCAACGCCGTTCCTGGGATTTCCAACTTTCCTGATGTTACGTATACATGTATAGCTGCGGTGATGATAAATTTTAGAACGTAGACGCTCTACGTTGCGGCCGTATCGTACATGATTTTCGGAGCTGCTGACGAGTAAAGATACACAAGCGAATGACTGACACGAGACCAGCAACTATCCATATGTAACGAATTCGCGCGTGTATCGACTTTGATGCGGCAATTTTCAAATCGAAACGCCACTGCGGAATGGAGCTCCTTTTTACGCGCGCTTCGCCAACAAGAGAATCATATTTTACATTTTTCATTATTTTATTCGTGATGATATGTAATTGATTGGAAAATGTTTGCTATTAACTAGACGTGAAATACATAAGGTGATTTCTCCAATGATGTATTATATTTGCTTTGCTGTTGCTCGTTTTCATTGTTTGGGTTGAGTATCATAACACGATTCGTAAATATTATTGAATTGAATTTGAGCTACTTTGCTTGATGTGTCAATCCATCGCACGAAGTTTAATCGTTCGCTACATTTGAACTGTGAAAGATGGAATCCACTGCCGTTAGGTAATTTTTATCGCAGGAATACAAGTATTAAAATATTGTATCATAAAACTCAATCTCATTTGAATTTTTTTAGAGTAAAAGAGGAACCTCTTGATGTATCCTTCACTGAAGACATTGATTCAGTAATTGACAACCCAGCCGATACCAAACATTTCCTGAACTTGAGGTCTCTGCGAGAAAATCCCGTAAGTTTTGATAGTTATACACGAATATTTTCATTGTCATTTCAAACGAAAATTTTCATATTTCTAATATTTTATTCTAGGCTTACATATCTCAAGAATGTCGCGACAATCACGAATGTGAACCCAGTGAAAGTATGGAAATAGTTTTTGAGTGTAAAGACGCAAAGCCGAGCATCAATTTATTGCCGGTTAAAAAATTTGACGATGATTTTCCGAATTACTCGGAAAGTATAATAAATAGCAATGATTATCAAGTGCAAAACATAATCAAAACAGAAACAGTACGAGAAGTAAAGAAAGAAATTTTCGATGCAGAAGAATCAAATTTTAATTTTGATCGTGAGTCAGGCTTGCAAAATGAAAAAAGAAGAATTACAAAAAAGTCTAACCATGAAGATGGACTAAAAACCCAATTGAATACGGTGAATAATAAAATAACTTTTACATGTGATATTTGCAAGAAAAAATTCGCAAATAAGAGTCATCTTAAAACTCACATCGATTCGGTGCATCATAAAATAACCCATGCATGTGATATGTGCCCGAAGACATTCACACTAAAGTGTAATCTCAAAAGTCACATCGATTCGGTACATCATAAAATAACCCATGCATGTGATATGTGCCCGAGGACATTCACGCAAAAGGGTAATCTCAAATCACACATTGACGCGATTCACAAGGGTGTCTCTCAATCATGCGACGTTTGCGAAAAAATATTCCGATACAAGAATGATCTCAAAAGGCATATGGATGGAGTGCATAAGGGTATCAACCACACTTGTGAAACATGTGGAAAGTCATTTATGCATAAACATCATCTCAAAAGCCACATCGATGTTATACATAATAAAATCACACATGCATGCGACGTATGCGGAAAGAAGTACTCACAGAAGAAAAATCTCAAGAAACACATCGATTCAGTGCACAATGGTGTCAAACATGAATGTGATATTTGTGGAAAGACATTTAAATCGAAGGATTATCTTAAAATCCACATCGAGGCGGTTCACAATGGTATCACTCATGCATGTGATATATGCGACAAAAAATGTTTATCGAATGATTATCTTAAAAAACACATCGATGTGGTGCACAATAAAATTACACATGTATGCGATGTTTGCGGAAAAGTATACCGATACAAGAGAGATTTAAAAGGGCATATGGATGGAGTGCATAAGGGTATCAACCACACTTGTGAAACATGTGGAAAGTCATTTACGCATAAACATAATCTCAAAAGCCACATCGATTTTATACATAATAAAATCACTCATACATGCGACGTATGCGGAAAGAAGTACTCACAGAAGAACGATCTCAAGAGACACATCAGTTCAGTGCACAATGGTGTCAAACATGAATGTGTTATTTGTGGAAAGACGTTTAAATGGAAGGCTTCTCTTAAAATCCATATCGACGCGGTTCACAATAAAATTACACATGCATGTAATACGTGTGGAAAAAAATTCGGAAAAAAAAGTAATCTGAGAGTCCACATACAGGCGGTACATAACGGTATTACCCATCAATGTGATGTTTGCGGAAAAGTATTTTCATTCAAAAATAATCTCTCTTGTCACGTTAGATCAGCGCATATTGGTACAGCCGTAGCAGGTGATACTTAAATTAAGACATTTAGACGAAAAGGTTATCATGAAACCTAGATCGATACGATGCATAGTTTATGCATTAAGATTAAATTAATATGTAAAATTATATTATTTACTTGTTAAGAAGACATATCTAAAAATGTTCAAATCTAATAATATTATGATTTTCTTCGCTGTCATCTTACAAAAAATAACGTTTAAATTCGAAAAGAATTAATAAATTTTTGTAGAAAAATGAAGCTCATTATGAATTCTTTACTAGAACTCCTGTAGTCAATGACACTTTAATAAGACTAAAAGTTACTTTTGAGCTCGCTTCGATCGTCCTGAATTCTGCGAGCTTTGTTTCGCAACTCTTTTACGTCTGCGTAAACCGAGTCGTTTCATCCCGTTTTTTTTATAATAAAAAATTATAATCCATACTTAAGCCGTTAAAGCGTAATGAAAATACAATTGCTTATGCTCTGAAATGGCAAGTCCAATGCTTCGATGCGCTATCGGTATAAAAGCACGTGTGAGTTCGTTAGCTTTAACGGCTACTATCGGACCGACTTCGGGAAATGTAAACACGCACAATAAGGCAAAGGACTGAATATGATTGATACATGCTTATCGGGGCCAAAGCCAAGCATCGCTTGTTTATTTTATAAGTAAAAATGATCTATATTGCAGGAGGTAAGTTTGAGCTTCAACATCTGTTAATTGTCAAAATATTATACCATCAACCTTATTTCAATTTCTTTATTAAGCATCCGGCTAAATTCAAATTTCTTATTTATCTAATGTTTTAACTGGTGTCCTTTCATATTATTATCATTTAGAATATTCAACACTAATGCAGTGCAGCCCGCCGTGGATCGATATTCGAATTGTCTAACGCACGCGTGGCACGTTTGCAGCGACTCGCGGGCTCGACTTTTCGCAGATCGATCTCTTTCACGCGCGTTACAAAGTACATACATAAGTATTCGGCGCAGGAAACTCGATAAAGAGAGAGAGAAAGAGGAAGAGAATCGATGAGCGCGCGACTGCAACCGGGTAATCGGCATCGTTACATATAGCAGCACCGGAATTTGCGCGTATGGACGCGAGCACAGCACACGTGATTGTAATAAATGTAATGTGCATAGTGGTAGTGCAGCGAGCGATCGAACGCGCCGGCTAGAGAGAGAGAGAGAGCTCGTTGGCACGTGTGCCCTAGTTAGTACGGTATATATAGTATACACGTGCTGCACGTCTGCACCTCGATACGTACAGCGTAAAATATATTATGGATTGTATGCCTTATTATAGCCAGCTGTGTGTGGGTGTGTGTAGAATAGCTCCGGTACACTCGTGAGCTCCTGCGCGCGCGAAAAAAAAGTAAAAGTCTCGTATAAGGTACGGACGTGTGTGTATAATATCTTATTACTCTGCCTCGCGATCCGCCGCCCGCATATATACGCGAGTTGGCCCCGAAAAACTTTTGACGCAATTACCTCGCTGGCCTGATTCGCGAGTACGATATATAATAATATAACAACATCTCTGCCTGTGTGTCTGTGTGTGTGTGTAATTCGGCCTAAACGCACTCGTGGCATCGATGCACTTAAAAAGTTTCCAAGTAGCTGGTATATATTATGGCGATTAAGGCGAATCGCTCGCGAGGAATCGCAAATTGGAATAGCACATTATATCGAGTGGTGTGTGTGTGTGTGAAGTTGCCGACGGGCTGCAGCAGCAATTAATAAAAAATAATACGCACGACGCGCGTCACCTATGTCAATGTCATTCGGTATTATAAACGTGCATCGTGTGTGTATACACATACAGGGTGCTGGACAGTATATATATAAACCGGGGGGCGGCGATTCGACCGGCGCGACTCGCGGCGCTCTTCGCGTGCCTTGTGCGCTGCGCGAGTCGATCGCACACGTCAATACACATAAACACAATAACAAATATTTCGGCATACCAAAAAAAAAAAAAAAAAGACAAATAACGGACTTGAACGCGCGTAGAGCTCCAACAACATCCGGCCCGGCCGCGTGCGCGCGCTCCTCACCCGTCCCGTAATACCATGCACCTCTTTCGTTTAAACTAAATTCACAAGTATATGATACAAGAAAAACACAATAGTCGCGCGCTTGCGTTCGAAAAATCATTACGAAGGTAATATATTAAGATTGAAAGAAAAAAAAAGTACAATTTGACTATCGCGAAGAAAAGTGAAAAAAGCAGCTGTCCATACCGATCTTCGTAGTCGTCGTGTCTTCGTGGGGGTCCGGAAATTTCCAAGGCTCAGCGATAAAGATCGGCCCGAGATCTCCCCCCTGGTTCACAGGTTAGTTATACGATTTGTATACCCGATGTATTTTAGGCGGGGTGCAAAGGAAAAGAAATGAGAGTTAGAATTAAAGATCGGCCCTATACGAAGAAGGGCCGGAAAGACTCGTAGGCAATCACGCGACTCAATTGCCACATGCCGAGCGAGCTTTTACTATCTACTACCTCTGGCTGCTGCTGCTGCTGCTGATGCGCGGCGATGATCGCGTGCGATCGCCTATACATCAGAGAGAGAGAGAGAGAGAGAGAGAGAGAGTCGAGCCGAGCGACAGGTGGTGCACACATACATAGACGAGCTTTTAACCGAGTATAGGCCTCAAGTAGGTCGCCCATAGGTTAAGGGGTCGCGACCCCCTTTCCGTTTTTGCCTATCTCTCTCTCTCTTAGTTTTTTTCCCCCTTTCCTTTCCTTTCCTTTCCACCTATTATGCGCCGTACCAGCGCGAGCTTGCAAGCTCGCCCGAGAGCTTTACACGTTACAAATGCGGATCGCCAGCGGGCGTAGGCGCAGCTCCGCGGAACGCACCGCTGGCGGCGGCGGTTCGCGCGCGAGGACATGTGCGTCGGGTGGTGGCAGGTTTCAAGCGCGAAATAACAACAACAACAACAACAACAATGTTCTCGTGCTGCAGCAGGTCGACAACAGCAGCGAGCGCAGACGTCAACAACGACAGCAACGACAGCAACGAAAGCTCGAGCGAATTCCGTCCCCGTCGAGCATGACGACGAACTGCGGCGAGGAAGAGCTACAGCAGCAACAGCAGCAGCTCCTTCAAAATGCCACGAGCAACAACGAGGAGCAGGACTCCTCGGAGCAGGCCAAGGAGCTGTTGTCGTCGGGTGCCGAGATGGCTCCTATCCTCGGTGGAATGCAGCAGCAGCAACAGGGCGACAATGTCAACAAACAGCTGCAGCAGTCGGCCAACAACAATAATAGCAATAACGGCGGCGAGGTGCCACGGCCGCTGGGCCTCCATCAGATGGAGCACCTGCAGCGCATACGCGACCTAGTGAAAGCCGCCATAGCCTCGAGGCACACCTTCATGATACACGGCCGGGCGCGCATTATACGCGAGTCGCTCCTCGGCAGGAACTGGTGCGAGAAGTTTCAACGCAAGCCCGGCCAGGCGAGTGAGTATATACTTCGTTTTTCTCTTCCCTTGTCATAATTATCGTCATCGATCGCGTCTCGAATAGACGGAGCCGAGCAGCAGTACAGTCCCGACTCGTCGCCCTCCGCTTTGCTCTCGGGCCTCGGCAACCTGGCCGATCGCCAGAACGAGCGTCTGCTGATCTCTCGGATGCTCGGCAGCCACACGCCCGATCTGCTCTGGAACTCGGGCAGCGAGTGGACCGGCTGGCCGTCCCAGGACAACAAGGCCACCATCTTCAATCGCTTCACCCGGGCCAGTTTCACCTCCAAGGTGGGCCTGTGCGCCAACATACGCCAGATGCAGTGGATCTTCGAGGCCGGGGTGGCCGACTGTCTGTTTCCGCGCTGCTACAATCTCGGCCAGCCGGATCAGTTGCAGGCGTTCGTCGACGACTTTCGCCTCACCGCCTGTCTGTCGTTGCTCAAGTGGCTGGTGGAGAGGGTCAGGATAGGTGGCGAGGATTCGTTGAGGCTGGTGCCGAGCAGCAGTAGCGCCACGACGGACAACAACGCCGCGGCGGTGCCGCTTCGCGCCTTGGATTTCGCCGTGGGCAGGTGCAGCGACTTCGTCGGGAGTCAGACGCACGAGGACATCGACAGGGAGCTGGAGAGCGTCTGGTCGCACCAGTGGGACCAGTTCATGGGCTGGTACTACAAGCTCGTGCACGGCGACGGTCTGCTGGCTGCGGGAAACGTGCCTATACGCGTGAGTCGATAAATCGAAATCGCCGCGGTTGATTCTTATATACCGCATATAAATAAATTGGGGCGCTGCGTGTGTATAGAAATACGTGCTGGCGGCGCGACACCTGCTGAAGAAAGCGGCCAAGTATTGGCCGCAGCTGCAGATGGACGGCTGGCGCAACGTCTGGATTCTGAAGCCGGGCAACAAGAGCCGCGGCCGGGGTATCGTGCTGCTGCAGCGACTCGACGACATCCTCTCGAGGATCGGGCCCAGCGGCAAGGCCGGCGACACGCGCTACGTCATACAGAAGTACATCGGTAAGAGCTGATCGGTAACGATTTAATTTTAGAGAGGAAAAAATCGGTAAATCTTTTTTCACGATAGAACGTCCGCTGCTCATCTACGAGACCAAGTTCGACATACGCCAGTGGTTCATCGTCACCAGTGCCCAGCCGCTCACCCTCTGGATGTATCGCTCCAGCTATCTGCGCTTCTGCTCGCAAAAGTTCTCCCTCACGGATCTGCACGAGTCCGTGCACCTGTCCAACAACGCCGTGCAGTGCAAGTACAAAGTGAGCCCGGAGCGCGACCCCCTCCTCCCGGCCGACAACATGTGGGACTCGGACACGTTCAAGGAGTGGCTGAGGGCGCGCGGACAGCCGCACGCCTGGGACGAGCTCATCTATCCGGGCATGAGGCGGGGGCTGGTGGGCTCTCTGCTGGCCAGCCAGGAGGCCATGGACCGCCGCAGGAACAGCTTCGAGCTGTACGGCGCCGACTTCATGCTCATGGAGGATTTTAGCGTGTGGCTGATCGAGATCAACAGCCATCCGGACATGAGCAACTCGACGAGCGTGACGAGTCGACTGTGCCGCCGAGTGCTCGAGGACACGGTGCGACTGGTGGTGGATCACCGCGAGGATCCCCAGGCGGACACGGGCGACTTCGAGCTGGCCTACAGGCAGCGACCGTCGCCCTGCCAGTCCTATCTCGCAGCGGGCCTGAGACTGCACGGCCAGGCGGTCGGACCCAGGAACGCCTACGGCAGTCACACGGGTGCCGGTTTCGGACCGGTCGCCGGTCGATCGCGTCGACAGAGCCACGCTACCGCTGCTGCTGCCGCGGCGGCGGCGGCCGCCGGTGTGTCCGTTAACGATCAAAGCGGCGGCTTCAAGGGCGCCAATCACTGCCGACTCGGGCCGGTGCTGGTCGACCTCATCGAGGACCTGGAGATGCAGCTGGATCGCGAGTTCGGCGAGTACCTGCGACTGAGGCCCGCGAGCGGACTGCAGCGCGTCGAGCTGCCACCCGGCTGTCCGGCCCTGGATCCGGCGGTGGCGCCCGAGACCGACGCCTACGTATTCAACGTCGAGACCAGTACGGCTGGTGCGGCCGGTGCCGCTAGCAGTGGTGGTGGTGGTGGTTTGGTGCTGGCTGCCTCGAGCACGCCCTACGAGGATAACGACAACGACAACGACAACAACGAGGAGAGCTATAACGTCGACAGAGAAAAACAATCGGAGCCACAGCAGCAGCAGACTAAACCGGTAGATGTCGGCGCGCCCAAGACTGCCCCCGAGGTGATAATCAAGCCCACGACGCGGCCATCTCGAGCTTCGAGGCACGCTCAACAACAGCAACAACAGCAACAACCACCGGTGTCGATACAATCGCCGCATCAGACCGCCATCAAGTCGGTGCCGAAGAAGCCACCGCCGCCGCCCAAGGTGCATCACCTGGTGCCGAGAACCGCGGGTCTGCTGCTGCTGCCCGAGAGGCGGCCCCAGACCCGATCGCCGACCACCGTCAGCATCGCTGGCCACAACAGCAACAACAACAACAATGATAATAATAATAACAAGAACAGCAACAATAACAACAACAAAAGCAACAGTAGCAGCAAACCCTCGACCACGACTCTGCGCCAGTCGCATCATCATCTGAGGCAGGCCAAGCGCTACAGTCGCGGCGTCCATCCGAGCCAGGTCTACGTCGACCTCAGCGACATGTACGCCCTCGGACTAGGCGTCAACAAGACGTCGTCCTGAGAGCTCGTGCGATGTATAAAATATACGTTTTGGCGAGTGGCGCGATGTGATCCATCATCTCTGTCTATAAATACCACGCGTTATTATCTCCGCACTTGCTGATTAATTTTCGTTTTATAATTTAAGCTAAAACAAACAACGATTCATTATAAATATATATGATACACCTCTTTCTCATCCGTCGTCCGTGTAAATAAAGTATTACCCTCGAATTTTTTTAAAGAAAAAAAAAACCACAGTTTTATTTGATTGCAAAAATTTCATGCTACCTATTCTATATGTATCGCTTAAATAACATAATTTATATACAGCGCTGACCTTAAATTTATTATATAGTGATATATACAAACTCAGCGTTTACAGTGCAAAACGTCGCTTGTTTCAATTGTCTGAGTAAACCTACACTTATCCCACTATTTCACAACATACACACACATACACCAAACAACGCACCACGCATTACAGCAAACCCTGCATCTCTCGCATGAACTGCAGGTAGTCGTCTTCCTTCGTCTTGACCTGCTGCGGGACCCTCGTGACCATCGGCGACTCCATGTTCATCCTGTCGGCGGCACGTACGGACGAGGCGAACGCCGACGACGGCTTCTTCTTCTCGTCGGCACGCTTGACTCGCAGCGACGTCGGCAGGAAGCGCGTCACGTCGGCCGCCAGATTTCTGATCTGAGGCTTGGCCTCGATCGTGGTCGCGCTCTTGCCGCCGGCCTCCTTGTCGCCCTTGCTTATCAGCTGCGGCGCGGCCGACAGCACGTTCGACTGTTTCTGGGCGTTGCTGAGTCCGGACGGCGGTGCCGGTGGCGGAGGAGGCATGCCGTGCATGCCCATTCCCGGGCCCATGACTCTGGGTCCCATCGACATGGGACCGCCCGGTCTCATTAGTCTCGGCATGCCCGGTGGTGGACCTGAAAATTTATTGTTACGAATTATTGCAAGTGCTATGGAAAGTAAAGATAATTATGAAATAACCAGTACCTGGAGGTAATCTTATTCCCATCCTCGGTGGTGGAGGTGGAGGAATTCTCAGATGCAGAGGCGGTGGAGGTGGCCTGTACATCAAGGGAGGCGGTGGAGGCAGACCCATGAGAGGCATTGGTGGCTGTGTTGGTACATTATTGCTTGGCATTGGCATTGGTTCGTCTTCTTTCTCCTTATTGCTTTCTAACAACGTTAATCTTGTGTTCAAATCTTGAGCTCGTTCCGTTTCTCGCTTTTTGTGCACAACTTCCATCTCTTTCATGAAGTGGTCAATATCCTCCATGCCTGCCATAGCCAACATTTTTTGCTGTAAACTTGTTGGCTTGACTTGAGAACTATCTTTATCTTTTTCTGAATCTTGAACATAAGTTTCAGCTTTTTCATCATCAACAAAACGAATTGTTTTGGTTTTGACAGGAGTTTTAGTTTTTCCATCTCCATCTTCGTCATCGCTAGCAAATACATCCGGTGGTGGAAAAGGAGGTACACCAGGTGGATCTCTATCCATTGGCATGTTACCAGATGCCCCAGTAGCAGAATACAAATTTGTCTTTTTTAAAATGCTAGGCGGGACTGGAATATTTACTAAAGGTTGATGTTGCGGAAGGTAATGAGGTGGATAGGGATGTACTGCAGGCTGAGGCATTTCTGGTAAAGGTATTTGAGCTGTCATGCCACCAGGAAATGCTCGATTTCCATCATTTCCTGATGAAGGAAGTGGAATTTCATCCACTTGTACTTGCTGAGCATGCTTTACAGCTTCATAGTAAGAAACAAGTTCTATTCGTCTCCTCTCATATTGAATCAACTGTTCCTTTAACTCCAACCACTTATCCTGATCATCCTTGCCATACATTTTTAGCACTCTGTCGAGTGTTTCTTTCAACTTTTTCCTTTTATCTTTAAGCACTTTTTCATTCAGCGGCGGAGGCTGGAGGACGTTGTACTCCATTTGATCGATTTTCTCCATTTCTTCAATAATTTGACTGGGATCTTTCCCTTTTAGAACTGCAGCTCGAACTAGCTGACGCTGTTTTTTATTCTTTTTGAGCTCTTTTTTACGGGCCTCTTTTCCTAAAAAAAATACGTTGAAACTCGATTTATAAAGAAAATTCATAAAGTAAAAAAGTGGATAGGAAAAATGTTTTAAATGTCAACTTACTTGCTTGGTCCGTCGGATTCATATATTTACCACTCTTGGTGGTGTTGATGGATCGTCGACCCATGATTACTGAGTTTTAAAAAACTGATTAGCAGAAACTTATTATGTTCAAGAAGATGTCGCTTAGTTGTCGACTTCTGAGTAATAATCACTTTTCTAATGCAATATAAACTTGTATCAACGAATAAATAACAACAAATACATCGACTGATTCATAACCTCACGGCAAGTCAATCGTGTAAATGTTTTGATTGAAGTCTACAGTGGAGTTTTGCAAGAACACGCTGAAATGTCAACACTGACGCTTTACGCGGGAAAATGATGAACTAAGCACTATAAACTCTAAATACCATGAACCATCGTGCAGGAAACGTGCTCTGTAGTGCCCTAACTATGCTTTCCCTTTTTCATATAAAAATTGGAAGCAGATACATTTGTTCAGACTAAAAAGCAATTTTTAATAAAAAATTACTCAATTATTTAGCTAGATTTTACAAGTCACCGACACATCAGCGTTTAACCAGTTAATTTTCATTTTTTATTTTATCATATTTTCCCAAGTCGATGCCTATAATTTAAATTATAAATCATTTAATGCACCAGTTTTTTAGAACATATTAAAAAATATCATAACATTAAATCACATGTTGCAGTTTGTAATCAAGTTTTTTTCCCAAAAAATTCTGAATTCAAGGAAAATTTCAGAACCTGAAGAAAAAATCTATAATAATTATTTAACATTAGATTCTTGCACCCTCATATCATTTGCCATAAAATTTTCAATATAAAAATTAATTGAAATCAAAAATGTAACAAGTGTCGCTTGAAATCTCCCGCGTATATCGATTCAGATTTATTGACTCATCTGGAAATCCACTGTTGCGTGTTTTGCTCGTTCAGTTGTATTATTGTCGTTTAACACTATATATGGTTATACTTATATTATACGTCTAAAGAACGTTCTTTACCTCCAAAAAATCAAGTATTTCAGACTCGACGACATCCCGTACTACACACGCTGCACAGTTGAATCGACTCAGCTCGCGCCGACCACGAACTCGCATCGTCTTTTTGTTATCTGAAAAACGTGTTGAAGTCATCTTATTTCTCCCGTTCATAACCTCAGGAATAATCATGTCAGATGCTCGTCTACGCCAGTTGAGAATCAAGTCCGGTGTTGTCAAACGCCTGGCCAAGGAGAAAGTAACGTACGAGAAGGAGGCGACCGAGCAACACGAGAAAATTCAAAAGCTCAAGGAACAGAACAAGGACAGCCATGTGATCAAGAAGCAGGAAGAAGTGTTGCAGGAGTCGCTGATGATGATACCCGACTGTCAACGACGTCTACTCAAAGCCTTCGAAGATCTCAAAAGAGTCCTCTCCACGGAGGAGGATTTGAAAGAAAGCGAAGAATACATCGACGCCGAGGAAGCCCTTAAGACTGCGGAGCCTCAGTTGATGAAAAATAGTTCAAATATATGATTTTCAGACTCTGATATATTTCAAAATTACAGGTAAAGAATCAATTATATTGGTATTACTTTTCGAGTGAATGTAGTGAATATACATGTGAGTTCATTTTTACAATTTTAGTTTTATTCAAAATGTGGAAACGGAAAAGACAAAACCAGACATTTATAGAAGAATTTATTACTCGTGAACCACCCACACAATCACCGCCTACACAAAAAGTTAATATATCTACAATCAAAATTGCCATTACTAATGTTTACAATCTCAACAAACAGTTGCAAGAAATATTGCAGCATTTAAAAAATGTTGATCCAGTCACTGAGACAGATAGGAATAAAAGTATACAAGTATATAATGAACTAAAAAAGCAAGTGCAAGTATTAAGAGAATTAAGGGAGCATAACGATCTATCTTCTGTTGTCAGAGCTAGGCAAAAAAGGAGAAAGAGATTGAAAAATCAAAAGAATCAGTATGCGATATTAAAAAAAGAAGCTGAAGAAAGACGGCAATACCTACACAATGAAATTGATAAGTGGCGAGCTAAGAAAGAAAGAGATATTCAGAGAGAAAGAGAGAATAAGTTATTCAGAATGGATGCAGATTTAATACTGTCTGAAGTAAAAGCAAAGCAATCTGATGTGAAAAAATTCTTAACTATTCTTGAAGAATTAGAAAGTCTAAGAAAAGTTAAGGTGTCTATGGCTCGCAACAGAGGAGAGAACATATCCTTGGAAACCGACAGAGCCTTTAACAGTATTATAAATCAGTTGAGAGAGTATTGGAAAGTATTGGAAAAGGAATATTCAATTGAAGAAAAGGGCTTAAACCTCATGATTAAAACTGACAAAGAAGAAAGGATCAATAAAATTTCACATAATGTATTTGTAGAATGGCAAAAATCTTTGTTTACTCAAAGTATAGACTCTGGTTCCTCTGAATCACAATCTTTGAACAATCTAAGAACTTTGAGAATCATGTGGGATCAATATATTAGTGGAGAAAAAGGCTCTGAATTGCCTGTAGGATGGATAATGAATTCTCCATCTTCAATGTCTACATATAAAGAAATGCTTGCTTGTTTCAAGAACAATATTTGTGATTGAGTGTTACCATATTTATTGACAAAAAAACTATAGTAATACTTAATATTTTTTATTTGTAAATTAACAATTTTTACTTTTTTGTGCTTACTTACCATAAAAGACAAATTTCACAAGTCAATTATATGTTCATTTTTCATAAAGTCTTATTTAGAATAAAATAAATTTATTATATTTTGAAATTTACACTTTTGTTATAATTATTTATGAATTTCCATAAAGCTTTACATATAATTTTAAAATAAGTTGATTACAATGTTGAATTTCATCTATTTATTAAACTCAATGAGAATTTGATTCTAACACTATAATACTTGTAACAAGTTTAATTTAATGCATTAGAAACAATGAATTTTGCTGCTGCACAGTTGATAATTTGTAAAATATTCCAAGAGTTTAATGATCATAAAAAAAAATATTAACAAAAAAGTGATATTTTAAATGTACAATTTTAACACCATGTCTGGTTTATAAATAATACATGCTGCAAATAGCAGTTTTTCAACTTGGAAGTGGCAGCAAAATGAATATATATTATCGACACCTAAGAATAATTTCAGTGGCATTTAGAACAATATATCATCATCTCCTTCATCCAACATATTTGCTACATCTCTGTCATCAGTTCCAAGTGCTCTCATCGCTAACCTTCGAGCTTCAGCCTGAAAATAGAAAAAACAATGTTAATAAAAAGGTACAATTTTACACCCATATCAAGAAATTCAAAGGAAATACCTTAGCTTTGGCCTGTTTTTTCTTATCCTGAATTTTCTTCAGACGGTAGAATTCTTCTCTTTCAAGCTCATCTAATTCTGAAATGATGTACTGAAGAGTTCTTTCAATTCTTGGAATGATGACATGTTCAATAGCATTTACACGGCGATTAGTGATTTTAATGACTTCGTCAAGGGTGACGAAACTGGTTTGAAGAGAAGCCAGCTCGACCAGTAAAGTCACAGCCTTCTGATAATTTTTTTTCAACTTTGACAACTGCTGACCACCCCTGGCTAGACCAGCTAGTTCGTAAGTATCAGTACCATCTTGATAGGATTCAAATACTGGAAGATTTACACCAGCAACATTGTCTTTCTTTGAACGTATCTTAATTTGTGCCTTTGTTACGTTCTGAAGAACAACTTGGTTGAAATCACCGGTGGCAAATTTAGCTTCCGCCAGAGAGAAGGCAGCTTCTTTCATCACTTCTCCCATGAGTGTTTTGGTCTACAAAAAGGAATGTGACATTTAAGAATGATTCTCCATAAACAAACAAATATTTTCATTTCAAGCGTTAAAAAGTATGTTGTTTATAATGAATTTTTTGACACACACCTCGATAATTTTACCAAGGATCATCCTGAAACGCATCTGAAGGGCGTCAGCCTTTTTCTTGAGCAATCCATGTCCTTTTTGTGCGCCAGCCAATCTGGACTTCATCAACATTTGGGCTCTGCAATATGAAAACGAGTCACGTGTTTCTTATCACATTTTTTTCATTCATATAGCTATCGATTTGGTTAATTAGCCTGGGTGCACGAGATATCGTCGTGGCACAACATTAACGCGTACGAGGCCCATCATAATGGACGATTCGTCAAAGGAATCGATGCTTAAGTCCCGTTGCAATATCGAAGAAGCGATCGCGAGCCAGTCACGAGACACGCGCAAATGTAAACTTTTCTGCGCGTCGCGAGCTGTCGCGAGCTGGGAGGCACCCACTCCGCTTGTTGTACACACACATCGAGTCCGAGAAAAAAACGACCGATTCAACTCGACCCGGGGACCCGCGAGAACGATCAATTAACATAGGATACTTACCCCCGAGACGGGAAAATGGCTAGCTTTTCCTTTCCCGACATGTTTACTTTTCTGCAGCTCGAGTCGCGACGAACGATCGGATCCTGTGATCAGCTGACTTTGACAAAGCGGAACAGTGGAACACACAGCACTGACTGAGCGTGTTGGTTGGTATATAGTCGATACCGTACTCGTCGTCGTCGTCGTGAATTCTCCAAGTCTGAAGTCTCTCGCAGTGCCTCGGTGCTCCTCCGTATCCTAGTGTGTGTCTATTAAAGCACTGAGATGGGCGTGTGTGAGTAAATGTGCGCGAGCAGACGCTTGCGGCTGTCACATGATCGTGCTGCGATTATACAGCGAACAATATTCTGTGCACGCGAGCTATAGTTGCTATATGACTGCACACGAAGTGAATCGTTCCCTCCACATATACGATCAATTAACGATTAAAGATTCATCATCGTATAGATAAAAATCGATGTTATGTCTTGGTGATTGGTTTGGGGACAACCTATAATTATGCTGAAATCGATTTATCTCAAAATTTTTCTCGATATAGCTTGGAAAATAACCTCGAATTTATTTCGAGTAAACTCATCGTGTTTTTGTCAAGCATAGACCTCCGAGACATGATCTCTATGCATTTTAACTACATAAATAAATATAAAAATTGTAGTGTTCAAAAATTGGATTAAAAAAAATTTTTACCATTAAACTTTTTAGTTTTAAGTAGGGGAGGATGTCTATTTTACGCTAGTGTAATATAGCATAATTTCTTCGGCGTTTACCAACGTAGTTACTTATGACGCATATTGATTTTTTTAGAATTTAATTATTGAAAACTTTTTGTTTAGTATTTTATTAAATGACTTGATAACTAAAATGTTTTCAACTTAATATTAATCATTTTTTGAACTATTGAATTAAAAATGTAATAATGTTTATAAATTATGTACAATAAAATCAATTCTATAGTAATAAATGTCGCTGAACAATGACAAGCATTTAAAAACCGCGCGATATATCCGTAGTTCTTACTTCTGTCGATAGATCGTGCTTCTGCCCAATGGCTCCACACAGCTCATGCGCACAGTGTGGACGGACTAATATACAGCTATAAATAGGCTGAGACCACTGGTATCCAAGTCAGTCTGCGTCGATCGTACAGAGAGTGTGCACGACACTTGACAGTTGATCTTACTAAAAATCTGTGGCATAATCTCCGTTTTCAAGTAGCCATCCGCTGGTATTGTACCAGACACAAGTTAAAAAGATGGCAAACCCAAACAATCCATTTCAACCAAAACAGTAGGTTTTTTTTTCCTATTTTGGTTCTTGTAAATTCAGTCATTTTGCTGATCATTCTTTCATTTGGTTAATGTTTAATGGGGCAATTTAAAGAATCTTTTGTAACTTTCTATTTGTGAAATACTTCTCAGTGAATAGTTACAAGCATTAAGTTTGCTTTATTCTTTCCTCTGATACAACATTTATGTTATTGAACTCCACATATAAAGTTAAGAATAAATTTTACTTTGTAGAACTTTTTTAGGTTAGCATTTAAATTTTAAGAGTTCCCTAAACCAGTTAGAAACTTGAGTTAAAAATAAATCATTGATTTCAATACAATTTTTAAGTTTGTTTTATAACTGTCAATTATGTTTTTCACAGCAAACCACCTACAGTTTCATGCTACGCTCATCCATATGCACCTCTGATAGAAGATTACCGAGCAGGAGATCAGATATGCTCAGACTGTGGATTAGTTGTTGGTGATCGAGTAATTGATGTAGGTTCTGAATGGAGAACTTTCAGTAATGAAAAGAGCGGAATCGACCCATCCCGTGTAGGAGGTCCTGAAAATCCATTATTAAATGGCGCTGATTTATCGACCATAATTGGTCCTGCCACAGGAGCTGCATCCTTTGATGCCCTTGGAGTTGCGAAGTATCAGAACCGTAGAACTATAAGTTCTTCTGATAGAACATTGTTAGCCGCTGTTCGTGAAATTAATGCAATGGCTGATCGCATTAATCTTCCAAAAACAATTATTGACAGAGCCAATAATCTGTTCAAGAAAATTCATGACAGCAAAGTATTAAAGGGCAGAGCTAATGATGCAATTTCCTCGGCTTGTTTGTATATTGCTTGTAGACAAGAAGGAGTACCTCGCACATTCAAAGAAATTTGTGCAGTAAGTAAAATAAGTAAAAAAGAAATTGGGCGATGCTTCAAACTCATTCTGAATACACTTGAAACCAAAGTTGAAGTTATTACAACTGGAGATTTTATGTCAAGATTTTGTGCAAATTTGGGATTGCCCAATACTGTACAGCGTGCTGCAACTATGATTGCCAGGCAGGCCACAGAAAGAGATTATGTTCCTGGACGATCACCCATATCTGTGACAGCTGCAGCAATATATATGGCCTCTCAGGCATCTGCAGATAAAAAGACTTACAAAGAAATAGGTGATATTGCTGGAGTAGCAGACGTAACTATTAGACAAGCCTATAAGCTCATGCTTCCACATGCAGCTCAATTGTTCCCACAGGATTTCAAATTTGTAACGCCAATTGATCAATTACCACAGGCTTAAAATTGTTAAGAAGAAAAGAAAAAAGTATTATCGTTACTAGATTTCATTTAGGTTGTTTTAATAATTTGTAGAGAACAGCATTTTTTGCATACAAAACCAATTTGTAATCACACTCTATGTACAAATAACATTAAAAAAAATGTTGCAAGTCTTGGAATAGTGAAAAGAAAATATTTTTGATTCATTTGTAATGTAATATGAAACTGATGAAATCCCATATAATGCTGTGATTGTATGACTATTTTTGTACCAAGTTTCATATTATAAAAATAAATATTTTTATAAATTACAAAATCAATGAATAACCTTTGATATTTATCCCATTTTTCCATTTTCAATGTTTTATAAGCCATATTTCCAGTATCTTTGTAAAAACTCATCACACAAATAGTCATCGGATCCGAAGATTATTTCAATATTTGAATGAAATTCAACAAATTCGTCAAATATGCAAAGCCAATGCGCCCAACACATCGTAGTCTGACAAATACACTGAACTATCAAAAAAAGATGTGAGCATTGGCCAAGTATCGCGAGAAATTAATTTTTATTTTCGTGACTCTAAAATATTTATCCAGCACCTATCAAGTATAATTGTTCTTGTTCCGGATTGTGAATGAATCGACGAGGCAAACACCGTTTAAATTGTAAATAATGTAAATAGTACCGTTAGTTTTAAGTTTTGTTATTGTAGTATGTAAGAGTTATTGTAGTATATAAGTCAGTCGTCAAGAGAACGCTCAACTGGTAGTCTCGTGTTCAAATATCAATAAAGTAGTAACGGTTTATTCTCAACTCAGAGTTTCTTTCGAAAGTCGATCAATTTTCCCTTCATCTCCTCGCATCATCTCGAACATTTTGGTCCTTCGGAGTCGAATTTATTTCAAGAGTGAACTATCAAGTATCAGNATCGCACGTCGTGGGCCTCGTCGCTCGATGCTACTGGCCACGGCGCGAATCATCGTTTCGGCCTCTCAACGTACAATGGAAGTACGTGCCCTCATCGACCCGTGCTCTGAAGCAACATTTATTTCGGAGGCACTCGCGCAGCAACTGCGCATATCACGGCAAAAGGCACTGGTCCCGGTAACCGGAGTTGGCGGTGCGCGATGTGCGACTGCCAAGTATCAAGCATTGATTTCAATTCGACCGCACTTCGATAATGGAAAGGAGTGGACGGTTCAAGCGTTGATTTTAACGCATTTATCGGACTACGTCACACCACAATACGAGCTTTTTCATCAACTAGACTTTGCCGCTGGACTGAAACTCGCAGATTACAACATCAAAGCAGCGGACAAAGTAGATGTCATCATAGGTGCTGATCTGTTCCCTGCGCTGATCAAAGGAGGACTCCGTAAAAGAGCAGATTCGACTCTCATCGCACAGGCGACGGAGCTGGGTTGGATTTTAACCGGAGCTACCGACGCTCGACCTACTGCGGCGCAGAAGTCACCCACGATCGCCAGTCACACGATCGGAGTGGATACGGAGCTGCACGAGCTCATGGAAAGATTTTGGCAGCAGGAGGATGTTGCACCTGTAAGTACTGCTTTTACGAAAGAGGAACAAGAATGTGAAGAGCATTTCGTCGCGACACATCGACGAGACGAGCATGGTCGATATATCGTTCGACTGCCGTTCAAGGGAGATGCAGCCAAGCTCGGAGACTCGAGATTGGTCGCGCAACGTACGCTGCAGCGAATGGAGCGACGCTTTGCTCAGCAACCGCAATTGGGTCAGATGTACGAAGATTTCATGTCCGAATATACATCGCTCAATCATATGAGCGAACTGCGTGTAGCCAATGAAGCAGCTTGTGAGCAATTTTATCTACCACATCATGGAGTTTTGAAGCAGAGCGGAGACAAATTCAAACTGCGAGTCGTCTTCAATGGGTCAGTCAAGGTGGATAATGGCGCGACTTTGAACGATTGTCTGCACGTCGGACCTAAGTTGCAGACTGAGATTTTCGACATCATGCTGCGTTGGCGTAAGCTCCGATACGTCTTCTCGGCAGATATAGAGAAAATGTACCGCCAAATACTAGTCGATGAGCGTGATCGTCGATTTCAACAAATCTACTGGAGGCAAGCGCCGACGGAGGAAATGAAGACGTACCAACTTAATACAATTACCTACGGGCTTGCAAGCTCGCCATATCAGGCAATCCGAGTCCTGCAGCAACTGGCGAGTGACGAATCGGCGAGATACCCTGCGGCCTCAAGAGTTCTCAAGAATAGTGCGTATATGGATGATATACTTACAGGAGCCGACTCGCTGGAGGATGCTCGCGAATTGCAGCGCGAGCTTGCGGATCTTCTTATGGCGGGCGGATTTCCCTTGAGCAAGTGGTGCGCCAACCACCCCAGCTTATTGGAGTCATTTCCTCCCGAGAAATTAGCGGGCGCTCGAGAATACAATTGGAATGCAGGTGAGGCGGTAAGCATGCTGGGGATATCGTGGCAACCGCACGAGGATTGTTTTCGTTTCACCATTGCTGATCCGCCAACGGAGAACATAACGAAGAGAAAAGCGCTATCATTTATTGGACAGCTGTACGACCCGCTCGGGTGGATATCGCCACTGACTATCCAGTACAAGATTTTTCTACAGCGCCTTTGGACTTTAGGTTTGTCCTGGGACGATCCACTTCCGGCGCACTTACAAGCATTGTGGCAATCACTTGTCAAGGACCTACAGAACCTCACTCAAGTCTGTATACCTCGATGGATAGGACTATCACCGACTCCAGGCACTGTCTTGGAGCTTCACGGATTCGCTGACGCGTCGGAGCGGGCCTATGGTGCTGTAATTTATGTACGAACAGCGATCGACGACGTTAGTTCTCGCTGCACCATTCTTACATCGAAAACAAAAGTCGCACCTTTGAAGCAAGTTTCGCTGCCACGACTGGAGCTCTGCGCGGCCCATATGCTCGTGCAACTGATGAGGCGAGTCGTCGATACGATGTCGATGGTCGACGTTCCGGTGCACTTGTGGTCTGATTCGACCATTGCACTGGCCTGGATACGTGGACATCCAACACAGTGGAAGACATACGTGGCCAATCGAGTGTCGGACATCCAGACGACGCTGCCTCAAGCCTCTTGGCACCACATCGCGGGGACGCAGAACCCCGCTGACATCGCCTCGCGCGGAGCACCGGTGGAAGCTTTGTGTTCACCCTCACTTTGGATGGACGGACCGGACATAATAACGAGCTCGGGCGACCCATGGCCTCGAGACATGAACGAAGAATTGCCGAACACAGAGCTTGAATGCAGATCGATTGCGGTGCATATCGCCAGCCGCGGGCCGGAGGAGAGTGAAATGCTGAAGAGATACTCCAGTCTCAATCGCCTGCTGCGCGTTACAGCGAGATGTATGGAATTTGTAGCGCGCTTGCGAGAGAGAAGAAAAAGAAGATCGCGAAGGCTCAGGTCAGGTGAGACGCTGGAGCTGACCCCAGCTCAGATAGACAGCGCGCTCAAGCTCTGGACTCGGCAGGTGCAGGAACTTCATTTTTCTAAGGAAATCGAGTCGTTACGGAGGTCTGTGCCCTTGTCGAGAAAAAGTGCACTGTTACGGCTGCACCCGATTCTCGATGAAGAGGGCCTACTGCGGCTGGGAGGTCGACTGCAGAATTCGTTGCTGCATTATGATGAGAAGCATCCGTACATACTCCCCAGTACATCGTTCCTTTCACTGTTGTTGGCTCGCGACGCGCACGACAGAACACTACATGGAGGAACGCAGCTCACATTGAGTTATTTGCGACGTCGCTTCTGGATTACTCAAGGTCGCGCGCTCGTTAAACGAGTAATAGGTCGCTGTATACGATGTTGGCGATATAGAGCGACTCCAACGAGTCAGCTTATGGGTGATCTCCCTGCCCTCCGAGTGCAACAGAGCCGACCGTTTCTTCACACCGGAGTCGACTATGCTGGCCCGATTAACATTAAGTGTTCCAGAGGTAGAGGAAAGGCTACTTTCAAGGGCTATATCGCCGTCTTTGTATGTTTGGCTACGCGTGCGGTTCACCTGGAAGTGGCATCTGGTTACTCGGCGCGTGATTTTTTGATGGTGTACCGGCGCTTCGTGGCTCGTCGAGGTATTTGTGCCACTCTCTCAAGTGACTGCGGAACGAATTTCATTGGCGCCGACCGAGAGCTTCGTGAGTTATTTGCCCAGGCACAGAAGCAGCCGAAAAAACTGGCACGCATGCTGAGTAACGAGGGCACGGAGTGGCGTTTTAATCCACCAGCAGCACCACACTTTGGAGGGATCTGGGAGGCAGCGGTCAAAAGCACGAAATTCCATCTCAAGAGGATAATAGGCGATACGCGTCTAACGTTTGAAGAATTTTCCACTCTTCTTGCTCAAATAGAGGCGTGTCTCAATTCGCGGCCATTGCAAGCGATCAATGACGATCCAACGGATCTCACGGCGCTGACACCCGCGCACTTTCTCATTGGCACCGCAACATGTACCATACCTGAACCGTCGACGCTCGATTTGTCCATCTCCGGACTTTCTCGGCTACAGATGCTGAGAAATATGTATGAGCATTTTTGGACGAGATGGTCCTCGGAATATCTGCAGGCGCTACAACATCGACCAAAGTGGCAGAAGAGCAACACCCAGATTCGCGTCGGACAGTTATGCGTGATCCGATCGGAATTGACGCCGCCGTGCAAATGGGCCCTCGCACGCATAACTCAAGTTCACCCTGGAAAGGATGGCCTGGTACGAGTGGTATCAGTGAAAACTGCCACGTCTGTATTCAAAAGACCTGTCACCAAACTTAGCATTCTACCACCAGCAGAAGATGATTCGCCTAATATCGGCGAAGGCGGGCGGAATGTTCCGGATTGTGAATGAATCGACGAGGCAAACACCGTTTAAATTGTAAATAATGTAAATAGTACCGTTAGTTTTAAGTTTTGTTATTGTAGTATGTAAGAGTTATTGTAGTATATAAGTCAGTCGTCAAGAGAACGCTCAACTGGTAGTCTCGTGTTCAAATATCAATAAAGTAGTAACGGTTTATTCTCAACTCAGAGTTTCTTTCGAAAGTCGATCAATTTTCCCTTCATCTCCTCGCATCATCTCGAACATTCTATTTTTTCATAACATATTTTTCTTTCTCTCTGTTCGAACTCTTTCCGCGTATGAATTTACCCAATTTTATCATTGCCACTGGAGCTTACAGATACTTTTAATTGTAAAATTTACTCGAATGTTGATACACAAATTAATTTTTAAAGAAATAAATTACAGGCCATACCACCTATACATTTTTTAAATTTTTTGAGAAACAAACTCGTGTAAGTCTGATTAATTTTCAAAAATTCGAACAAAGATTTTCCGGCAACATGATGGAGCAGTCGTTTTCATATCAGTGCTAACTTCAAATCGGATTTCATTCGAGACAATTTACTAATTGCAATATAGTTTTTGTAGACAAAAGTTTTTGCTTAAAATAACTTACGATTGGATAAATTTTTCCGAACAATTCTTTTTTTCAATCAATTTAAAAAGTAAACAATGAGAATTTGAATCTTTACGTGTTTACTGTAGCTGGTCAACGTGCAACTGTCTATACGAGCTTGTTGCAATCGAGATTCGATTCAAAGTTTTCAATCTAGGAAAATTATTTTACATTGATAATTGCATTATAGTCAGTTAGCCGGCCAACTTTCATATTCGAAGGAGCACGTATTCCACGTATGGATAAGAGGCCGCAAAGTGAGCTCCGCCACTGTTGCTGCTGCCTGCAACTTGTTATAGTCGTCGAGAGACCGCAGCGAGAAGCGACTACGACGACGACGATAAGTATACAACACACACATAACGAAAAAGTCACAGTCTGCAGTACGGATAGAGCAGCAGTAGAGCAGTACCGAACCGAACATGGCTGCCAACGAACATCAGCAGAAAGTGAGTAGACGAGAATTAAAAAAAAAAAAAGCCCGAATTTCTCGCCTTTTTTTTCTTGGATAACGAGAACATCGTCTATCTCGATCTCATGTCCAGAGGGTGCAAATCGTGGACACCTCGAATTTTCCGCAAGCGCGATTCATCGCCGTGCGGGGGCCGCTGCTGCAATAACAGCACGTATTATTTACCATTTTTCTCCAGGGGTAACTTGAAAGATCATCGCAATGACGATTCTGCCTTTGTTTTCGTCGATGCGACATCCGAGAGTTTGATGTTTGTCATGAAAAAAGTCCGTGCGATCTTGGAGGCTTTGCAGCTGCATCCATCGCAATGTTTAGCAGCGAGTCAAAAAAGTGAGAGTGCAGTAGTCGCGATTTGTACACGGCCTTCACGCGTACTTTGACTTTGACATTTCGCTGCCTGTGCGATATAATTCACGAATGCAATGTCGCTCGTCCGCTCCCATTATCGATGATTTCGTGCGCAATCCACCTGGTGCATGGATTTCCGCGAGGATGACATTTTTCAGCTGTCTCGTAGCTCTGTTTACATACAAACTCGTTCGCGAGCAAACAGCTGTCAAAGTGACAGTACCAGATACATCTATATGTGTGCTTGTATGCATGCGAAACATATACATAAGATGAATGAGCGCTGCTTTATGTATAGGCACTGCGAGATATGCCACTGGCTTCGCGACGATTTTCATGAAATTTTTCCTGCCCGATTACGGTCGGTTCACCGAGTGCACATTGCATCGTCCTCGCGAGCAGCGATCGCGGATTTATTTTTACAGCCGTCGCCGCTGCCTTTTTTGTTTTTCTTTCAATTATGTATAGCTAATCCACCTCGAGACTATACGTTCGTGCTCTGTGTTTTGCTGCGAGAACGTCATTTCAAAATGGTCGGTTTCTTTCCTCGTATTCCTCGTTTTCTTTCTTGGCGACTTTGCTCTATCCACATAACGCTGACGATTGAATGACGAAAATGACGACGACTCGGTACTTTGCTTTACTGAATAAATAGCAATTATTGATTGTGCCATTCAATGTTTTTTTTTTTTGAGTAAAACCTTTTCTATTTTGTATTAAAAAACGCTTTGGAAGTGAATGAATAAAAATTAAACCGTTAAAACTTGATAAGTAATAGTATCAGTTATGATTATTCTGAAACTATATTTTTAACTATTTATTAGGAGGAAGAGAGCGAAGGGCCTGAACCAGCACACCATGCAAGAAGGCCTATGAATGCTTTTCTAATTTTTTGTAAACGACATCGGGCATCTGTTAGATCTGGCTTTCCTCATCTGGAAAATCGAGCTGTTACACGGGTTCTTGGAGAATGGTGGGCTATGCTTATCGATGAACAAAAACAAGCTTATACTAATTTAGCTCAGGAGGTAAATTAAAATTAAATGATTTTTTTTTAATTTTCAACCCTATTTACACAGATCAATATCATAATTATTTTAGTACAAAGATGCTTTTCTCAATGCTAATCCTGATTTTAAATGGTACAAGCTACCAGCTCCACCTCTTCGTACATTAAACACAAGACCAACAAATAAAAAGGGGGATCTTTTACAATTAGAGACTGAAACAAATAAAAACCAATTACAAGAGGATTTCATTCAACCTGGCAAATTGGCTGATGAATCTCAAATAGGTGGTTTGAGTTCCTTGTTCACACCTCAAAAAAATTGTCCTTCTTCTTCAATTGGTGCAGCGGATGAAGAAACTGATAATAATTTAGAATGCCCAAAACCGCCAAAAAAAAGATTTGCAGACCCACTTGTTTCTTTTAGTTTGAAAGAAGATTGTAAGGCTGATTTATTTGGAAATCACAATGGACCAGAATCAAATAATAATTCTACAGTATGTTATTTTTTAAATGTCATTTAAAATTTTACATTCAAGACAATCTTTTATTAGAATTAATCACTATTATTTTACAGAATATAAGTCAAGTTAAAGAGGAGACTATTACGGATAATGAACCAGTTAATGAAGAAATTTGTGAAGATGAGAGCAATGGCACAGTTTACCAAAAATTTTCAGCTGAGGTGGCATCTCAACAGATCAAACAACGTCCGATTCTTGATCCGACAAAGTAAGTGAAAAATAGTTTTTTCAGAAAAATGGTGTTATTAAAGGTATGAACTCAATGATTTTATAGCATAGAACAGCACAATCACGAAAGAAGAAACTCTATATCGTCGAACATTAGTGAAAAAACTGACTCATTATGTAGCGAAGGGACCAATTCTCGTGGTGATTTAGAATATCTCGTGCAAGGGTAAACTTTTTTAATTATAAGAACTTACAGCAGGATCAAACGCATAGATTACTAATAATATATCAATTTCTATTCATGTAGTGCTGAAGGAAAATTAGAAGCATCAAAACCGGAAAATACTGTAACTGGAGGAGCTGACAGCCATAGCAGTTGGATGTCACGTAAACGATTCAAAGCAGAGTAAGTTTTAGATTTGGAATTTTTTCCCATTGTTTGAGTCCACATCATAATTCAAATTTTATAATTTTATTTCGCTTTTTATATTTTTAGAGATTTTAATTTGGAGAAAAAAATTGAAGCGTTGCCATCCTTAAGTTTAGAAGAATTTCAAGCAATGAAAAAACAACAACGCACTAAGAAAAAGAAAACCACGCAAAGACACTCCAGCAGTACAAAAAAGCGTTCCGATGAAGCTTCTTTATCATATGGACGCGTCGCAGATTTGAAATCAAATACACAGAGAGAAGCGGAAAAAGCTCTAGTTGTCGGAAGTCAGAAGAGAAAAGCACGGAAACAAAATATCACGAGAAATACAATGTTTAACAAACCGCCAATTAATAATCAAATACAGTCGACCAACAAAAGTACCATACACATAACATTTAATTACTTAAATTATCAAAATTTGTTATAACATGGTTTAATATATTTTCAGCATGGTGTGAATCCCCGGATCTCGAAGCTTTGGCTTGTCTAGCTACGGTGGCCGCAAATCGTACGAAGTTAACCAAGTCCTAGATCTTCAATTCTTCAAAGATGAACACGAAGAATTAAAAAAATATATATCGTTTGTATTCTTATGAATTATTTATTTAGTGTTACTGTATTACATTAGTTCTGTATGGTTACTTTTTATAATTGATACTAACTTTCAGTTTAACAAAGAGTCATTTTAATTTAAATTAGGATAGAAATCAAGCGAATCGTTCTGCAGCAGTATGCCGATTTCCAAATTACTGTATGCGATTTATAGTATGGTTGATCCTAGATTGTGCGTTTGCATTATCTAATATATGCTTGGTGCACTATGTAATGATCACACAAAATTTAATGTGTTATAGCTGCAGTATTATGCTTTTTCTTATTGTAATATTTGTCTCACAGATAATTATCACAATTTTTACAATATGGTGTAAGGCTTCTCTGATATTACAAAATAATAGGTGCCTTGATTGATATAAATTCAAAGGCATACTTCAAATTGATTATATATTTATATCACAATAGCTTTATTAATCAAAATTTTAGTTTAAAATATTTTCGACCTCTGAACTATAGACAGAATTATTTTTATACAATCATAGATGTTATAGTAAAAAAACAGTCATAGGATTTTTTATGAACAGAAATAATTATTAGGTTACAAAATAACGTAACCAAATGCTCAAATGAAAAAATAGTGAGTTTCATTTCTTTACTTCTCTCGAATAAATAGACCAAAATGTTTTACCGGTACGTGTGCTACATACAGTGCTTGTTCTTTTCAAACATTCTATTGAAAACCGAGAGATTACAGACTCATATAGACAAAGAATAATTGAAAGCCACTAATGTGTAAGTGAATATGTACATGTATATTTCTAAATGATAGCTCAATTTTATATCCAATGTTTTAACAGCAGAAGTAAGAAAATGATAAACTTTTGTGTTGTACGACCAAATCAGACAGAAGCTGATCAGGATAAAAGTTTAAAGACTGTCTGTGATGATTTTTGGCTAAAAGAATTTTTATTATTTTATATTTTTCTATGCTACACTATCAATGGCTCTTTGATTTCGTTGAGCGAAAACAAAGAATCTAATATCTTTCCCAAATAATTCATAAATACAGTGTATAAAATCCATCAGAGAAATCTGATGCGAATCAATAGTGAAGTAAGATAGCTGATTCAATAATTTTGATAAATTATTTTTTTTTAATCTTGGCCAGTACTAAAAGTATTGAATTTCAAATGGAAAATGTGCCTTGGTGAGACATGAAAATCCGAAATGATTATTGATAAAACTACAAAGCTCTATTTTACAGAATTAACAATTAAAAATAAATGCAGCAGTATCTAAACAATGGTTTTTTTATTAGCTAAACGCTACGTATTTATATGTGAAATTTTATAAAATGAAGAAAAAAAACTATGTACATATTACTATTATATTAAGTAATTCTATTGAAATTGCACAATGAATGTTTTCTATAATATTATCGGAAACCACACGGTAAACCTTATATATGTTGATGTCTGCACGTGATGTTGCTTGTAACTTATTATATAATGTTTATATTCGTACAATAAAAGTAATGATATTTTCATTAAAATAAATTGCCGTATTTCTTGATCCTTTTGCGCGGAATAAACCTCTCTCTTTGCTGTTTACCCGCGAGCGCAGATTTGAATTTTGAATGATTTCAGCGTCGGGCTCGCGATTGGCCCTTGACCCTGCGTGCGTTGGCAGAACTGCCGTTGGAGGCAGTCCGATGGTTGGCATTATATTTTGGCAATGTAACTCTTGCCGCTGCTGCAAAACACAGCACTGCACTGCACGTCACTCGCTGCAATTATTTTAATAAAAAAAAAAAACACTGTCCGCGCGAGGAACACATAAAAATAACAAAAGGACGAGAGAGCGACCGGAGTTTACACAAAGTGGGAGTAATGGAGGTTAGAAATCGTTATCTACTGCTATGAATTCATAATTCTGTGTACTTTGCAATGTTTGTGTGATGATTGACGAGGAATCGAGTGCCAGTGACAAGCTTCCCAGCTCGTGTTTTGATAAGGTTCCCGTGAACGTGCTGGCAAAGGTTTTTATCGTGGCACAGATGACACAGCTTGTTTACTATTGAGAATTGTTATGGAATGCAAGCTTTGATTGATCATTGGCCACAACTCGTTGTCAAGTGTTTTTTTCAATTGCATCCTTTAAGATTATTTTGCTAAAACCAAGAAATGACTCGTGTTTACTCATTAAACTTTAAACTTTATCAAACTTTGTTGAATAGATAAAAGAAAAATCACAAGCTATTGTTTTTTCTAGTAGAAACAAGTTACATAATTTAGTTGTTGTGGAAAATTTTCAGTAGCATCAGCTTATATTTCTGAATTGAACTCTATATTCTTCAATCCTAAGTATACGTTTTTACTCTAAAATTTTATCGGTGCAGATGGAAGAGTGTTCTGTTAATGGTGATTCTGGAGCAGAGGAAGATGAAGATGAAGAATTGTCTCAGGCATCAGGGGGTACTGAAAGTAGTACAGAAAGCAGCGAAACCAGCACTACCACAGACAGCGGTGAAGAAAGTGCAGATGATCAAGGAACCACAACGTCAGAAACTAATTCCTCTATGGATGAAGATGAAGACGAAAGTAATGTGGTTGAACATCCAGAAGAAGTAAGTTTATGCTTTAGAACTATGTATCAATATAAAAAATAATACTCTCATAATTTATTTAATTACAGCAGTGGGAGACTTGTATAGCCGGCGGAACTAAAGTTAAATTACCACAAGACTTGTGCGAGCATGCAGCTATATTTAAAGAAATGTTAGATTACCCTAAATTCTGGGATGAATGTTTGAGTGAAAGCCAAAAAGAATCTTTGTATAGTTTCTTGCCAACTTTTCCCAAAGACTGCAATATTGAGGCAGAGCTGGATAAGACTCTGGATATGTTATTCAAGAGAGAGACTCATAGGTTTGGTGTTACTCCTTTAGACGACTTCCATAATCAATTATCTGCTGGTTACTTTCGACCAGACATGAAAAAAATACGCTCAATGATTAAGAAAGCAAGGAGAAAAAAGTCTATATTTTTAGAACGGAAGAGATCTTATGAACTAACTCAACAAATACTCAAGTCAAGAGCAAATTTACTGTATAATGCTTATAACCAAGGTTACATGGGCCAAATTACTCAGCGTTCAAATATAAAATCAAATTTAAAGAAACCCATGCCAACATTAGGTAAATTAACATTGCTTATACTTTATGTTGATATATTTTCTCGAACTTATTAATAACAATTTTTAGTTGACAAACAAGCACAGCGTCGCTACAAAGAAGAACTAAACGCAATAAATGCAGAATTGGGCTCTGGCCTTGCCAGTTCTGGTCTAGACACTGAATCATCCAGTGGCGGTTCTGATGACGATGATGACGGCTGTTGTCTTTTGACACCAGGACGACCAAGTATAGGAGGTAAATTACAGCAGCAGTTGCTGTTATTGAAGCAACAACAAAGGAGAAAAAAGCGGGCAGCAAAAGAGCAAAAACTGCAGCAATTATTAACAACTCGTGCCATGCAATTAAAGTAAGTTATTCTTAAAAATAAGTATGTTAAGAAAAAAAGAAGTAAATTGCGATGAAAATAAATTGTATTATTCAGAAACACACTATTCAATGGAAGCGAAGACACCTTGAGGCCGGTTTGTTCAACTTTGCAAAGGCTAGGTAATGAATGCGGTCCGAATAGTGCACTCAGTCCAAACATGGCATCGACTGCCATGATACCTGAACCCTCTGAAGAATCCTACAAAGCTATGCTGATCGCTCACAAAAAAAGGAGAGCGCGAGGGGATGTAAGAAATCATTCAATTGCTATGCAATTCTTCAAAACGCTGTTGACTGCAATAAAATGCGCAATGATTACACTGACAAACGATGATTATATTTTTTGCAGACAAATCCAGAACTAAATACGCAAAGTATATCGCTTCCCGATCTGGTGCAACGAGCCCAGTTGGGTCAGAAGCACAAGTTGACCTCGACGCCGCGTCAGCCCGGCTCGAAGAAGCGCATCAAAATCGAGACTCCTTACCAGCCTCAGCAAGTACCCGCGACAAGCAGCAGCGTCGCGGCGCCGAATTTCGTGCCGAAAATGGAAAGCGACGCGATGAGCCACACGAGCGGAGATTATTCCCTGCCGAGCGCGGACGAGCTGCGGCACAACGCCATCGAGATGCCGGACGAGAAGCCACCGGAATGCATATTTGCCAGCGAAGTGCCGGACGTTAAGTGCGAGATTAAGATCGAGGACTGCAACGAGCACAAGTACGAGATCGCCACTGCGATACAGAAGTACGAAATCGAGCCTCCCGCCGATCAGCCACCCTCTACGATTATGGACGAGTAAGTGGCCGAGTATTAATCAGCAAGTAACCGCAGAAAAATATATTCAATTATTTTTATACTTTTAGCGGTGTGGAGACCGATCACAACGAGATGTCCTCGCCTATGGCCGTCGAAATAAAGGAAGAGTTGGACAGCGTGGATTACGACGGCGACATAAAGCTCGAGGCCGGTATCGTCTCGGCCGACGAGATCGAGCCCACTTTGACCTTGCCGAGCGGCCAATTGTCGATGCCGATGTCGCAGCTGCAATTGGTAGCACCCAATGGCGCGGACGCATTGACGATGTCGGCGGTCGTGTCGTCCATATCTCAGATGAACGTCGCCACCGCGGCGGCAGCGTCGAGCCTGAGCATCGCCGAGAGCCTGCAATTGCCCATGTCGCTGCAGCTGCCCGTCGTCGACGATGACATGGTGAAGAAGGAAGAGCTCGACCTCGACAGCATCGACATGATGCAGCTGCCCATACAGCTGGACGACGGCATCGACATACTGGCCGACGTCAACGTCAAGTGCGAGGACGGCAACGTGATCGCGATCCCGGAGAAGGACCTGCCGGACTCGCTGGTCGAGGACATCGTGATGAACGGCGACGAGCTGCTGCAGGAGACGCACGCCTGCTTCTTCTCGCTGCTGCGCGACTTGTTCATGTCCAAGGGCGCCTATCGGCTCAACGTCAGCGAGATGACGGACTCGGTGATGCTGTGGCAGGACAATCCCATATCTCCGCTCAACGACTGGTACTCGCTGTTTCATTCCTGGCCCGCTCTGGTGCCGCTGGCGCTGAGCTTTCTCGCCGGCGAGATGGTCTACCCGCAGGATCCGCTCTCGACGGGCAACGACCAGGAGCTCGTGCCCTACCTGGAGAACAAGGGCCAGGGCGTTTACGCCTGGATCGGCGCCGGCAGAGACTCGGACAATCACCTCGCCGTGCTCTGCGCCAAGTTTCTCCTGTACAAGGACATACTGGTGGCGCCCAAGTCCGCGTCGCCGATCAAAACGACGTCGTCGTCGTTGTCGACGAGTCTCGCGTTGAAAACCACAACCGCTACCGCCTCTAATGCTGCTACTGCTGCTTCCAATGTCAATTCACCTTCTTTACCGTCGTCGCTGCTGACGCCGTCGTCGTCGTCGTCGATCACCGCGACGACCGTCGTGCTACCGGACGCGTCGATGATCGACAACGCCGCGCTGCCGGACGGGCAGAGCATAGCCGACGGCTTGGCGGCCAGTCTGCAGCCCGAGTGGGAGCCGCCTCAGGCCCTCTACCCGACAGACTGGAAGGTCAGGCCGTCCACGGCCGAGGAGAAGGAGGTCTTTCGGCAGCAGGAGCGTATGCGCTACGCGGCACCCCACAAGGCCTACACGTATCACATGCACGGCTACTCGAGCGTGGTGGGGCCCGTCAAGGGCATCTATCAGCACAACGCCGGCTCGGCCCTGACCAAGGCCCGGGGCCACTCGCTCCTGGTGCCGGACCGGCCGAACTTCGTCACGATCCTGGCTCTGGTGAGGGACGCGACCGCTCGACTGCCCAACGGCGAGGGTACGCGCGCCGACATATGCATGCTGCTCAAGGACTCCCAGTACATCCACGAGGACATATTCGCCAACGACAAGGAGAGCAATCTGAACTCGGTCGTGTCGGGCGCCCTGGATCGGCTGCACTACGAGAACGACCCGTGCGTTCGCTACTATCCCAAGCGCAAGGAGTGGCTGTATCTGCATCGCGCCCGATCCGAGTCCGAGTTCGAGCTCTATCATCAGCAGCTGCAGGGCGTGCCCAAGAACAAGAAGAGCTCGAGCTCGGCATCGAGGAGCAAAGCCGCGCAGGCCGGCAAAAACATGGCCAAGGATTCCTCGGGCGCCGCTGGTGGAGCGTCGTCGTCCACGGCCAAAGAATCCACACCGAAGAAGGAGAAGAAAGGCGCCGCTTCGCAGGCCAGCACCGCTGGTAGCAGCGCGGTGGCGGCCAAGAAAGAGCTACCAAAGAAAATCGAGGAAAAAGTAACGAGCGCCGCCGCTGTCGTCGTCGATGCGAGTACCTTGGCGGCCGAACAGCAAATAGTCAACGTTATTCCGAGCAAGCCTCCGCAACACAAGCAGTTGACCGCTTTGCAGCAACAAAAGCAGCAGCAGCAACAGCAAAATGCCGCAGCCGCCGCCGCTGCAGCACTGCAACAAAAGCAACAGAGCACGATGGCGTCGCAACAACAGAAGCAGCAATTCGTTTTACATCAACAGAAACAGCTGCAGCAGCAAGCGAAGTCGTCGCCCGCTCATCACGTCGTGATCACGACGGCGACCGCGGCTACGACGACCACAACCACGTCGACCGAGGTGCAGTCCTCGTCCCTGACCAATACCTTGTCGGCGGCAGCTTCCGCAGCGAACAGCAGCGCGAATGCCCAATTGATGCCCAGCGTCAATATGCAACATTTGAATAATCAGAGCTTGCTGACGAATCAAGCGATGACGCCCTCGAAGGAATGCCCCGTCACTGTCATCAGCACGGTCATCGAACCCAAACAGCACACGGTCAACGCGAGCAGGGGTAAAAATCGACCTTTGGAACATTTTCGTCGCGAAGTAATTTTTTCAATATTAACTCAACGAATTTTAATCTTTCAGATTTCAACAATCTGACCAACGTAACTACGAATATGCCAACATCGACCGTAAAGAAATTGCCCAGCGTGAAATCGGTGGCGATGAGTAAATCCGGTGGTACGCAGAGCCTGCTGCAAGCGAATCAGCCACAGGCGCAGCAGCAGCAGCAGCAGCAGCACTTTACTCCTCAACAGATACAAGTATCGACCTCGGCGGGTCTTCAAACGATCAGATTATCGGGGCACTCGGTCCTGCAAACTTCTGCTCAGCCGTCGACGAGCGTGACGACCCTGTTTTCCACTGGTGGCAAATCGGTTCAAAGCCAGGCTCAAATAATTACCGCACAACCAGGCAAGAGTCTGTTGCAGAGCTCGAATCTCAAGCAACAGCACCAGCAGCAGCAGCAACAACAACAGCAAGCTCACGCGGTGTCCGGAAAGACGCTTTTAACGTCGCAAATTAAATTGGGTTTGTTTTGTTTCATTTTATTTAAAAATTTTTTTACGAGTCAACATTTCAATTATTTTTCTGCACGTTTTAGTGAGCTCGAACCAGATAAAGTCGCTGCTTACGGGCCACGGCTTGAGCGGCCAAACTATCTTCATCAAACAGGCGCCTTCGGCCTCGACGACGCAAGCTCAGTCTTCCGCTCAAAGTACGGTCAACGCGGGATCCCAGAGTCAGGTTCAACAGCGCGTACTGGCTACCTCGCAGCAGGGTCAACAGTCTACGCCAAACATGCAGAGAATTATCGCGCAAATAGGCGGCAAGCCGATCGCGGTTCAAATTCAGCAATCGCCGCAGCAACAGCAGCAGCAGTCGCATCAAAAGGTACTGGCGAAAATGCTCACGACCAGCGGCTCGAGCGGACAGCTGATATCGGTGGAGAGCCTGTTGGCGCAAAAAGGACTGAAACTGGCGACGACGAACCAAGCCCGATCGGGTGGCAAAGTAATTCAGACACAATATCAGGTAAGTCGTGGGAATTCATCTCGATTAAAAAAAAATAATAATAATAAAGACAAGGGGAAATTTTTCGATCGAATATAATAAATTGGCGTTTCATAGGTCGTATCGCAGGCTCAATCTCAGCAACAGCAGCAAAAGATCATCGTGAGCTCGCAATCGGCTCAAGCACTATCGCAAGCTCAGGCCCAGCTGCAATCTTCGCAGCAAGTTCGCATGGTGACCGCCCAGTTGGCGGGAAAGCCAATCGTCCTCACCTCGGGTCCAGGCGCAGGTAAAACCGTCAATGTATCGGCGTCGGGAAACGTAGTCATCGGCAAGCAGGCAAACACATCACAAGCCGGACAGCAACAGCCAATTATTTTACCGGGTCATCAACTGCTGAATTTGAAAACCCTGCACGGGTTGAAAGTCATATCTCCGCCGACTGGCTTGAAGACCGCTAGTGGTGCGGTGTACGCTCGAGTCATCGCGCCTTCCAGCATTGCACAGGCCGGTCAGAGCAACGTAGTTATACAGTCAGCACAAGCTCAGCAAAGTGATGGACAGGCAGTACAAAATTCTAGAAACTCGACGTTCGGTGGCGCTCAATAAACTAAATGCTACTTATCGTTTGATTAAAGTGTACATATTTAGAAAGTTGAAGATATATTTTTGAGCTAAAGCTTGCCGTCGAACTGTAATCTAATTCACAGTGTCGGTGTGTAATTATAAACAATATAGTTATAGTACGAGGTAAATAAATTTATAAATAATAAAGATATAAGTTTACGTGTGAAAGTGAGAGTTAAGTTTAGACGTGCGTGAATTATTTCCATGAGATCCAGTAGACTGATGAAGTATTAGAATAAACGACGATTTTATGTTCTATCATTAGGTGATCACAAGATGTATAAAAATGGTAATATTCATGTGTATAGAATAAAAAAATTGGTAAAATTTAAATTACACAACGCTTCGTTATTTTAATAACTTTTTCTCTTTATAAATGAATAATTAATAATAATTGGTCAAATTCTTGTTGAACAACGGTATACTTTACTCAGAAATTATGTAAACAGCATTTCACGACTCTTTTTCAGTATAATCTTTCGAAATCTACGAGCTAAACGTACGACACAAAAATATAATCTATTCGTGTAATAGAAAATTCGACTATTTAAACATTACTATATAACATTCATACAAAAGATATATATTTTATGGCAAAAATCCATTCGATGCTTTTGCAATGCGGTGATTCTTCTAACGAGAAGAGTTCTGTGTGTGTGTATATGAATTATAAAGAGATGATAGAATGTATTCGTAGCAAAAAAAAAAAAGAAAAACTTATGAACGATGCGACTCATTACACGCCAATCGCACATGTAGTATCTCTATACATATAAGGCACACGCGTGCCCGGGGCCGCACGTATTGTACACACAATGTGGCATCATTATTACATTATTATATTTTGCGAGTCGGTGTTTGTACACATAATGAGGAAATGCTCCTCCGCGCGGCATCATCGTCCATGCCGAGAGCACATTCCGCCGCGCGCGCGTCTCTCTCTCTCTCTCTGGGTTATTATTATTGCAGCCCGTCTCGCTGCGTCTTTGGTATTATTGTTTTGCTAGTACAGAGCCTGTACGTTACATGTGTGTATGCTATATAATAAGCGTCGAGCAAATACTTGTTTACACGTTATATAGATGCTGCTGCACTGCGCGCGAGTTGCACCGCACACAGGCGTGTGTTATTATACACATTACTGCCGAGCGCAAAAGCGTCGATGCGAACTGACACACTGACCAGAATTTCATCGTTCCTCCGTTACATTATATCATATTTATATTAATTTAATCTATAAAAAATGTCTTTTTGATACGAAATAAACGAGACACGCGCACTCGCGGACACTCCAAGCGCTCAGGGTAGGCCACACACGGATTTGCACAAAAGGCACACAATCATCGACTCTCGCTCGTACACAATGAATACAAGATACATAATACTAATCGTCCTCTCGCGAAAACCTCTCGCGTTTTACGCGTTATATTGGCAATTCTCAAGTCGGCCCATCGTGATCATCGACTACTACGGCCTCTGCTGCTGCTGCTGCTTCGACGCCACCATCCACAGCAGCAACACCATCCGCAACGATCTCCTTGAATATGTCGATGAGATTGTTGACGCCAATGAGATAGCCGTCCTCGTGATTGCCCACCTGCCAGACGGCGTCGTGCCTGATGCGCTCGAGGTGCTCCGGCAGCGGCAGAGTCTTGGCGAAGTCGATCATCCAGACGCCGGCGGCCCTGGCGTCGTGCACGAAGAGCAGCGACGAGCCCACCACCTCGTGGCCGGCGAAGAAGCTGGACGCGCGCAGGGTGGCGCGTATCGCCTGCAGACGCTGCAGATACTTGCCGGCCGCGTGCGGATAGCCCTCGACGAAGCGCCTGATCGCGTCCATGACCTGGTGAAAGAAACGGAGAGAGATAGAGATATATATTTCGAGCACTGTGTAAGTATCATACATGTGGAGAGAGAGAGAGAGAGAACGGATTTGCGCGCGCGAGCCGCGGCCAAAGCGTAAATTAGCGCTTGATTACTTCGGCCTTGGGCCGCAGTAGTCATATCAATTGTCATTGTCAGCCGCACATCATCATCATCGTCGTCGTGTGCAGTGCACGATATCAGCTGCTGCTCTCGTGCGTGCTCTCGTCGTCGTATTATTATCATCGTACTTATATGTACGTGGAAAACGACAAACGATGTTTCTGTCTCATGCCTACCTGCTGCCTCGTCCTCGTGGTCTTGAAGTCCTTGGACGAGCCCGCTTGGGCCAGCTTGATGCCCTCGACCCGGAAGCCGAGCGTCGCCGTGCTCGAGATGGTCTCGCGCCACACCATGTAGCGCGGCTTCGTGACGCCCTGCAGCTGGCGCTCCTCGTCGCTCGGCGCCGTCGGGTCCACCTGCACCATCTTCTCGTACATGTCCTTGCGTAGCTGCAGGTTCGAATAAAAAAAGAGTAGAGAGTTATAATGTCTACAACGGGAAACAATAACTAGGATGTTGGGAAACGAACCTTTGGTCGCTCCTTGGCTTTGGCCAGCTCGGACTCGAGGTAGGTCCTCACGCCGACCTTGCAGTCCATCACGCAGGGCTCCTTGAAGTCCGCCAGCAGATCCTGCAGCTGCAGGTACGAGTCTTTGCAGCCCGTCGCGCCATTACTATTACTATTACTATTATTATTGTTGTTGTTGTTGTAGTTATTGTTGATGTTGTTATTGTTGACATTGTTGTTTTTATGATTATCCGTGGCCGTCTGAGAAGCTTCCACTGCCGCTTCGACTTTGGCCGGAGGTTGTTGTTCCTCGCTGCGCAACTCGAGCGCGCCCAGATACTCGGGCACGTAGGGCCTCAGCACGTCCTTCATGAGCAGCTGAAAGCACGCCTCCTCCTGGGGGCAGAGCTTCTTCAGGATGGTGCCGGGCTTGGGGCCCGGCCTGAAATTGCCCTGATGGCCGGCCAGCTGCACCCAGGGATAACGCTGCTTCTTGTACGTCTGGAAGAAGGGCGTCCAGTGCACGATGCTCCTGAGCTTTCTCCATCCCGAGGACTGCAATCGAATACAAAAAGAAAAGAATGTCAACGATCGTTACTCGTGAATTATATACTGGGGCTCGCTATGGAATATGTAAATGCGCCTACACGTCTTACGCGCGTAATTAAAAATACGTTTGGCAGGTCGCGCGATTCTTTATTATATGTATGTAGATCATCGCGTTATAATACTACTACTCGGAGAGGTCGGCGGTCAATGACCTTTGCGGGGCGGCCTACGGGTTATCGGCGCCGTATAACGTACATATAATAAGTACCGCAAACATTCGCAACGCAGAGAGAGAGAGAGAGAAAAATGGGAGGAATTAGAAAAAAAATCACATCGGAGGTATGAGAGAGCGTGTCACCTTGACGGGTAAGCGAGGAACCTCGGTAGCTGTGTCAGCATCATTCCGTGTCTCGGCTTCGTCCTGCACCGGATGATGACGATCGGCAGCAACGATACTTTCCTCGTTACTTTCATCGCGATAATTCAGACTCTGATCCGAGTCCCACTCGGAGCTGAGATCGTCGTTGCTGTTGTCGCTCCAGTCGAACTGACCGGGCGCTCCATGTTGCTGCTGATAGCTCTGCAGCGGCACTTGCAGCAGGTACTGGCTGTATCCGGTCGCGTCGTTGTCGCTGCCATTGCTAATTATCACTCGCTTCGTATTGTCATTGGCATGATTGGCAGCCGCCGGCGATGGACTTCTGGACGAGCTGGACGATCTCGAGGAGGGACGCCTCGAGCAGCTCCTTTTCACTCGGCTTCGCGCGATTTTACGATGTCTCGGCGCTATAGTCGTCGTCGTCGTAGTCGATTGCTGCAGAGATTTTCGATTTGCCGCCGCCGCCGCCGCCGCTGCTGCCGCAGCCGACAATTTACCGATGACGACTGCACTGACGTTGTTGTTACTGCTGCTGCTGCTGCTACTGCTGACGGCAGAGCTGTTACTTATTGTGCAAGCAGCCGTGGCGGATTCTTCATCGTTGCAGAAACTCGGCCGCGTGTAAACGATCCTCGGTATGACTCTCGGCTTGGCCGCCAGTTCCTGCATGATCGTGTGTACAATGTTCCTTATAGGCAGCAACGACACACAGCACTACTATATGATCCGGAAGTTCGCAACGCGACACTGGGAAGAAATCGCGTGCGCACACCTTATAGTCGCGTCACGATTTATATACGCACGTTTTATATCGATGATCGTAAATGCGCGTGTGCGTATAAAGCGACGCGCGGGGCCGAACTGTATTTTACACGCATATACGCACAAGACTGGTGTTGCTGATCCGCGCGCGAGTGTGGGAACTCACGAGAAAGACAGAGAGAGAGAGAGAGAGAGAGAGAAAGAAAAAGAGGAGGAAGAGGAAGAGGAGGATAAAGCGAAGTCGGGTGTGTGTTGTATACTGTATCTACTACATTATACACGCGCGCGCGTCCAGATGACGTTCGGCGGCGCGCACAGCCTGGCCGAGACTGCTGCACCGTACTGCCTCTCCGCTGCACGATATCGCGCGGAACGGAACGGAGCGTACACATATAATACACGCGCGCGATAGCGATAGCGTCTTTCCCTCCGCGCGCGCGCGCGACAATAATAATAAGGTGAATTAACCGCGACAGTTCAGTGCATTATACACTAGTGCAGAAGTTGCAGCAGCAGCAGCTGCTGTACTCGATCTTTTTCCATCTGTGTAGAATTAGAAGAGAGCAAATACACGAGGTTCCGAGAACGACGTTGTACAGTGTGCGTGTCGTATATAGAAATAGTTCGTATACAGGTAGTCTGCGATTTTTTCTATTCTTCTTCTTCTTCTCCTTTTTTTTTCTATTCGATTCTCGCTCCCTAATAGAACAGAGACCGCATGACCGACTGTGTCTTGGCCTCCCTCCTCTCGTTCTTTCTTTCCCTCTCTCTCTCTCTTTCTGCTGTTCGCGATTTCGTTTACTTATACTCCTCGCGCGCGCCTGTGACTGTGCACACAAACGCACACGCTCGAAGCCATCGTGTACACGACAATACAAGCGATACACAATCGTATATACAAATGCATGGCGGAGCATAAATAATGCCGTGGCCGCGTCGCAGTTTTCGCTACACGCATACAAGCTCGGTTCGGTTTTGCGTCGTGGAGTGGCGCGCGCCTATGTATCATCATAATACGACGATCGGTGCGGGCCGGTACTGGTATATCGCGCTCGGGGGGACGAATGCGCGCGGAGCTTGCGTGCAAACCGGCAACGCTATATAACGTATACACGGCCAATTGTGCAAAAGTGTCGACGGATACGACAGAAATACATATCGTACGTACCGCTTGCAAGAAAAAAAAAGAAAAGAAACGAGGCTAACGATCTCGATCGGCTTACGCGCGTCGTTGTTTTTGTTTTTTTCCTTTCTTTTCTTTTTTGCTCCGATTGTATTACCGAGAACGAGAAGACGAGCTTTCGCAACGCCGAGTCGCAGGAAACGATCGAGAAGCGCCTCCGAATTACGGGGGGGGGGCTGTTATTTCATATTTAACGGAGCCAAAAGAAAAAAGATCTCTCGATTTCGGCTGTATCGATAACTGGCGTTCTTTATATAGAAAGAAGATCGGTTAACTGCTGTAATTAAGTGTATCGTATAAACGCTGCGCGATCGTAAATTAGAGCGGGTGAAACGGGTATACTATCGTATAGGTACACGAGATAAAAAAGAATGTGGGGAATCTTGAAAAATCCCAGAGGAGCCGAAATACGACGAACGACTTTTGTTTATCAATTTTTCGATTATTTCCATCCACGTCACGATCGGCTGTATGCATACAAAATCGGCTGTTATAATCGCCGATCGTCGTTGAGCCGACACACACACACATGTAACAACGAAGCTTACAATACATACGTTAGGTGCGGCGCGTGCCCGAGCTGCATCGCGGAAGCTTTACATAATTTTTCAATCGACGTATAATAATAACAATATAATAACGACGACGATGATAATAATAACAACGAAGCGGAAAATTTCAAAAGAGCCGCTCTGCTACCGTGCTGTGTGCTTCGGTAGCTGTGTGTTACATTACAAACAATTGCGGAGAGCAGCAGCGTACGTGACGCGCGTGCTCCTCGCGCTGCAGTGGTTGGCAGTGTATAATAATAATAATGTGTGTTGTATGCCACGGAGCGCCGCCGATAAGCGGGGGCCCGCGTGATAACGCGGACTACTACTCGTGGGGATACGTATAACACTCGTCGTCGTAAAAGTCAAGTTGAATCGAGTCAGCACCATCAGCACGTGCGTGCGGCGGGAGATGGACAGAATAAAATCATCGATATTACAATGTAAACACTATAGCCCAATCGATTTTGAACGGAGCGATCGGTTTCTTTAAAATAAGAATGCGCGTGGGCCGCCGTCGCGAGACCGAAATAAAATCCGCAGTGCGAGCTTGCAGCAGCTTGCAAAAACATTCCACGCAGCGCACAATAAGCTGCGTTCCGTATATATGCGAATTTCGTCATTCAATCCTATATATACCTTTTTTCGCTGGGCCCGATCGTTGGCCCGACTTATACTACTACTCGTCGTCGAATCGGTGCTATCCTGCTGCTGCTGTTGTTGCTGCTGTTGAAAGACATCGCCGATACCGAGCAAACAGTCGTCGCAGCTGCAGTAGCGCGAAGAGTCGCCGCTGCCCGAGAGCAGAGAGGCCAGACTGTTGAGGCTCGTCTGGCTGTCGAGCGAGTCGGCGCGCAGAATTAGGGAGGACGAGCATCGGCCGCAGGGCCTCTTGGCCTCGTTGCAGCTCTGTCGCTCGATCTTGGCCAGTAGCAGCTGCTCCATAAGATTGAAGCTGCCTCCACCAGCACCAGCACCAGCACCAGCACCATTGGTGCAGGATGGTCCTTCCTCGCTCTGCATTACGATGCTGGATGCAATTCGGTCGATTCAAATGTCGGAACTGCTGTTGCTGCTGCTACGTTTGACAGTTCGTAATTTCTGTCGATGTAGTAACGTTCGCCCGTCGCGACACAGCCATCCCGAGACGACACGGGTCTGTCATGTTCGAAGCACTGCACTCGCGAGCTCGCGCGCGGGCCCGAACGAGAGACCGGACTGGCCCGTGTTCATATAAGATTGTTGTACTTTTAAAGAATACAGAGATTTTCTCGGCACGGCACACAGCACAGCACAGCAGCACTTCGAGCGTTGTGCTCCTCTCGTCGAGTCGAGCCGAAGACTACTACTTATGCTATATACTAAGCTTCTCGGAGTTCGCGGCTTCCGCGTGGACCTCGTGCGTCACAGCACGACGACATAATAATAATATATACGTATATATATCTATATACATTTTGTATTCGTTTGCGCGTAGCTAAAGAGCCGCCGCCGCCGCCGCCGTTGCCGCCAACAGAGAACGGAGTCGCGCGGCGCACGGATGTTCTATTGAAAAGCTTGATTCGCCAACACACACACACATACGTCTAAACTGGACGCGCATAGCTCTATTATACAATGCGATCAACGGCCGCGCACATCATACATACATAAACACACACAAACACACACAAACACACATACAGACAGACAACGAGGCGCAGCCAATCTGGCTAATCAATCCGATGTTGCGTCTCTAATCGATCGGCACGAGGAGCACGTGCCATACGCGCGACACATGTAATGTAGCAGCTGAGTATACACGAGCTGGACGTGGCACGCCTATAGAAGAGTAATACGTAAATTTTTTCGTTTTCATTTTTATTTATTTAATTCCGTTTTCCTCTTTTTTTTGTGGCTTCTCCTAGCTCGTGCGCGCAAGCACACATGTTGTTATCACCGCGCCTGTTGCAGCTCTGCTTATAACAATCTCCGGCTATAGACGTATACCGACACGCGATATATGGACTATTTTTATATGCACGCGCTTGATGATGCGTTCGCGTATACGAAAACTCGCGGATGAATTAATATTTGCACGCGCGTGGGAGGAGATCGTTGCATTGTATAATAAGCGAATTATTATTTTTTTTTTTTGTTACGTTGAATGAAAACAATGAAGCGCATCGCCGCTCACGGCCGTACTCGCACGAAATGCAGCTTAAAGTTTTGTTATACAGGGCGAAATTTATCGAAACTTCTATAGCGCCACGAGAGATGGCATTTTGGACCGATATTGCTCAATTTCTAAATAACTGAAAAAGGACCTAATATGATAAAGGACACGCACAGCACGGGCAAGCAGTACTCGGCAGTCAGCGGTCGCGTCTATGAAACGTAAAATGTAGCTTTGTGTATCTCTGCGTCTCTGTCTCTCGCTCGCGCGTTGCGTTTTTATGCGTGTTGATCGGTCAAATAATAACTCGAGATATTGTATGGATTCGCGCACATGTTTACAATCGTAAATCATAAATAGTAGTGTTCTGGTAAACTAATTTTTATAAATTTACGTAAATATAACTACGAATCGATCAATGTTTGACGAATAGATTGAGTAAATGAGTTTTTAAATTCATCAAATTTGTTGGTAGAGGATGGTAATATGTCGAGACCGTGGAGTGACCTCGTCAATCCCAACCGAATGTATAAAGTTTTTATGAAACGTTAGTCGAGAAGTAGCTTGTACTACTACCCTGAAGAATTGTTTATCTCTTTCGGGTAGGTCTTTTTTCCGGTGCTGCGCCACCTGGCGGCCGGACTTGAAGCTTCGTATGGTAGAAGTGGGAGAGAAGTGAAAATGAATAGTCGAGTTGCATGTTTGACTGAGTTCACTATTGAGTTAGTAATGGTCCCAAGGCCTCACTCCCTTGCGTACACAAATCGACCTACAGCGCGTTCAAAAAATCAATTTTTTCAGTAATTTTTAGTAATATTGCGCTCAAATACTACTGGTAAACTCGATATTGACTCGAATCTTATTATAGTATGTATGGATTTAAAGAGGACAAAATGTCCAAGAAATCAAAAAAAATTTCGTGTCCTTACGATAAATATAGCCCAAGATAGAAGCATTTGAGAACCGACGAAATTTCGATGAAATTTTTTGTTGCGATAATTTTGTTGCCGAA